TCGACCGTCTTTATATCATTTTCGAGTTTCTGATTCATCCTTTTCTTCCCCCTTCTCTTCGAACGCTCTGAAATCTTACATCTGATTCTCCTTCTTTAGTCTGAAATCTGTGCGTGTTCTCTGCTTTCTTCAATCGCACCAAAACCTTTCATTTTTGTTTGCATTTGTTGACTCCCCGGCAATTAATCAATGGGTTTCAGCGACTAACACTCAAACGTCACTGCCTTGTTGGCTCTACCACCATCCAAGGCTTATCCTTCCGATCCAACTTCTTCCGGCTTACCTCAACCATCACCAGCCGGGATTTTTATCTTTTTCGGTGAAAACCTCAGGCTTTGGTTGTCCCGGATTGAAGATTATTTTTTCCGAAGTTACACACCTCATGATAAGAAGTTATTCATAGCATCCCATTACATGTCATGTGAGCCTCTTCAATTTCTATATGGTCTGGAAAGGGTGTCAAAATTGACCATTTGGGAGAGCTTAACCGATCTACTGGAGCTCTGGTTTGGCAATTTCATCGGGCCAACTCTAGTGGTTAATGTTTGAGGCCAATGGTTCAGAGTCAGAAAAAGACGGAGCATCTTTCACCGCTATAGAGGAATTTGATGGCGATAGGGTGCTAGAAACTGAGGCTACATCGTTACAGGAAGAAATTGAGTCGGCTACCAACAGCTCCACTGAGAACGTGGATGAAAATGGTAACCTTTCTGATTCTTAGAGTGATTCTATGGTGTTTGAAGAGGTTAATAAAGAATCTGCCAATAAGATGACTTTAGTAGACACTGCTACGGTTAAATCTAATTTTAGTCATGATGTTGAAACCAACTTAGATGATTCTGTGGGTTTAAATGAGACCAATGGTGAATATGTTGAATTAATTGCTAAATTGCATCATTTCGGGGATGGAGATTGTAGTCATAACTCATTCCATGTTGAGCTGGGGGATTTAGTTGTCCTGTTGATCGTTTTGCGAAATTGAATGGTGATTCTATAATTTTGAATGACATGGGTGATGAATCTGTTGATGTTTCTGTTGACGACTGCACGGTTGCTCTTAGTTTGAGAACTTTCGTTACTGCTGATATGGAAACATGTCTAAATCCTTCCATTAACAAAACACTTGGCATGAGTTCAAAAACGTTAGAGGTGTCTGATCATGTTAGAGAACGTAAACATTGGCATGAGTTAGTAACTACTTTTCAAGGGAACACTAGTAATCTAATTCTGCAAAATGCAAGTGGGAATCATATAGTTGATGTTTCTACGTGTTTGTATGAAGAAAATGGTTCTGCCAAAGTTGCCTGGTATGGTTATGATGGTACAGTTGACGTTACTGTTGAGTTTAGTGATAATATGTTTAAAAATTGTCCCTCTGCATTTGGAAAGCATGGTTCTATACAGTATTGTTGTACAAAAGCTTTGCATAAATCATGGTTTGAAAGTGTGCATTCTGGGGGTGGTGATGCTTCATTTAAGGATGTAGACATCTCCTCCTGGGATTTAAATGAAGTGGATAATGCATTTTCTAACACTCTAGATGAAAGTGAAAGTGAGGCGTGTATGATTAACTTTGGTTTAAAATTTGCTATTGATCCTGGAAAGTCTGAGACGTTTGGTTTAGTTACTGAGAGTACTGCATTTTGCAAGCGCTTTACTGCAGTAGGGGCTTTTATAAAATGAAGTTGCAGTTACGATCAATGGAGATTTTAGGATTGGTTACTCGAATGAAATTTTGAATGTGAAGGTCAGTAAGGGTAATTGTCTGAATGTTGTTTTTCGACCATGGAATGAAATAATGGCAGCTCTTTAAAGTGGAACCAGAGGTATTCATTTTTATGAATTGTTTGATCTACTGAAGTTTTGCATTGAAGGGAAAGTTAGTATTGGAATTCAACTGAGCTTCTTCGTGTTTGACCCTAGTGACACTGCTTGCCGCTATGTAGTCAGTAGCACCTCTGAATGTAGTTGTGAAAACATCCACAAGAGTGATTGTTTCCTTAGGACTTAATTTTATGAGTTGTTCAATCTGAAGTTTTCTTGGGTTTGTTACTCTCCTGCTTTTTATGGTTATGTATTGGTTGCAAGTTCCGCTGATTTTCTCTTCAGTGTTGAATGTGAGTCATATGTTAAGTTGGCTGCTGTTTATATTGGTTTATATGGGATGAATCATGTCAAGGAAAGTGTTATGTGTGCTGATGATGATAATGATCTTTTACAGAAATGTAGTAATTCTATGAAAGTGAATACTGCTAGTATAATCATCTCACTTTCCAAGAGTGACGTCTTAAAATTAACGGAATTAAGAAATTTAGAGCTAAAAAACTCTCATAAAGCTTGGGTTGAAATAGTCATAATTTTAAGAAGTGGTACAATGCGTAGCAGTGGGAGAAATGCATCTTTTTATTCATCTTACTTCCTTGAGGACAAGAAAGTTTTTAAGGAGAAGGGAAATATCTTTTATCTCCTCTGAAGTTTCAAGATTTGGAATGTAATGCATATCTGCACCTTTAGCTTCCTGTGGGATTTTCATTCAAAGGAGCAGAATATCAAGGTTCAATTGCAGGCAAATGTTTTAATAATGGTGGGTTGGAAAATTGCATGGCTGGTTCTTTACGATGTATCTTATCTATATGATTTGGTTGAGTTTGTGGGAGGCACCGAAAATAAGGGAGGCTATGCTATTGGAATTCGATATGGAAATTTTCCACATTCAAAAGTTTGTTTTAAATTCCAGAATCAGGTTGGAGTTCACACAGTCGACAGGGATATATATTTGCTAGAAATGCATTCTTAAAACTGGAATCTATGATTGTTGGTCTAGATATATTACCTGTGTTCATGTGAAGATTTTGCATAAATCATGGACGGAGGGTGCAACAAGTTTCAAAGGTGGTACTGCTTGTGACTCGTTTTTCAGAAATATGGTGATTGTTTATTTGGATCAAAATGACCAATTGCATGTTTTCAGTGTGGTGTCTGTTATCAGCACGATTATTGTGCCTAAAATTGGTGAGAAGTATGACCTTGAAGTTAAGGAAAAGATTTAGTGTTGTTAAGTCTTCTCACAGGGTTTTGCAAGATGGTCTATGTGCATTTCGAAGTTCATGTTTCCTATCTTGTTATTTTAGTTACAGGTCCAGAAAAAAACGGCATCAATCATTGCCTGAAAGTATTTTGAGTTTCAAGGAAGGAACCATTGTTATACTTGTAAGCTTGAATGAATTTGATGAGAAGGCTTACCAAAGCAAAGCATGGTTAGAGACTGTCTTCGGCATCCTGGACAGTGTTGCTGTTTGCTTGTTGAAGGTTTTAAAGAGAAAGGTATGGCTGAGTATTAAGCTTGAAGCGGATGATTAGACTGACAAAACTTGTGCGGTTGTGTCACGGACCGATTTTTCGTAACCGTGTAGACCACAAAATTGTTACGTGCCATCTTTGTTGAGCTGCCTGGGTGCGGGGGCGACAATAGCGCTAAGGCGTTGTTTTGCCTTAGTGTTTCGGTCTGGCCGAGTTAGACATGCCGACCCGATTTAGTTTGGGGAGTTTGTCGCTAGTCTTGGACTTAACTACGAAGGGGATTGAAGCAAAATTAAGGACGCAACTGATCGGGAGCTATTGCCGCTTCCCTAATGAGCCCATGGCGGGGCGAAACCAGTTGGCACACGTAAGGGAAGGCTGGTCTTGGAGGCTATCAGGTGAACCCCAAGACGCCGCACGGGCGCTGTGCTGCACGCCGGACTCTCAGCCCGTGACAGTTGGATTGGTTTCATTTGCAATGAATAAAACATACACTCTTTGGCTTCAACACTCAGCATATGTGGCAAATGCAACTGATTATAAGCTTAGTGGTCTACTCTTTGAACACCAAATGATTCTGTTTGGAACATCTTTTGTCATTGTCCAGAATTGGCTGAGCTGAAGCAACAAACTTCAAGCTTGGTCTGAATTAATGACATTATTTCAAGTAAGCAACCCTGGAAGAGACGAAAATGTAGCTACCTTTTGTCAAAAGGCCGTAGACGTTGAGGTGAGATCAAGAAGATGCGAGGAGATGCTAGGTTTGAGAATTGAAATTCACAAATTTTTCCTATCTTATTCAACTTCTGAGTTATATTGCTGGCGCTGTCTTGAGTAGGGAAAACTCAAATTTGGGGACCAACAGTACCTCACCAACATTGAACCTGGCATATCAACTGGTAAGGACATTCCAAAGAAAATAATTCTGAAAGCATGGGACAAAACAGCGACAATTTTCAACGGAGGCACTCTGACCTTTCATGAAATTTGGCAGGGAATCGACATCAAAATTTTCCCAACTGATTTGCTGATGTCCTGTTTATTTACAAGTCTTGGGGACAAGACTTGTTTAAGTGGAGGGGTTTGTCATGCTCCTTGGACTTAATTGTAAGAATTAGAAATTATGGGGTTAAATTATAATTTTTATATCTTGTGGACTATAAATAGTCAGCTAGGGGTGTAAATGAATTATCAGAAATTTTAATGTCAAATTGAAATTTTCCAATTTCTCTCTTCTTCTCCGATCTCCCCCCTTTTCGAACCCTAATTTTCTCGGTCTTCCTCAATTTCTCTTTTGCTGTTTTCCGGCCACCTCCCTGAAGCCCCCGTTTGTGACACAAACTCCCCTTAAACCTTAAGGCCCACATTGCGAACCAAATAACATATGATAAAGCGCAGCGGAGATGAATTTCTTTTATATATAACCCACAAACTAGTTGAATTCAAATATTTTTCTAGAATATTCCGGCCGTTGGATCGTTTAATTTTGACTAGCCCCCTATCCCTTTTACCTTGAGTCGGTTGTTTGAGAAGATAGTAGATCTGCTTTGGTTGATTTTGAATGCTAGAAATACTTTGTTCTTTGAGGAGAAAAAGATTTCGGTCCCTGAACACTTCAACGTGTTGTGAAAAAATGGCAAGCATATATAGATTATTGCAGGCCTATAAATTATATATGGAAGAACAATTAAGACAAAAGTGCTGCAACTTGGAACTTCATAAATGATGTTTATGTAAGAAGAAAAAGTCATTCTACAAAAATTAGGGATCAATCAAAGCTCAAACAAAGATTTAAAAACATCAACTAGCCTAGACCTAAAATACAGGCGCCAACATATCTAAACACTATACAATGTCCTGTTCACCCAACCTAGCTTACAAGTATCAAAAGAATAAGAAATTCGAGGTTCACATGAATCCTTCTCCAATGCTCAAGAAAAATTTATAGAAAGCCATAAGCTCACTATCTTCGACTTATCAGACAGAAGGTAACCAGAGGCAAATACACAGGATTTAGCAAGAGATGTGATTAGTACCGTAGCTGATTGCTTGTAAGCTCGAGTCTGACATATTAGTTGCCCATGGCTGAGGCCCTTCTAGATCTCCCTGTATATTATAGGCATAAGATTGCCACCTGACATCATTTCCACATTGCCTAGAAACTCCCATATTCATGAGTTTCTGGGTTCTATCTAGAACTACGAGGCTTGAGAATGTGGAAAAACTGTTCCCAACAAATACATCAGACCGCAAGCAGACTTCATAGTCTATAGCTGACTGAAAAAGATATGGATGCTTCTTGTAGATTTCAAGAACACCCAACTTTTTCTTCTCAAAAGGAAGCAACCCTTCTTTCCAACCATTCAAGATGGTATTATCTTCAAGAAGGGTATCAGCAACAGCGAGGTAAACAACTATTGGACGATTCAGGCCCTTGATGTTTGCTACTCTCTCTTGGATCTGCTCTTTACTGCTACAGATTTCACTTACATTCAACCGCTGCTCCAACTTCTTGCAGTGGATCATCCAGTCTTTTTCTATTCTCATATGAACGGCGACATAGGGCACATGATCCAACAATTGCCTATCTGATTCTAAACCAGTCTGAGGCAGCTCAATTTTTTGTCTTGCTTGCTGTCCGATTTCCCTAATCTTGGTAACAACTTTATCAGCTTCGGCAAGTAATTCTTCCACTAAAACTAAGCATTCAAAAATCTTAGCATAGTCCTTGACTGGCCAGTGATCATGCCACAAAAAAGGGTTCTTTCCTACAATGCGAACTGTCTCGTAATCATCATAAGGAGGCTTACTAAACTGTCTCAACTGATCCAAATCTTTTTCAATGGTCCACCTTCGACCACTGCCCTTTGGAAGCTCAATGACATCACTTTTATTTGAAACATCAGAATAACGACTCAGTTTCACAAATCCCTCACAAATAGAATTGAACTTATCAAACTGAAAGACTTTATCGAACGAGATAGGTTGCAAAAGATCGACTTCTTTATAGAACAGAGAGGCGCTCAAACTAGGCATCAAGAGAGTTCGATTCATCAATTTAGCAGTCAAACACGCTCTAGCAAAAGCAATTTTTTGGTTATTCATACCCCATACTATTTGAGGAACCTCTAAAAACTTCGGTTTTGCAACTTGGAACTCTGGGCTATCGTTATGCATTGACATAAACTTCCTCTGTCCAAAGCCAGAAAAAGTAGGAACAAGAACAGCTCTAACGACCAAAACAATAGTTACCAAAGCAAAACATTTGCATCCCAGTGAATTCAAAGGCAACCCGAAGAATCTCAAATGCTTACAAGGGAATAAGTCCATTTGAGATTCAATGCTCAATTCTCACAATCCTCTCATCTGAATCAATCCAGAAAACCAACAAATCAAAGCCAAACACTTTAGCTTCACTGCTTTAATTTTCGTATATCCTTATAACACAAGTCAATCCGCTATCATTAAAGTTAACACATATTCCTCTACTGAATGGAAGGTAGGAAAATTCCAGAATAGGAACAACCCCAATTCAATCTACACTTTCTTCAACAATGAATCTGATCCAAAAAAAAAGAATGGCTATAATCTTTATTACCTAATCAATCAGCATCTCTGAGATCAAAATTTTAGGATCCGACCATAAAATCAATGCAAAAAGATTTTCCCTTACCTTCATCCAATGATGGAAATCCAAAAACGCATTAACGCCAAGCAAGTCTAGCATGCAATGCATTCAATCCAACTGCAGGTAGAGAAGAAATCATCTAAAGGGCCAATTTCAAAGATGAAATCTTGAACAATAATTGCTTCCAGGGCAATCTGATTGAACCCCAAAAACTGCTTCTTGCCAAACTGAAATTCTGAGGAAGGCAAGAAGAATTCTGGAATAGCAATTTTGATAGTTTTCTGCAAGTAAAACTACTAGAAAAGGCGTGGAAAGTGGACCAAGGGACTAAATTGCGCCTTCAATCTCAAATATTTTATTTTTTATTTCTGTAAATAAATAAAGAGAAAATTATAAAAGATTAGCATTTTTCGCTGTAATAAAAAAAGACACAGTCTAGAAACTCCGACCCTAACACGATAATTCCGATTGTTTTCTTTAATCATTTCCGACGATTCTTTGCCGATTTGAGCCGATTCCAGGTATAGGTTTCCACGTGCTTTCCGCTCTCTCTATATATTTGTTTGAAAATCTGTCTTGTTTTGGATTCATTTTTGTTTTCTGGGTGTTATCTCTAGTCTGGAAAAGTGATGAATTTTCTGGGTATTAACCTCCAAATCTTCGGTAGCTGTTGATGTTTGGCGCTTTTTTTTTTATGACATTTCTGTATGAGTTGTTACCTATTAATTTTCCAAGTTGATTTTTCTTCGGTTTCTTGTTGAATGAGTAAGATTACTTCACTTTGAATCGGTTTCATGAAGCTAAATTATGGAAATGACCCTATTTTGGGAGAATTGGGGTCGTTAATAAGCTTTGATTGGGTTTAGTTTAATTTCTCTATTGGTTACTGCTGGATGCTTTTCCCTACGATTTCCTCTTACTGGTACCAGATACACGGTTTTATTGTGAATGGTATCGATGGATTTTTTAGGTTTAACATGGCCTGCCTGACGAATCTTTTTGCATTATGATTCTGCCAGTTTGACAGAAAGTTGCAGTTTTGAAAATGATGAACGTGGTTAGGAGGATTGTCCCTGCAATCACAACTCAGTCTAGTGGCTTGATGAGCTCGGTGGGTAGTCAGCTTCAACAACATCGAGGTATAAGAGTCCAGGTGCGTAATGGAAATTTGGAGCAGGCTTTGGCTTTTATGCAAAGGAAGATGCAATCAACTGGAACAGAGCGTTTAATTAGGAGTCAACAACCTCGCCACATCAAGAACTCGGAGAAGCGAGTCCTAGCTCGCAAAGAACTTGAGCGTAGACTTCGATCGCAGGAATTTGCCAAGAACCTGAAAACTATCCTTGGCAAGAAACTCAGGTAAATCTGTTGTTGAATTACTATAACTTTATGGCTTTCTTGCTCGTTGTATGTGGCCTTTTTGTATATTTTTTAGCATGGAAATGGTTTAATTAGTTTTGTGCTGAATTCATGATCGTTGTCGTGGTAAAAAAAACAAGATTATGTTTTACACAGAGGGTTTATTGATCTTGAAAAGGCATTTGATAGAGTTATTGTGATATAGTTTAAATCAGAGAAGAGAATGATGAGGGAGCTTCTGTAGTTATTATTAAAAAAAAATTGTTTGAAGTTGCTCGGACATTATGTAATCCACTAATAGTATAGATTTGCACAAAAGATCAGCTTTGTTTATATGCCTAATTTCAATATAATCAGAAACACAAGTCTGTTGAGGGCCTTCGGAAATCTGTTTATGATTGTACGTGATTTATGGGTAAGATATTTTGATGAGTTGCTAGAAGTAATAATCGCCAAGTTAGAGGTTTGGAAGGAGGCACTTCTATTTAAAGGTTTGACGATAAATTGGATTTTTAAGTAAAGACACATGGTGCCTTTTCAGTAATCCTAGAAGAAACGAAAGTTTAAGTGTGAAAATTTGTGTGCATGAATAGAAGTTTCATGAATTTTTGTTTTTGTCCTCATCCCAGTCATCCTCCTTAGACACTAGGGTAAAGGATAAAGTAGGTGTCAGAATTGTTAACTATTGTAGTTAAGGATTTTTTGATCGATGGCGATGCTATTATGTGCTGGTCCTGTTTGACAAAACTGAAGTATGAAGGTTGTTTTACTTTCTTTTCTGTTATTCGAAGTTATAGATTAGTTTGAAGTAAACAATTGGTCAAGCTCCATAGTTTAGAAAGTTTCTGGGTTTGAGGTTTGATTTGATTTTTTATTTTTTATTTGGAAGAGGTTTGATTAGAACAGATCTTTGACCAACTTTGACTGTTTTTCTTTTTTTTTTTTTTGAAATGGTACCTGTATTAATTTAAAGGACCTATACTGTTACATAGCATTTTTGCATATGCTAAACTATGTAGATCATTTACATCCGATCTGCTGGCTTTAATCAGACATCAATCCTGAAAAGTTGAAATTAAAGTACGTAGTACGATGGTCACCTCTTGACCCTCTATAGGAAGGGTATCAAATTCTTGGTTCGTGACTTGCAATTCACAATCAGTGCATATGTTCATTAGAAATCAATTATAGGAAACACAGAAGTCTGTAACAGTGCTTATATCCCTCAAAATTTTTACACTGTCATGCCCTCTCCGGTGGTCATATTGACGGATGCCCTGCAATGTGCCTATTTATTGACATCCTTGTATATTGATTTTCTTTGATTGCAGGGGTCAGTGATGTATTTGGTGGTAGCATGTTCAAGGGTACTTTGTTTATCTTCCTGGAGCTTGGAGTTGAAACTGATTTATTTGTAGAATTCATGACTTGGGAATCTTTTGGGGATCTTTTACAAACCTTAGATAATTAACAGGTGACTGAGTAGAAACGGGTTACTTGAGTTGGTTCATTAAAAATGATACCACCAGTCTCCGGTAGAGAATGGTTGCCTGAGTGCTGCTGCTGTAAACTTCTGGTGATTTTTGGTTGTTGAAGGCAACTTAATATGTCCCCATGTGTCATTACTACAATAATAAACCTTTTCGTTGTTAGATCTTGGAAATGATTGTCTGATTTTCTGTCTATATTTGTTTAGTCTGATGTGATGATACGCTATGACAATCTTCAAGCAAGGACACAAAACAAGATTATCAATACCATTTGGCTCTGGATATACGAGGAAGACAAGCAACGGCGTGTCCTAACTTGTAGGCAATCTTCATCTAAGGAACAAGAACAATGCTTTTTCACTTCACGCTCCTTGTAGGCCAAAATTTTACAATACACCAGTATTTACATATGCCAAAATGTTCTCATGCAATCTTCATCTAAGAAACGAGAATAATGCTTCTTCATTGGGTCTTCAAGAAAAGAAGCTTCATTCGTCGAACTCTAACAGATGGTTGCATAAACTAAATGGAAACCAGATGACTCGATTGCGATATCTTCTTCTGCTGCCCATCGTTGTATGCATCCCAACCATCCCTAAAAAGAGCTTGTCAAAGCAGGTGTTTCGGACAATCAATTGGCCAACTGATTGAGGTGTGAACCTGAAAGCGTAGGTATTTGTGAAATATGAATGTGCAATTTAGACTAATGAGACAAGTAGCAGTTCTGAGTTAAACTAATCATCTATGGTATTTACAGATGAGTTATTACCACCGCATGTAGTCTCCATTCTGTACATAAGGTAGTATATTGACATTAGTTCGTTACTCATTACCACAATGTGAATGCTGCACAAAGGTAATCATCTGGTCTGCTGCTTCTCTAGCTTCTTCCATAGAGAAATCACTCTTCTAATGATAGGATCTGCTGAGAAACCTTCTGCATAAGCACTTATAGCTGTCAAAAGGCTTCTGAATTTCTCGCCATCATCCTGCATCCAAACACCGAGTAGTCTTAGTCAAAAGTATCCACAAAATTTTGAGACCTTTAATACACAGCCTTAAAAGTCAAGACAAGGCCGACAGTCCACTCGAACCCCCAAAGCAAAATAAATAATAAGAATCTTAAAAGACTCGAGACTTTAGATTTAAAAAAAAAAAAAAGAAGGAAAAAAGACGGCAGTTACTTGTATTAGGGATACGATCTCTAAATTCATCACGTGCAAAATCAAGTAGATAGAAAGAAATGATTACAACTTTTCATCCAATACCATGTCATTTCCTACACCTTTTTACTGAAAACAAGTCAATGCTCTTAGTTTGTGTTAAGGGGATCTCAATAACAATAAAAAAGAAAATTTGTTCCTGATTAGGGAATTTAAACAGCCACAATCTTTAGGTCTTATTCATCACCACACATGCCATTATCAAACAAAAATATCCCTGTACTTATAAGGTAGAAATCAGCCGAAAATGCAATAATATTAAATCTCAGGTAATTGCAGGAGGGCATCAGGATTGAGAAACAATCAGATCCATATTCGGTACTTGTTTAACCGGAAAAGTTCAAACCACCCAACACAGGCATTGCCTGTAGATTAGGAACATTACTCCAAGGGGAAAGTAATCTGACAGCATTCTTAAGACAAAATAACTACTTTTTAAAGACTGCAGTTAACTTCAGACCCTTAAAGAAAATAAAATGATTCCACAAAGATAGCACCAACCTCTGGCTTCCTGAACACAAGGTCGTTTGTTGCAAAAGGAACCATATAGGATGGAAGATCAGAGCGTAGCATAGCCTGCACAACACAAAATGGTTTTATTTTATCATGGAACAACCAGGAACACGTTTCAGTTATAAAAGACCAGACATCTCACCAGATTCTTACTCAGAACAGCTTGCTCAGATTTTGATATCAAGATCTATGATCAACACACGTAATTAGCAAACAAAGAGCAGTTGCTAAAAATCAAAATGGTACCAGAAAGCTACACGCCTCCTAGAAAAACACTAGAAGACAGGTATCAGACATAATTATAGGATGGAAATTACCAACCTGTCTGATTCTCTCATCCTCAACTTGATCAACATTTCGCAACAAGTTCTCTAGTGTACCTACAGTAAAAGGAAAAGAAAATTCACATGCTAATAGACAGTGACTCAAACATTCAATGAATTAGCCCGAGAATATAACACTACAACGTAGAATGATCCTTCATAGAGAAGAAGAACGGTAGATAACTGTACAATAAATAGAAAGTACACAATCGGCATAGTGTCAGAGGAACAGACAAAAAAGCCAGTGCGAAAGGTAATCTGCATTTTAGGCACTTTTTAGATAACCTTAAAATCTTTAAAAATTTGGGTAGAACTCATGTTAATGTTGGCTAAAAATGAAGTAAGATATATCCCTACATGATCTACAACAAGAGAAAATTAAAGCAAAACCAACACATGTTGACCAGAACACGCCAATCCTCACTTAGACAGTAGACAACCAGATATAGAATTATTGTCACAGAAAACTAAATACATTTCAAAACATTGATTAGGAAGTTAGAACTTTTGCCTGTTTGTAAGATTGTGCTACATGAAGGATTAATGGAGTGCTTCACCCCACAAAAAAAAAAAAAAAAAAAAAACCCACTAAAGGAGTTTCAAACTTTTCTCCATTACAACCCAGGACAGGGACTAAATTATCTTTATGCTATATCACAGCTACCCGGGGGGAGGATATGAACTTAGAGCAGAAATTAGTATGCATTGTCAAATTGATAATAGTTTCAATGATGTTTGATTAGTGCATAAAACAAGGCATGGAACCTACCAAATTTTGTTATTAGTTGAACTGCACGAACATCTCCAATTCCATCCACACCTGCACTTGAAAATTAGCTGATCAGATGAGAAAACTTGAAATTATTCCAACTTAAAAGAGTAACATTACCACCAGTTCCAGGACAAAAAATTACTAATTTTACTGAACTATTTTCCCCTTTATTCGTTAGAATAATGGCCTCTTCAGTAAAAGGTACCTGGTATATTGTCAGACTTATCACCAACGAGTGAAACAACATCAACAAACTGAGAAGGCTTCAGAGATCCATAACGTTCGACAAAATCTTCTATTCCATATGAAACCATCCTATGCAGCAACAGCATAATGTCAGACATTTGACTCAGGCACGGAGTGATAAGGAAGGGTTCATAGAGAGGGAATGAGACAATTTAGATTAGATAACAGCATTGGGCAACAATTTCGGACCACCGGAGAAACTTCTTCATACACACTTTTCATCCAAGTTATTAGATAAATAAGGAAATAGCATCACATAATGAAGCAAGGATAAGACACAAATTCCGGGTGCCAATACTAGCCAAGACCTAGAATATTTTAGCTGTCCAATAGCAGAAGTATATAAACCAAGTGTCCCATTTGCAAAAGGAAGGAAACTTCAAATCCAATTACTTCATTTCTATTTTTTCTGACATTCCCTTCTAGTAGCACTAAATTTTTTATCGAGCTTCCAACTTGCTTCTTCTCCTAACCATGATTGACATCAGTACAAAATGCAGATAAGTGGTCTCTCAAACTGTACCAATGACCAAAACCACTCCCAACAGCATTTAGCAGCTGGGACTTTGCATTTTGCCTGGAGAGGTTCTCGATGGATGAACTGATAACCCTAATACGGAACTAAAAAATTTGGCCAAATTTGAATTATGTGCGACAGAAATGAAAATGTTGAGATGGGTGTGCAAATACATGATTAGCTAGGCTTAGTAATGTATGCACTAGAAAGAAAGAGGGTATAATCAATAGGTATGGAATGCGATAAAGATACTTAAGGGGTTGGAAGATTGAACATATGTGTAGAAGACCTTTAGATGATAATGGCAGGTCGGAAACAGAGAGTCGTCAACTCAAATTACAAAGGAATCAGATGACCAAAAACTAAAATTGAATGCAGAAGGACTTGTTTTACCTAACAATACTGATGATACTTCAGCCATCAACAATTCCCAAAAAAACATGTGTCTATCTTAATACTATTGAATCAACTGGATACATTTCCAGGACCCAACTTCAGTTCTCACGGATAGAGCATTAATTGGAGAACATGGGAAAATTTGTATTCTGGTAGGATAAGATGTAATCCAGAAACAACCAGTACTGAGACATTAATAATGAAAAAAGTCCAATGAATTGAAGGAAACTGGTAACAGATGGAGAAGATAAACTAACTCAGATCCACGAGGAGCAATCCGCAGAAGGCGCAATGATGGTGAGAGGATCTGGAAAAAATCTCTGTCTGGCGAGACAACTCGTACCTGTAACAGATTATAAAAAACAAGTGAGAAAAATGATGAACAAAAATTATTTCACACTAAGGTTTGGTTAAAGAAACCAATTCCAATGAGTGGTTCCCAAATCTTCTTAAGAATTCAAAATGCAACTTCCTTCTATTTGACCTAAAAGTGGTTAGAAATCATCTTCAAATTTAAGTAACAAGATTACAATTCTTGAAAATTGATTTATACCAAAGCCCACAAAATCAGGTATGTTCATAGAAGGACCATGCCATCAGCAACTTGATGAAAGCATGCTACTTGGTATGGGATCAGAGACCATAAGACTAGTTACTGCTAACAAATGAGAATTTGAAAATGAACTTCCCACATGCTGCGGCTTCCTGAATGTATCTTTAAAAGAAGTAGGACCTTCACATTGACATGTTCCACATCCACAGTAAAAATATTTAAGAACTTCTATTTGGCATTTCGATACTGGATTACCAAATCAAGATGATTATTTACATAATGCTCCCAACACAAATTCATTACCAATTTTCTGATAATTTATCAAGAAAATGAAGTCAAAGCATGTACGAGATGGCTTCAAAACTACCTTGAACCCAGCATCAACACTCTTCAAAGCCAAGGTCCCAATGACATCATCAGCCTCAACCCCAGGCACCTGCTTCAAATTGATAATATTAGTAGGATTCACCGGGAATGAAGTCAATTCAGTTTGAAACAAGTCATATTGTAATCACCTCGATCACTTTGATAGACATGGCCTTGATGGATGCTTTCAGATACTGAAGTCCCTGAACAATAGTATCAGGAGTAGGAGGACGATGGCTTTTGTATGCAGGGTAAAGTGTGTGACGGAAGTTTTGGCCTACAAAATATTTAAGTGACAAATGCTCTCATGAATCTGCTAACATGTATCTCGTCAACTGGAAAATATCACATAAGCAAGAATATAACCAAAAGGAAGCAAGAAAGATAGTCACTGCCACTACATTCACTAATTTAAGCCGGTAGCTGGACTCAATTAACTACTTTTAGCTCCGGTTGAAGCTTACCAGGCTATCTCTCAACTTTCTACTCTAGTTTTATATTTTAAAACTTGTAAGTTTATTAATGTTAGTAGAAGGGAGGTCCAAGATATGCATAATATGGCCTACTCCCTAATGCAATGTACGAATAATTCTATAACTCAATAATATACCAGGTACGGTTTTCAAAAAAAAAAAAAAAATTTACCAGCATAAAACAAAAAATGGAGGCTGCAACTTTTCTTAGAATGATATTGGAATGCCGGTTATGAGTAAGTTCTTTTCCGAGCAGTTAATTCACTCGTCTAGCACTACTCATTGTGCACTCACGCACTCGTTCTCCAACTCATGCTGGTAATAGTGGACCATCTAAATTTGAAAATTGAATTGCTGATGCAGTTACAACTAAATAGATAGACTAGATTAAGTAGCTTGGAGGCTCAATGGCTCTAAAATCCAAAGTCAAACATGCATTAGTTTTGTGAGATGCAAGAGCCTTGATGTTGTATAGAGCAACTTCAACAATTAAGGCATAGGATCCTAGTGATGCAACACATTTGTCTGGATTGAAGAGTGCTATCCCTGGGGAGAATTTGCAAGACATTTTTTTGAGCAAAGCTTCGAGTACTAAGGAAAAATATTACTGCATCTTTCTGTGGCTTCAGAAGTGTAATACTGGCAAGTCTGAAAGTCCCAACAGAACCAACAAGGTAAGATCCTTTAGTTTCTAAGCTCTCAAGCCTCATTCTTACTTGGACATTCATCAAGGCTGTACAAAAGCAAAGAACTCTTGGCCCTTTAAAATATTCTCAAGAAAATATTGGACATTCCAATCAGCTTTTTGCACATGTAAGAAGATTTAAAAAGATTTTTATGCAAACAAATGAGTTAATAATAAACTTGCTCTCATCAATTTAAGACTTAAATATATCAATCAATATTTAAGTCCAAATGTTGAGATTGCAGCATCTATTTGTCCAACAAGTGCCCAATAAATGTCACTTAAAGAAATGACTCAAATGGTTTAGAGCTTTACTTGGAGACAGATGGATTGAATTTACTCATTGAATTGTTAAGATCTACAAGAAATTCAAGTGTTAGGCAATCTTATCTACAATACAGCACCTAAATATTCTCAATGTGGTTTCTGTCAGTGCAGAAGCAAAGTTTTGAGAGAAATACATAAGCTGAATTCACGGTTTGCCAATTATACACACTCAGAAATCATGCGCAAAATACCAATGGGTAGAGGGAAAACCTCCAACCCATGTTACCATTTGTCCAAAACACAATAAAAGATTCTCAATTTCAATCAACATATCTCATCCGAACACATAGAACTCAGAGAATATATCTAAGAACCAACATTCCACCCCAAACAACATCTAGATACATACAGATACAAATGGGTAGAGGGAAAACAAGGCAATCATTTCTATCAATCAGAATAATAAGAGAATGAGTAAGCAAATAAAAATGTCCAAAGGACCAGTAAATTTAAAAGAAAATATAATATTCTCAAAGTTAGTGGCACTGAAGAAGAAAGAAAAAGGCCATTGATTATATAATCCTAAGACGAATGTCATTACAAGGTTTTCCATCAATGTAAACAAATATTCCCTGAGGCAAAACAGCAATGTCAGCTATTGCAGTGCTTATGATAAGACGTATAACCAGTTTAGCATTTTTGGTTCCTATAAGCAACTATGCCTAGAGCTAAAACCATCAATTTGTATAATACCAACCCAGGGCTCAAACTATTCCAAGATTCTCTATACAATACATTCTATGTCTGAACTAGTAGAATTGACACCCACACTTCCTTCTCTTTGGTGCCTTCGGCATGGAAAACAAGTTGAGGAGTACAAGAACAAAAACATACCTTTTGTGACAAATTTTTGTTGGGATGAAACAGACGTATGACCAAATGGAACTCCTGTAACAAAAAATCTTATGTTCATCATGACTAGATCCCTATGAAACTCTGACAGTATAACCACATCAAGCACCAGTAAGGCCTGATGTTTCCTAACTTTAAATATTAAAACAATGTAAGGTGTGTCCAGAGATAGAAAGACAAAAAAAGAAAAAAAAGTCAATGCAACCAAGAACCAATCCATGCAGTAGCAAAAATTTGATTATATTTCACCATATTATCTCAAAAACACATGCAAGAGAATCTCTGCCAAAAAAGTACTGCTCCATGACACCTAGGATCACATCAAGTCTACTCGCATTGTGGTTCCAAAGATACCTAGATGATAATGAAATACACCTCTCCCACTCCCTCTCCTCAAATTTCATTATACATATAAACTATTAGTCAATTCAGGAAATTCAGAAAGCTATTCCAGAAATTGATCAGCTGGCAGGGCCAAGTTTGCACATCATCGTTGATTTTCAGGTCTCCCTGGGTCGTTCAATACCAATCATGGGGTTCAGTTAATTCAAGTAGCAGCATTGTTAACTTTTGTAGAGATTCGAGTCCAAGAATCAGCAAGGAAACTAGTTTCAGGCTGGCGATATTTCAAACAAAAGGGTAAAATTTCAGTGAGGGAACTCATCTTACCATCATGATCGAAAACAACCTACAGAAGAAAAAATTTAAGGAAGTTAGAACCACGAAAAACTACTGCCAAGAGCAACTCGGAAGATAAACAATTACTATGCACTTCAACAGCTGCAGAAGATCAAAATATGAGAATAGCAAAAAGTAGGCATTATAACATGAGACAGTTCACACTTTACTCATAGATTACAAGTTTGTCTGTCTTGCTGCAATTGGGATTTCATTTTGGATAATCAGTTTCAGTTCAAATATGGGTCCCGGGAATTCAAATTTGTTTTGCATAAAAATTCCTTGAATTTAGGATAAATGATACAATTACGAAAGGTGTTAGTCCAATGTAATTTTAGTGGTCATAATCATATCTCGAAAAAAAGTCCTCCAGCTGAAGCCACTCTCAAGCTAAACAATTAGACATTTAATCATACAACTGAAAACTCAAAAGAACACAGCAAATGAATGATAAAGAAAACTGCATATAGAGAAAAGGACTTTACCGCAACATGTGACGGAATAAATTCCAGAACATCAATTATCTGCGAGATAAATCCAAATAGAAACTTAAATTAATAAAGTAGGGTATACGAAGTGGGCAGAAATTGAGTTGATATAAGCTTCTGCTTCAGAATATAATCTCAATTTCAGCATCTCAAAACACGCATCGGACATAAATAAGATAGCAAGTAAGTACCACTATAAGGTTCAGACCCAATCTCGTGAGAAAAATTTTCAAAAGCATAAAAGACTTCTGACTTACAAGAGACAGAGCTGTAGAAATGGTCAAGACCCAATCTCCATTGCCATCAGCATGCGAAAGATGGCCATGGTGTAGCTTAGCTATCCAGAGCAAAATAAATCCCAAGAATCAGGAATCAAAAGTCAAGACAATGAGAAACACATCAAACTTGGTATCACCGTTTAACCATATGAGTCAAATGTGTTGATATCCAGGCATCAAAAGCTTAACGACTAGATAACTTTTCAACTATAGTATCATAATATAAGATAACTTTCATACATTCCACATCTATAAACTCCACATAAACTCAGTGAAATAAAAAGATTAACATCAAAAGTATTTCGCAAAATTTTCAGGTGCTGATTATAAAATTTAAGCTTGAAAGAGTTGGTCACATCACTTAAGTCGCTTTGGGAGTCTTCCCACAAGGAACCACATCAACCAGTAGACTGGGTAATAAACTCTTCCATCACAAGTAAAACCTTTCCAAGTGTAGAATTTACAATTATCAAGATTCTATAAGATCTCCATATCCAAAAGGAGTAACAAGGCACAATCAATAAATTAAAGCCATTACCATGAATTTCCATGACAAATGCTCACGAATTGCTAGTGAAACAATATTTTAATTTTATTTTTTTTTAAAAAAAAAAGGTGCTCAAAAACCACCAAAATGACACTGCATATCGGCAATACCAGACATAAAAAGCAACATGAAATTGTGAGCTGAAACCAAAACCTAAAAAAAAAATGAAAGGAAAACTAAACCAGTAAGAAGTGAATAATTAATCATACCGAGAAGTTTATAATATGCTCTGTAAATGATAGCTGTCCCATCAATAAGCATCATTTTGCCTGAATCAACATTACCCGCCAAGTTATCGTTCCCCTTATCATATTCCAAACCAACACTTCCATTGTCATTAGCGTCATTTGCCGAAGGCGCCTCACAAGCAACTCCCGAAAATCGAGACCTCAATCGGAAAGAAAGCCTGCTGTGATGCTGACCAAGAAAATCACAATTTTTCAGAAACAATACACACAGAGACAAACTGACAAACAATAACCGGGTTATGAATTAGCAGAATGAGCGACGTTTTTTACCTTACGGAAATGCGGGAACCGAGAGTTAACATTACAATCTGAGGGGAATTCGACGCAGCTGCTCCTGTAAGCTCTTTGGGATACTGAGAAGTTTCTCCCAAAGCAATGGAAAGCTCGGCACAAAGTGTGGACTCGGTGAAGGGGAATTTGAGAGGACGCCATGAAATTTCATTCCAGAATTCTCCGATTAAACTGGAAGCTTTTTATTTGTAGATTGTAGGGTTTATAGTTTATGGATTTTGGCATATCTGCTTGTTGATGATGGCGGGCAAAAATTACAGGATTACAGGGAGCCCAAAAATAACGTCTTCTAATAGTTGTTAGTTTGTAATAATACAGTAATTGTAATACTAATGTCTTATCTAGTGTACTTACTTAAAGAAACAAACATTTTGAACACATGTCAGTTCAGAATTAAAATTTTCCCTTCAAAAATTATATAGTACAAAAAAGAAACTAACAATATTTTTGGATAACAATCTACTTCCAAATTTTAGCTCCATCAGTAATCAACTCGCCCCAATTCTCACTGACAGTCAATTCTCGCAATTTTAGCTCCATCAAATTAAATCAGAAACTCAATCTTATCTTCTCAGAATTGAAGTGTATCGATTCAAATTTTGAAAGAATCTCTGAAAGTTGGATCAGACATGGCCTTCTCCACCTCTTATATGGAAGTGAAAGGAAAAAAAAAAAAAACCCAACCACACAATCTTTCAATTTCATGCACAATTTGGAGAGTTTCGTGCTATGGTGACGAAACAGCGGCGGCTACGATCGGAACATCAAGATTACGATGAAGAAATAGTAGTTGACGATGATGGGTTTTGGAGATATGGTCTAAAAGTGGTGAATCATGGTCACTAGAAGCATCGACTGGAGATTCCAAATTAGATGATGATGATGACGGCTGACTGGATATCTTCGCCCCACAGCCTGCTTAGGTAATTTTCGTCCAGATGATTCCAAAATTTGGGGTTTTTTTTTCTTTTTTTTTGCAATTTTTCTCAACCGCGCCCCTCTCTAAAAGAGCCAATCTTTAATTTTTTTTGTTTGGAATAACTTATTTAATCTTCTCTGATATGAACCTTAGCCGTTGGGTTCGCTTCAACTTTGGTTCTACTGACGCTTCAATATTCATCGTTATTCATGGTAATTCAACAATTTTGATGGCAAAATCCTCCCATCATTAGATTTCAACAGGCCTTAAATTATTTGTCTTTTCATTTCTTTGAAGAGGAATTAAGTTTCATATGGTCAGATTAATTTGATGAATAGATGTGAATCAGATGTTGTTATTTATAATTCGTTCAGCTAAATGTGTTAAAGATAAAGTTTTTGTTAAATCCTTTTGAATTGGATATGCATTTGGGTACTTTTGAGGAATTTGTTTATTCTATTTGGTTAATTTATTCTGTTGATGCTACAGGAAAATGTAGTTGTATAATTTCTGGAACACCTGGAGTTTGTCAAACATTTTGTGGGAGATTGAATTATATATGAAATCTATTGTAATGGACAAAATGAAAGGTTCATTTAGACAATATGGTATGTAGAGGGAATCTTTCTGATGAAGGTTCGTTACTTATTAAATAAGGATGGTGTATATTGGATTGAATCTGTATCTGTTGTGAACAAAGTTTTTGGTTTATGTCATGTGTTTCATTGAGTTACAGTGCAGTATTAGCTTATCAAATTAAAAGCTTATTGCTAAATTGAAGTGAACCAAATATCCAGTTATCTTTTTATTTGGACTTTACTGTTATGTTTTTATTCATTCGAAGAAGATATGTCTATTTATATCTCAAAACTTTTGCATTGGCTATTTGTTTCTGTAGATGAAAGATGATCCAGCTGAAAAGCTGGTAAGCTCCTCAGAAAACAGATGCAGAGAAAGATCCATTTCGCAGGCAAGGTTTGCGACGAGATCCCTCCAAAATCCTTATAATTGAGTTGTGCTTCTTAGATTTGTTGAACTTATTTATTAGAAAATTTATTAAGTGGCCCAAAACCTGATGCATCTATTGCTAGTAAAGGCCACCTTAGGTATTATAAGGTAGATCCAAATAACTTAAGTTATATATATTATGCACTCTCACCCTCTTAAAACCATTATTTTTTTTGGCAGTGTATCGGATCTCCTTGATTTCATAAGTCTTGATCAAGATTCGAGAACTGCAGAGCACAGAGAAAAAGACATGTTAAGGTATTATCATTTCTGAACTATTTATGTTTGGATATTCTTCATTTAACCCCCCCCCCGCGCAAAAAGAAAAAGCAGACGATATTATTCATGACAAGGGGAAGTCAACAACCTGTCATTCGATGAAATTGATAAATTCTTATGAGATTTTCCCTGTACTCAGGCAACCTGTCATTCAATATGTTCTTTATCTCACCTATGAGGTGTTATCTGTGAGTGATAAGCTTCAACAAGGACAAAATGATGATAGACAAAGTGATGAATCCTCAACGGGTGATGACATGGATACCAGTCTACCTACAGCTGAAACCGAAAAGTTGAAAACTAAGTCAGAAATGATGATAGACAAAATGACCGATCCTCAATAGGTGATGACACGGATACCAGTCTACCTGCAGCTGAAACCGAAAAAGTGGAAACTAATGGAGTATTGGTACACATCCTAGAAACCAAGGTCATTGATAGGCTTGCCAGCAATCCTCCAATTTCTTAAGAGATTGTCCAAGAGATAACTCAGATAAGCTTAGATGAACTCTAACAAGAAGCTAATTCAAGAAGGACGCAAGGCAGCAGTGTATAAAGGTATTCCTTTTCCAATGGTACTGTACCCGAATTTGTCAATCATGGCAGATCTGAAATTAGGACTTCATTGTTTTTAACTTTGATGCTATATGTAATTCTGTAATTACATGATTGGCCTTTTCTTTTATAACAATCATGGATAGGCCCAATTTTTTAACCATTTTTCTTTATTTACATTCCATCTTTTTTATATTTTATAGGGAAAATTTTTAAAAAGGGCATAGGAAAGATCAATATTTATTATTAAGGGCATTACTAATTTTATGATTTTCAATGGGTTAAATATGAAAAATATTTTCTAACAACTTAAAAGACTACTTTAGGCTTCCTTGTTGATTCCGCCTCTCTCCCCCTCTCTCTCTCTTTTTCAGTTTTTCTCCTCTCAGTTCAGAGTATCATCTTAAATTATTGGAGTAAATCATTGAATCTGAGATGTCTTTTTTCTTATCTCTTTTACATATTAATTTTCGTTGTCTTAATTATTAAGTTTTAATAGTGAATAAATGGCATGAACCTTAATGAGAACATTTTCATCAGGAATTATTAACCGCAAGAAATTTGAAGTCTAGCCTTTATGCAAAAGGTTTTTGTTGCTCTGATGATTTGGTTACAAATTAAAATTATCGATGCTTATCAATTTTGTATATGTCATGAAAAGAGAAAATATAAATTCCAAAGAAGTGCTTGCTTCAATCAATATCATTTCATAAGTTGAATAAGTAGACATCAACTTTCTTTTTTTGGTTAATCAATGGACATCAATTTTCAGCAATGAAGAACGAGGGTTAGAATCTTTCTGGAGAGATGAGTCAGTATAGAGCATAGAAAACAACTGATTGAGGGGACAAGTTTTATTGGGAAGAAGATAAGGGAATAAAAAGACTAAATGTTATTGGTCGATTAAAAGGATAAAATTAGGCATTTGTGATATTAAAATATGTATAAAAAATATTTTAATGTTCATACTAAATGATAAAAATGGTAATGCCCTTAAGAATAATATTGATCATTCCGACACCCTTTTTAATAATTCTCCCTATTTTATAATTGGCTATTATTTAGGTAATTAATATATACGATAACATCAGAGTAGCCCGGGCTTCATATTGCTTCATATTATTTAGGTAATTATTTTTTCATTATGATTTATTTGCTTCATATTGCTATTGTTTACTTTTGACCAACAATATGTGGTCAAGATATGCATTTCCTCCGAAACTGGGAACACTATACTTCTATGTAAAAAGCTGGATGACAAGGGAAAAGACTGTGGAGAAGGCGATAAAGGCAATAGAGGTGGAGAAGGGAGAACATTATTATAGCACATTGGAGATGCACATTATGATTCATTCATCCTGTATTTCATTTTTATAACTTAATACTCCAGACAGTCGGCCAATCTATTAATTTCCAGTGTTTATTTATACTTTTTAAAAATAAGTAAATGTTTTTCTATTTGACAAACAATTTTCCAGTTTTTAAATGATCATTTTTCAATGAATGTTATCATTTATGTAACTTTTTAAGACCTTATGCATTTTTAATCAATCTTAATTGTAAATCTTTTTATCGGATCTTAAAAAATTTAATACTAATAATTTAATAATTTTATGCTTCTTAAAAAATATTTTTGTAACATTAGAGGCGCCCGGGGTCCTGCCCTGGCAAGGCATCTAGTTTACTTTATAGTATTACAATTACTGTGATTATTATTATACTATTTTTACTATGATGAAGTCTGTATTATATCATTTTTTTATTTTTCAAAAAAAGGAAAGGGGATTTTTCTTGGTATTATTACCATGTCAAATGAAAATGTTAGTTAAAAATGAAGTATTATATGAACAAGTATCATTAGTATTTCTTTTCTTTTCTTTTTTCGGTTACAAAAAAGAGGTTGTAGGCATGAGAATCACATAAATAAATCATAACAAAATTATACCTTAATATTGAGAAAGACAAGTTTTACCAAGAGCAATTGAGTTTGAGATTTTATTTTATTAAACTCATGCAACAAGACTAGATTGTGAAAGAGTATGCGTCTAGGGAAACCAATTTCGTTTTGTAATTAACTATAGCGAATTCAAAAGGTGGATATCATCACACATAGTTACAAATTATCATTATTATTTTTCTGACCACCATTTTTTCCCCCTCAAAATGTAAAGAAATCAAATAAAAAATAGGAGTTTTTAGGGGGAGGAGAAAAAAGAAAGAAATGAAAGAAAAACGCTGAAAATCTCACAATAAATTGGTAGATTCATAATCAAAGGTGAGATTCGTAAACTCATACAAGGTTTGAGAAGTAGGTTCGGTGCATAATCTGTAACGTGGTGTGTTTTGGTTTTTGAAGCTTATATATATCCTCGACTTCTTTTGCTATTGTATACTCTCTCCGGTACTTAATAAAAGGCATTTTTAATTTGTCTTAAGTTTCACTTACTACGCATTTTTAATTGAAGAAAAAATTTTAAAAATATATCACATTTAGTTTCATGGTTTTTTTTTAATTTTTTTAATTTTTATTGTAATTCATTGGCAAACAAGCAGGTTTAACTCACCATCCATAAACCCGTTTTAAAAACTAATAGCAATTTTTTTCTTCGGATAAAATAGGAGAAAAAGTTTAAATAGATTTAAATTACTACATTTTGTGAATAGAGGGGTTGATTAAATCGTATTCCAATCACTGTAAAATTATAGACAGTAAATCGTTAAACCATCACAAATCTTTTAAAGACAACAGATACTCCCTCCGTCCTATAATTATTGTCCAGCTTTACTAAAATGAAAAATTTTATTTTTGGTCAAACTTAATTATATTTTACCTTAAATAACCGGATATACCCCTACATAAGTAATTGTTTAACCACTAAAATTTTATGGATAATGTTTTTTACTAAGGACAAATGTGTAACTTGATCTATAAAAAGTCAAATTGGACAATAATTTTGGGACAAAATTTTTTGGATAAAGTGGACAATAATTATGGGATGGAGGGAGTAAATGCTTTCTTTTGCTGATAGTTGAGAGTTGGTTATGTGCATATAGAAATTAAACACATACTCTGACGTAAATATTATTAGGAAAACTCATCTATGCCTTGACAATTATATTATTTTCACCAACATATGTAGTGTGTTTATTTAACGTTTCAGTCAGAGATCAAAAAGCACTTGCTTAATTTATAAGACCCAGAGATCTGTATTCCATTCTCTCTTGGCTAAGTTCTAGTACTTTTCAGTTTCCTCTCAGGAGTTTTATCAAATTAAGTGCTAACGACTGAAAAACGTCACTAAAGTTTGGTCATGGAAAAGCAAACGTCACTAAACTTCTCTTTGACATTATTGGAATTCGAGATTTTAAGACTATAGTTTATAATGGCATATATTATACATTTTGTTTTTTAGCCTTCATTAAATGGGTATCAAGAGAATGTTTCTAAATGGTGACATTTTGAGATAGTCTATTTAGTACAACTAGAAAACTTTGTTTGGTGGTTTGCAAATTAAACAATTTCATCTATGGGCTTAAATATATTTCCTCTTAGTAATTCAAGTAACTTTATATTTTCATCTCATTTGGTTTTGGGGTGAACATTGTGATGATTATATACATCACAATTTTAGTAAGAGTTTAAGACAGATAATTAGTAATAAATAAAAAAAATTATATTTAGATATTTAGTAGCAGTTATAAGGTTACGCGGAATCATTAAGACATTTACACACTCACATATCGCAGTTCGATCTAGTTAGAGATCATTTAGTATTCCGACTTCGATTTTGTTTAGTTGTCTATATTATCACAAGGTTGCAAATACAGTATAGTCTTAAAAGGCTTTTATAAAGTTATAATGTGGCAATATTGCAACTATTTAGCTACTTTAATAACAATGACATTAAGTCATTAATTGTTAGGTACAAGTTCAGAATGAACAGATTTTTTAAGGAGCACATTCGGACAAACTCCAATATCACAGAATTATTCAGCTAAGGTATTCATTGAGTATCTTGCTCAAATGAATGATGTGTCATCTGATGATATTACGGTTTAGTGGGAGTTTGTAATTCTGGCTTTGTTTTAAGGGTTCATACATTTATGAACATTTAGATATATTAATACTGCAGTATAAAGTATAAAGTCTAAAGTAAGGGTTAAGGAATAAAGTATACAATTTTCAGTGTACTTACATTCTGAAAGTTCGGTTGATCTCACTAGGTTTAAGGAGGACCAGTTGGAAATAGGCATGTTAAAGATCACATTGCATGTAATTTCCATGCTACACATCCACACTTGATCCATGTCATTTAGTTATATTAATATACGTAACCACTGATGGGTTTAGTTGTGATTAGTGCAACGAGTGCCCCTTTGATTCTATGTTAATGTAATTAATGGACGGAATTGTTTCAGATACTTTTGTGATAGCAATTTTTTGAGCGCTCTAAAGTTTTCGGTATAATATACAATTTTAAGGTGTATATATATATATATGGTATATAGTCCAGGTGAGAGATTGTAAGATCAATGTGGACTTCATACACTAATACATATAATTGTATATTATAAACTATCTTAAAGTACCGGCCCAATTAAAGTGATCTAAATAAGTATACTTAAGTTTGGGCTTATGACAGTAAATTAAGGTATGGTCCAGTACTGTGTAGAAACCTAAGACCCGATTTTTTGTTATGTGATGGGTAGAACTGAAAACCCTATATAGTGGTTATGGTCCCCGGATGAGCCGTCATGCCAAATCTCGACTCTCCAATTGTCAGAGTTTCCCGCAAGGATTTGACAGAATCATCTGGAAGACGAAACCCGAATCAATGTTCTTGCCACTTCAAATTAAGGTACGCTTCCACTTTCGTATAGTTCTCGATAATCTGATATGAAGGTCTCTATAGTTTATGGATTTATTCCAACATCTCGGTCTAATTGTTCGGCTAACTGCACCGCCCAACACACTGCTTGTCTGAGGAATTGTACGGATGAACCCTATTATTCGTGGGATACAAGAATAAACTCGCGCTACTGTTACGAGGCCATATTAATACCATGCAACAACCATTTACAGATTTGTTTCAGCAAATGTCCCGATTGCTGTGATGTCTGTAAAACCCGATTCCTCGATTGTGGTCAAGACTTACTATGCAAAGTGTCACCCGGTTTTGCTTTAGCGGCTGCCCCGGTGACTGTACAGCCTATTAACTCGGAGAATTCCATATCTTCTGGTGGTTCCATTATTGATTTGACACATATGTTCAAAGATATCGCGCGACGCTAGTAGAGCCGGGTGGATTCATGGACAGTATCGTTGCTTTTCTTCTTATCAGTTCATCAATATACTCTGTGTGTCAGTGTGTGTGTGTGTTTCCCTTGTTCCCTTATTTCTTTGATTTGTTTTTTCCATTTTTTTTGTTTTGGTTTGAAATGTATTATGTTATGTAATGATTGTGTGGTTTTTTCCCCTGTAACTGTTGGAGTTATTTTCAATATATTGTAGGGTCACAATTAATATGTTGTGCCTATTAAGTGTTTTCAATATATTGTGGCGATACAACTAATAGGTTGTGTCTATGAACTCCATGTGAAAAGACATTAACGAAAAGTTATGTCTAGGACCATAACCAAGGGTTACGTCTAATCCTTAAGAGTTTCCTCTAACTCTATAAATATGGATCATTTGGATGCTTTTAGTGTACAATGAAATCACCAAATACTTGGAATATTTCCAATGACATTTCTTATCCTAGTATCAGGTTGTTGGTTCACTCAAGTGCATAGTGAAACAACATGATCTCCATTTTATCTCATAGGGAATTTGCATAGACAATTGCACTGTATAGTGGGCGAATTTAGCCTAAAGGAAAGCAAATTTTACTTGTGACTTGGAGACAAAACTTTCTTTTGTCCTAACCATAAATTCTTTCTCTTGTTCTTTGATCTAGTGCAGCCATTGTTGAAGTAGAATTCCAACAATCTTTAGGCTAAATTTTCTTGTTAAACAATGTCTAGTACTTGAAGAATCAAGCAAGGATATTTTCGTTGCACACAAAAATGGTAGAAATGTTGCAGATCATTAGATTTAATAGAAAGGGCAATGATAGGATACAATGAACCTCGTCATCAAAGTAAGAATTATATTTTACTTGTGAATTGTGACATTCCAAGCAAGGTATATATATATTTAATAAATACATGAACGTAGTGATGAGATCTTTGCCTGAGTGGAACATGGTTGTAGAATTCATGAACTTTTGCATGTAAAAGAAATTTACTATGCATTATTTTTTGATTGCCCAAATGTGTGGTTTCTATCAAAATAAAATATTTAATTAATTTGATGATTAATTAAGAAAATGTATGTCATAAAAGGTTTGATAGAGAATTTGGTCATGTTTTTATCATGTCTTTAAATGGAAATGTAAAATTGGCATTTGATATAGCAATTGTGCTTTGAGTGCATGTTATAAATTTTTATAAAGTCGAAATCTGTTGGAATTTATTCTGTGTTTTGTTTGGCTTTGTCGACTTGTTGGTCGACTAGAGTAAAGTTGACAAAGAAGTTGTCGTTCGTTGATATGTCTGACTATTTGGTTTTGTCGACTTGTTCGTCTATAGAATTAAAGTTGATAGAAAAGTCAACCATCCGCTAAAGTGTTTGGCTGTTTGGCCTCGTCGACTTAATCGTCACCTGGATAAAGTCGATAGAAAAGTCAACGACCGAAACCTAAGAAAATCAAAATAAAATAAAATAAATTCTTGTGTGCAGAATTTTTGTGAGTGCATCACATATTAATTATTTGATTTTGGGTTAATCAAATAGAGAACTTTGATCCTAATAAAGTGCTAATTTTGTGTATTTGTGTTTGTTACATGGAATATTTAATTGTATAAATGAATTTGCAATTTATATGATAATTTCATGTGATACATAGTATGACAATAGTGATATAGTTATGAATTATATCATATGTGTTGATATGAATTGAAATTCATGTCTTCCTATATGTTTGAGTTGTTTATGTCAATAACTTAAAGTTTCCATGAGATCTCAAAGAAAAAAAAAGGAGATTATATGTTTGGAAACTTGGAACTCTTTATGTATAATAAAAGAGTTTGAAGAGAATGAAAAATTCTCTATTAAAGTTAAAAAGGAGAATGATTCTTGACCTAAGTCCACATTGTGGAAAATGGACAAAGCATCAAGTCCATGTTCGAAATCATATCAACTAAAATAACAATGAATCAGGTATTAGGAAAGATACCATATTGTAACAAAGAATGACACTAAGAGCTCAAGTGTAAAATGCTTGTAACAAGAGAAATGGAGCTAATTTTTCCAGGAATATGAAGAAAGAAATTGTGACATGGTGATTTCAAAACTTCATATTAGGAAAGATGATTTCATTGTTGGGTTGATTGCGAAATTTGAAAGAACAGACCGGTTCTTCAATTTCCTAAATATGATTATATTAATTAACAGTTTGCATGTATTATTATTTAAATTGTGATCACAAGATGATTTAATGAACTCAGGTTAAGAATTAAAATTCTTAACAAGATTTGAGTCAATAGACTCGTGTGAAGAGATGATCTTTAAAATTTGAGTTAACAAACTCATAAGTAAAGACTAAATATTGAAAGACATTTGGTCTAAAGACTGAATGAATTAAAGGGATATGTGTAAAGTCTAGAAATGATTACTTGCATTGGAACCTCAATTCAACACTAGTAAATACTCTAGTCTTGAATTCAATGAGCGATAGTATAATGTATAAGTAATTGAGCACCACAATATTTATCCCAAAGTAGTTAGTGCCGTATATTTTCCGATGGGTATCAGGTTGAGAATTGACTCTTAACAAACTCTTGTAAATGCCAAAATGGCGGGAGCATTAAGAAGTTTGCCTATATGAATGTCGGACTGGGCATCCACAAAGCTTGAAACTTGGCTTTATTGACATTCATGAAGAGATATGGGTACAAGACCTTACGTACCATACGCACTGGAAAGGTGCAGGCAAGTTGAAGAGAAAGAAACCTATATGTGTTACAATAGTGGCTTGTAACATGTACGCACGGTTCAAAGCTAGTCTACCGGGTTGTACTACAAGTTATGAAACCGACACTAATGTAGTGGTTCAAGTCTAAACAATACCATTATTTTATGCATGGGTTTTACTGGAATTATTCTAGATCTATTTAAAAATTATTTTCAATATATTGAAAATGGCGGGGGATTGTTGGAGTTATTTTCAATATATTGTAGGGACACAATTAATATGTTGTGCCTATTAGGTGTTTTCAATATATTGTAGAGACACAACTAATAGGTTGTGCCTATGAACTCCATATGAGAAGACATTAACGAAAAGTTATGTCTAGGACCATAACCAAGGGTTACGCAAGGGTTACGTCTAATCCTCGAGAGTTTCCTCTAACTCTATAAATATGGATCATTTGGATGTTTTTAGTGTACAATGAAATCACCAAATATTTGGAATATTTTCAATGATATTTCTTATCCTTGTATCAGGTTGTTGGTTCACTAAAGTGTATAGTGAAACAACATGATCTCCATTTTATCTCATAGGGAATTCGCCTAGACAATTGCATTGTATAGTGGGCGAATTCAGGCTAAAGGAAAGCAAGTTTACTTGTGACTTGGAGACAAAACTTTCTTTTGTCCTAACTATAAATTCTTTCTCTTGTTCTTTGATTTAATATATTTATTGTTGTCCACTATTTTTGAAGTAGAATTCCAACAGTAACCATTTGCTACTGTTGTTGGGATTGATTACGATTCAAGAAAATGTTTCAACGAAATCGATTATATATGCCAACCTTAAGATGTGTATAGATCATCGTCGTTGTTTGAAGATCGACATAAATTAAGTAGAAAGAGCACAAAAGTAAGATCCACGAATGATCCAACCATCCAAATTCCATTGACTTCATATGCAACTAACGAGGCTAATTAGGATTTGTCCTTAGTTGATATCAGATATTTGTAACCAAATCCTTCTCCATAGCAGGTCTTAAATATTTCCTCGCGCCGCCTTCCGTTCTAAGAAAATAGCTCATATGAAATTTTAAAATTTATATTATTATTTTTATAGTAGAAATTTCAAAACATAATGTGAAATTTTATTTTATTTTTTTTAAACCGAGGTAATATTAAGTAAATCAGTTCCTATTTCTATCATCAGATGTCGTCGGAAGTTTTTAACAGATGAGCAAGGTTAATTACCTAATTTTATCTGTTACTTTTGCAAATGATTTTATGTGAATCCGTTGATCCATCAACTCTCTCAACGAATCTGGATCGAGACAATTTTGCATGACTTCCGACGGAATTCAGCATCTGAACTACTAAGCAATCACAGAGCTTCTGTCAATAATTGTAGCAAAACATATATTTCTTGAATCTAATAATTTTACCGACAATGTGAAATTCCTTCTCTGTTCGTATCAAAATAATAATAATAATTTAAAAACTATGCGACCATTTTATATCATTAGTATTTCGGTCACTGGAGAATTCCTACATTTCCCCAAACCTTCAACAATAGTCAAACACTTAAAAAGAAAAGGGGAAAAAAAGCAAATTGGAGATTAATTAAAAGGAAACTTAGGGAAAATTAAATAAATTAGAGCCTAAATCTGAGAAATTATAACAATGATGAATCATACTAATGAGAAAAAAGAAAGAACAAAAAAGAAAATGAAAAGATAAATAATAAATTGCATAACATAGAAACAAATAATAATTCCATAGATCGACAAAGGTAAACATTTTTTCCCCCAAAAAGATGATCATATGCCAAAACCATAAGAGAGGATGGAGTTGGCGGAGGACGAAACCTGCTGATTGAAATTCAAATCCACTTCACAACCAGCCGCCCCACCACCAATTGAATTAGAAGTAGTGGTGGTGATTTGATTCAAATCAACGTTCATAATTCCCACATTATGGGATTTCTTCAACAAAGCCAATTCATCAGCACTAGTCAAAACATTTTTCTTCAACTCTTCCAATGCAAGTGCATACTGCTCAAGCTCCTCCAATCCCATGTTCTCTATCGGTTTATCCCACCAATAATCATTGCTACCGAAATTCTTTGAATTCGCCTTCTCTTGTTGTTCCAATTTCTTCTTCTCGATCTCTAATTCTTGACAAAGTCTAGCATAATCCGCGTCGTGTGCATTGATCTCGGCCGCGCTGATCGGGGTAGGGTTTGTAGTATTGTTGCTATTACTAACCCTCCTCGACGATATTGATGTTGACGACGAGGACGATGAACCGTTAACGTAACGGTCGATCAGTCCATCCACACTAGGGTGGCCGAAGGTGAATAGGCGCTTTCCGGAGGATTGGACCATGATGGCTACCTCCGCGCCCGTCAAAATGCAAAATTCGCTCGCTTTTTTGAACAAACCATTACGACGTTTTGAAAACGTCACTTGCCTGTTGCTAACCTTATCGATCTTTTTTATCTCGATCTTCTTGCGGCCTTGAGTTTTCTTCCTCTTCTTGTTCATGATCATCATGGAGTTGTTGGTGATGAGGTTGTTCATGACTAGTTCAAAAATTGCCTTCGAGAAATTTGTGATGTATAAATTATATGGCAGTTGGTGACTTTATATAACCATATTACGTACTAATGGTAATAATTTCCAAAAGAAAGTTTCCGATGAGAAATTACAAAATCAAATTAGATTGATTCGAAATTTTCCGAAAAAGTTTCAATCACAATGTTTTCTTTCCTTACTTTGGCAAATTTTGAAATTGCTTTCACATTACTGTTAGTATTACTTTCATTTGTTTCATAGTATATGTATTATTTGGAGATTTTATCCAAAAATAGGTGATCACACCCTAATTATGAAACGTGATGTGTACATCTAAAGATAATGAATTTTGTGTCATTGATGCATAGTTGACTTAATAAAGCTTACAAAATTATTACCTAATTATAATATTTTGAATGATTGTATTATTTTAGATATTAGAATATTTTCAACAAAATTAGTAAAATTAGTATACATGATTTTAAAGTTAAAAAAAATAAATAAAAACTTTTCTCTTCAGTTGCTTTGATTTGTACTGTTTTATTTGTTCAAAGAGCATGATTTTCTGTTTTTTGAAAACAAATTAAGAACATGAAGAATTCTTTTTTAAGATGAATGATGAAGCATTTAGTAAGGCAATTATTGTTGAATATGCGCAAACTTATCTTTTAGCTAGTTGTAGCTTCCGGAATATTCACTTAAGTATTGTATCATCGGATGATCTTTTTCTACAAAAAATCTCAAATGGTTGTAATGGGCTTCATGATTTTACGACTGAGCATACACCTTAAATAATAATTCATAATTCGCAACTAACTGAATGAACACAATCGATTTATATATATTCTAGTGATGTCTGGTCGTGCATGGCCCAATCTATCTGTAGATCTTAGAAATATTTATATTTGAAAAAAAATAAAATTTTGTATTTGTAGCGATATATTTTAGAAATGTTTGAAGGATTTAGAAATGTTTTATAAGTGTGATCATAGAAATATTTGTATTTCACAAAAAAAAAAAAAATTGTATTTCGCCATGTATGTTTTAGAAATGTTTATAAGTGTTACTTATTAAATATAAATAGCCTTAATCGAATAAATGTGTTGAAGTAAATGTTAGATAAAATATAAAAGCATCCTAATAAATTTAAATATTAGTAAGATGATTTATTGATGTTCTCCATTAGTCGTGCCAAATCAATACTTAGTTTTGGTGATTTTTAATAGTTTTGTAATAAGTTTCATCCGAAGGGTATACGCTTAAAACAAAGTTGACACTTTGTAACAAAAACCTAATTGATCAATTCAATTTAAAAAATCACTCTAGTTGAATGAAACATAAAGAAAAAATAAAACAAAAAAAAAACGTGTCACGTAAAGTGCAAAGGGAAATTTAGTAATTTAGTTATGGTTAGACAAAAGGACAATTTAGTACTTTCTACATGCCACATGGCAATCATATGAGATGTTTGAAAGGGAGGTTTTTGTTTCTAATATAGTAGGATATATATATATATATATATATGGGAACGAGTACAGTCCAACCGACTGAACGATTCAATTAATAATTTTAACCGTTGAATATGTATGATTCATTATCACCGTAGGATCAAATGTGGTATATCATAAAAGAAACAAGACCTAAATCTAGTTGATAATTTTCCATAAATTATGTGTTACTATTTTTCCCCCAAAATTTCATCCGCACCAAGATTCCTATTTCTACATCAAATCTGATTTTCTTAACATTCTATCCTCAATAATTAGTTCAAATATGCTTTGTTTTATTGCCTCAAAGAAACGAAAGAAAAATGAGGCTCCTTTTTTTTTCTAAGAGTATTTTACTAATTTGAAGGGGAATTCGATGGCTCCCCTTTTCTCAATATCTTAATTGGACGCAGTTCGAAATTAATCTTTATAATCATGGGTTTGTTAGCAAAACCCCGAAATAGTGCTTTCGCCTGCATAAGCCGAATCCTCATCCTTTTTTTTTGTTTTATGGCCTCAATTTTATGTTTCTCATACAATTTCTTTTTTTCTTTTTCCTAAAAAGATTTAACTGGAAATTGTTTTCATGATCCCAAATTGGTGGTTAAAATTTGTTGCTGGTAGTTGATTAGTTTTTAGATTAATACATTTGTTGAATCCACTCATATTTGATCATCACTATCATATGTGCCCATAAGTTTATATTTATATTGGGAGAAAATGGCTGTTTCTTTGACCAGATTTCCCTGAAGCTGGTGAGGGAATGAGGAAAAAGACCCAGATTCTAACGTGATATCAATTACTTCATTGCTTGATGATTGGGGTTTCAGTTAAAAGAAATCTTGGTAAGAAAAAAAATTAAAATAATACAATCAAAGGTAATGACCAGGTTAGGAATCAAATTGGATTTATTACAATATTTCTCACCCATGAACACATGTGTGGTGATTTGCTTTGATTGGATAGATTTTAACTAGATGGGTCAATGAACCATAGAACCATAGAGTTTTGATTGGAAGGCAAAACTCTAACACATTTGTTTTGGTTGTTTGCACGGGTGATCAACCCGAGAAACCATATTTAGTAAGGTTCCAAAAATGGAAAAATCAAAAAGCACTAGAACGAGGACAGAGGATGAACAAGTAAATTACAGCTCCACTGGCTGGTTCTAATGAATCATTGATAAATGTAATAACGTCGAGAATGTGTTACGGATAAATTACAAATTAGATGATATATATATATATAGGGCCACTATTAACACTGCCAAAAATGCTGCCATGTTTAAATAAGCAGCTTTACAACAAAACAGATGATGACCCTCATCATCATTTTGATGGGTGGCTCTACAATAAGATAGCAGAGGTTTCTAGCTTCTCTTGTTAAGTTACTACTACTCCTTGTTGCGGGATGACCGATCTTTCCTGTGTCCACCAAGAATACGAGATATCTGAAGACCTCTACTGAATGCTTGGTTGAACAACATTCGAGTTTGGAATTCCGAAACGAATGGGAACCAGGCGAGAAATGCGACTGGGGTGAACAGAAGCAGACCCATGACGATTTCATAGCCACGCGCAAGCGTCCGCACTGATCCCCAGAATCCTGCTCTGTGTACCAGAGGCTTGCAAGCTTGCGCAATCTGCAGTAGTTCAATAAAAGATAATTATGCCTTTAGGTAAAACGGTTAATGTAGAAATGCGCTTTTGGGAAGTAGTTTTTTTTTTTTTATTGTATTTCAAGTAACATGGACAAATCTATATATATATATATATATATACTAGTGATGTCTGGTCGCGCAATGCGCGACCCTGGCCCAGTCTATCTGTAGATCTTAGAAATGTTTATATTTGAAAAAAATAAAATTTTGTATTTGGAGCGATATATTTTAGAAATGTTTGAAGGATTTAGAAATGTTTTATAAGTGTGATCATAGAAATATTTGTATTTCGCAAAAAATAAATAAATTATATTTCCCCATGTATGTTTTAGAAATGTTTTATAAGTGTTACTTATTAAATATAAATAGCTTAATCGAATATATGTGCTGAAGTAAATGTTAGATAAAATATAAAAGCATCCTAATAAATTTAAATATTAATAAGATGATTTATTGATGTTCTCCATTGGTCGTGCCAAATCAATACTTAGTTTTGGAGATTTTTAATAGCTTTGTAATAAACTTCATCCAAAGGGTATACGCTTAAAACAAAATTGACACTTTGTAACAAAAAACCTAATTGATCAATTCAATTTAAAAAACCACTCTAGTTGAATGAAACATAAAGGAAAAAAAAAATGTATCATGTAAAGTGCAAAGGGAGATTTAGTAATTTAGTTATGATTAAACAAAAGGGTAATTTATTATTTTCTACCTGCCACGTGGCAATCATATGAGTTGTTTGAAGGGAGGTTTTTGTTTCTAATATAGTAAGATATATATATATATATATATATATATATATATATATACACTATACTAAGGCAAAAATCAGAGAGAAAAAACTAAAGGCATGGAGCACATGCCACATAGGATTTAATCATATGTGGCATTTTCTTAATTTCTTAGACTTAAAAATGCACAAAACAAAATAATAAAACAAAAAAAAAAACAACTAAAATAATTTTTAAAAAAAAAACAAAATAATAAAAACCAAACCCTTATTTTCATGAACCAAATCCTAACACAGAGATTGATTGGAGAAAGTACCAAATCCTAACAAATTTTAGAGAGATCTGCATAAACCTTATCACCAGTGAATTTAAAATGTTATTTAAAAAAAAAAACAAATTCCTGTAAATCCAGAGGTAATCATGTTTAAAACTGAAGTCATTACATATTTTATAAAAATACAAAATTTATGTAAAAATGTCTAAATGTGTATGCCTTCCCCGTCCATCGGTGGGTCTAACACCTAGTTATGATTATAAATGAAATACAACGGCAAACTGGTTTGTCTGAAATTGGATTACTATGATAGAATAACCGAGTTTAGATTGTGTTTTGCCTTTCGGCTAACTTTCAATGCAGCAATGCACCTTTTTACAAATAAAACACAAAAGTTTAACATTTTCAAGGAAAAACCAAAAGCCGAAACTGATGCACTATCCAAGTAAGCCTTGAATAGTTTCTAGTTTAGAATGTGTTTTGCCTTTTGACTAACTTTCATCGCAACAACAAATGCACCTATTTGCAATTATGACACAAAACTTTTACATGTTCAAGGGAAAAAACAAAAGCCAAAAGTGATACACTATTCAAGAAAGCCTGCGGAGTTCACACATGACTGCGTAGTTGACAAAATGCAACTTTGCTCAACACTAAGAGGTAGTTGTAATAGGAGGAAGATAGCTTTTATCTAATCATTTTTTACCAGGTTGATACCTTTAGAGTCATTACCGAACGTCAATCATAATGAATACCATAAATTTTAAAACCGGAGACATTACTGACCTGAAGTAAGCCCCAACCAGTGGGCATGAAGGCAAGAATGCAGACGACAATGTCTTGTGGTGTCATGTGAAGCACGGCCATCAATGTTACCACAATAGAGACAAATGTGATAAAGATCATTCCCTTGATAAGTCGGAACATGAGCTGAAAATTTGCGCTGAACTTTCGCCTACCAACAGAGATTGTCTGCAGAGGGTTTGAAAAAAGAAATATATTCAGTTGAGTACAGATACAAGCGACAAAACTATAAGCAGCTTAATGACATTCTCATTGTCATCACAAGTGATAAACACAAAAAACAAACATAACCAATGTAAGATCAATAAGATTACAGTGAAAACTTCTCACAATGAAGAAGTATCTTAATAAACATTCTCACCTTCATCACAAACAGAACAAGTAAGATTACCAACCATGATATGCCATAAACCTGCAACGCAGATCCATTTGATCAATCTCAAAGAATTTCAATACACCAGCTGCAGAACAAAAAAGCAGTACAACTTCAAGACAGAACATACCAGAAAACTTCTGTCAGGTGTCTTCGTCTTTATCATGTTCAGGTGGTACACAAGCCCATACTGGTAGATAAAAAATCGCAAAGACAGCAAAATCTCTGCAATTGTACCACGTAAGCCAGTATGACGAAGATGCTCTTGCTCCTCTTCCCACCAAGATTCCCAACTTTTTTCAGGAGGAACACCAATACCTCCCGTGTTACTGATCCACTTGTTCCAATCCGTCCAGTCATCAACAATCTTTTGCCACTCAAATCCAGACGGATTGAATAGAAATGGAGCAAAAAGCCAAGTGCCCACCATAAACCACATGGACACAGTGATCAAGATGTAGGCAAGAGGACTTCTATAAGACTGACCAAAAATTTCATACACAACGAGCAATATCATGAGCTCAAGCCCCTTGACAAAGTGACTACGAGAATAGAGCCGGTAATTATCTGCAAATTTGGCATGAAACACGACAAATCCACGGCCTGTGGCTCGGTACATTGCTCCGCCATGAAGCAAGGTTCTTCCATAGTAGTGAGTCTTAGTTCCAAGGGAAAAAGTGAAGAAAACTGGTGCCAACTGCAACTGCATCAGTACAAAGTCACTAAGTGCTGTTCGAAAGCCCCTTTCAAGACCTATTTCCATCATCATAGGTAAGGCCATCAGGACTCCAATTTGCACAAAAGATTGAGAAGCAAGAGCCACTTGAAGAGGCTTGTTGTCTCTAATAGCTGGTTGGTTATTTAATCCTTCTTCAAGTCCACTAAGAACCAGATAAAGACGTCCATAGAGGAATACATACACTGTGAGGACAGTTATCTGCACAAAAATAGGAAATACGTCAGAATATCAAAAAATTTACTGCAACCCATGAACTGAACAAAACAAATTGAAGTTGTTACTATACCAGAGTACTGAAGTAGAATCCAATGGTTGTGAAATAGCAAGATAACATTCGGAAGAAATCAAAACGATGTCCAAGCCTGTACAGATCACGGCTCAGCGTTTGCTCGCCATTTCCATTAGCAATTTTAGCTTCGAAAAGAGAAATCTGATTAAGACCAACATCTCTTCCTTTCCCAACTTGTATGTACTCATGGTGAGTCACATTGCCTTCCCGAAGGGTAGAATTAAAACCTGCATTTTCCCAGAGAGTATCGTGGTAAGAGAAATGACAGATGAACACTTCTTAGTGGTGATTGCAACTTCGTCATTAGAAAGGTACCAGCAAAGATGTCTTCACTGAGGTTGATGATCTTTGAAGCTTTACTAACTCCACCTCTAGTGAGGTGGAATAATCTATCAAAAACATCCGGATGACCATAATGAAACCGAACCCTATAAAAGAGATGAAAATATACATTGTATTAGTTAATTGATTCGTAAAGAAGCTGGTAAAGTATAAAGGAGATTTGAGAAGTTGCAACTATGGAATTGGGGGGGGGGAGGTTGTTTGAAGAGAGAGAGAGAGAGAGCGAAAGCGAGCTTACTTCAGAGGGTTAGCCAACAATCTTTGACCAATTGTCACAAAACTAGTTTCTTGGTTAGACATAAACCAAGCAAGAGATGAAACACTGCAGTAGATGGAAGAGACTGCATCAAATCGTACGAACGTCCAAATCATTGATTGAAAACAAGTACCGTAATACCTACCTTCCGGTGAATATGTGCTCCCTCAACCCAAGAATTGAAGGATATCGGACACCATCATGCCTTTTAAGAAATTCTTGAAGCAAGTTCCTCATCTTTAATGCTTCTTCCATGTAATTGTCCTGTAGATAAATGCTCTGTTAGGATAGTACCTAATTGAGTTAGAAATGTAGCAGGTAAGACTAAAGTACCTGATTCATATCTATTGTTTGTAAACCTTCTCCACGAGTGAAGATAATGGCATGATTCTGGTTTTCAGGTTTTCCTTCACCCAAGATGGCAGGTCCTGGAAGTTTTATCCGATAAATTATCTGCAAGTGGAATCGAGTGTCATAAATCAGGCATAATCACAATTCCGTTTTTGTCTAAATTACGTAGTAAATAACAAAGAAGACACTTGTCAGCTCATAAATAATGACACTATTCCGTTTCTACCAGAGAAATCTATATAACATTAAACTGATGCTTGAAAGAACTTTAGACGGAAAGACAAAAGATCAATACAACTAACTCTGAAATCTTTTCAACTGAACTAGAGCAATTTGAGGGTCAATTCTGCCAATGTTGAATCATATTTAAGATCTAGAATGTCACCTGGTCCAAATTTTGTCCTGGATCTGAAGAATTTGATTTTGGCATAGCGGCCTTGACAAGAGTGGAATAGTAGACCTTCTGATTGACTTTCTTAGACCTATCTTTACTTGGTTCTTCGACTTCATCAATATATGCCACCCGAAGTGATGGGTACCTATGGAAGGAAAAAACTTATGAGGATCATTCATGTGTTAAATATTTACATAATAAACAGCTGAAAATGACACGTACGTGATCATCAGTCTCAAAATATCCTGAGCACGAGGATCGCCAGATCTTTTGTGAATCCCATATAGTTGGCAAGAAACGACGTATGTGAACTTCATGTCAGCCACTGCTTGACATTGCGTCCAAAGTGAACGCTCTCCCTTCATCTGATCCTCATTTAACTCAATAGCCTTGTATCCTTCCATCAAATCTGATTGAAATAACATAATATGTAAAACATTCCTTGCAATCATGCGTAGCTTCCGGATATACAAGATGAAACTAATATAATTCAGGAATAGGTCAGTCACCTTCATCCTTGGCCATATCTAGGAATGCTTGAAGTTCAAGGGCTTTCCGATAGTACATCATGCCTCGAACTGAAAATCATTACTCTTGTTAAACACAAGAACCAGTGACAATTAAAAAGGAAAATAATAATAAAAGACTAGATGGACGCAACCTATTCGCATAAGAACCAAATAAAACTTGGAGAAGAAAGCATTTAGTACCAGTTTTGGTTAATGTCTGGCCTCTGTATGAAGCCCAAAGTCGCATCTGTTCCTCTAATTCATCGGAACCTCTAAGTTCTTCCTCATTGTTGCATTTTACTCTTTCAAGGAAATTGGTCCACTCGTCTGCACGTGTTTGGACGGGTTAACGGAAAGCAAAGCACGCACAACTGAAAACTGATGACTCAACACAAACCTGGAAAGATTTTTTGCAGGTAAAACAGGATAGAAACCCCATCTTCATTCGGCACTTCCAGATCGTGCAATGAAAACAGCACCTCCTCTGTGTAGTAAGGAGTTAAAACACTACCAAATAAACAAAAAATAAAACGTTATTAGGAACCAAAATCCAAGCTGGCAGGGGTAAGAACAAAAACTCCACTAGTTCACTCTGGAGAAAAACTCATCAGAACAGTTTCAGATTTCAAATGCAGAATTTTCTTAGAAAAAACTGGGCTCAATTATTTTGACAGCCTAAGGGGGAACTAAGTTAATCAAAACTTGTTTAGTCAATTGCAACATTTAAACATCTCATCATGTGCTCAAACTCACAGTTTCACATGAACATCAAGAGCATTCATAATACGTGAGAGACATCTTGTACATAAAAAGTAATTTGTCATGCACGTAAGGATGGTTAAAAGAGTAATAAGACTTTGTATAACTACTCAAAATTATGCAGATAACCTCTGTATTTGTTTACCAGCAACAGCAAGCCATAATTAAACAAATAGAGCTTCCCACTTACGAAAATGAAAGCATATTGCGGACTTTAGGTGCTAAAGGCATGTCCATGAATAGTGAATTAGAGAAGAAGGAAATACGCCTTCTAGCTTCTAAGTTGGATGGTACATCCATAGCTGACTCCTTCACTGTAAGAAGCAAATATAACCGCTTGATCTGTATCAAAAAGAAATTTGGACGAGTGTAAACAAATTATTGATAGCTTAAAATTCAAAAGTACATCCTTCATAATAATTTGTCTACCAATTTTAGAACCTTCAAGGAGATTACCTTCTCTTTCCAAGCTTCTGTTTCAGGAGTTGGAAATTTGATGGCTCCGGCAGAGGCAAATAATTGATACTGTTGATCCAGGGGAATCATTCCTTCATGTCCTGAATTCCCATGGATAGAATCCACCAAGCTGTTTACAGAATGATGTCAGATCTAAGAAGTGCATGCAATAGTAATAATGGAGGAACTAACAAACTTTATGAAGCTTCACCTGGATATATGGTCCTCCATCATTATATCTCGTGTCACAACTTCTAGCATATCTTGGAAAAGAATCACAACTTGATCCCTATCTTCCTGCTTATTCTCAAGCTGCAAACAGGAACATCAAGCTTTACGTGAAACTCTAAGGCCGGGCATCAAACCTCCACAAAAATGAAACCACAACTTCTACAGGGGTGAACAAGGCAAAACGATGCCATTGCTAAGCTTCTAAAAGACTCACCAAGAACTTGATAAGCTTGATAAAGAGGTCATAAAGGCTAGGGAGAGCACTCAGTTTATATTCATTCGCAATATCACCAGCTTCAATATGCTTGTCAACTTCCAAAAATATAAACTCAATAACCCTGAAACATATAAAAACAGTAACATAAATCAAAACATGACCTGCCAAGTAACAGTGAAGAATTCATTTCATTAGCCAAATATGTCAAACTTACTCCTTTTCTCGGTCACCTCGGACCAGAAACATTATTATGTTTCGAAATGACTTGTAGCACTCACTAACAGCACAAGACATGTAATTATCAGCAGAAATCCTCTTTTTCAGTTCACGATCCTTGCCATTGCTATCTTTAGCCATATCAACTGCTATCGGAATCTACACAATCAATTTTCAATGACAATAAACAGGCGTAAACTTTCTTAACACAACAAAGGTCAAAAGAAATGCGACTAGCAGGAAGAAATGAAAGAAACTCATCGTGTCGACACAGAGTAATGAAGAAATGAAGAGAAAATTCCATTTAGATGTCAGAAATAGAACAGAAACCTTGCTAGCAAGTAAAAAAGGAGGCCACTGTATGACATCCAACTCACGGTCAGCCCAATATGGAACAAGCAAAAGATCCATCTCCCTGAAATGAAAGAAAGCAAGTAGCTGTCAGTTAAGAAAAGAAGCTCACCATTCTCAAAATTACCAAGTAAAGTTTCTATTCCTTCACATGCCATGAGATTGTAACATTTAAGAAAATACATCCACAGTTACCTATTGCTTATGAGATCTTCCTCCCTGAAACTAGTGATTATTTTGTTCCATAGCTGAGCAAATCTTGCAGCTTCTTTCTCTAAACTGGGAAGGATCTGGAATTTGCACAGTATGCTAATTAGCTTCAAGTTACTAAAGCTCAGTTGAAAAATAAAAATATGGTCGCCAATTCAAGATAAATATTTAAATAACAAAATGCAAAGAAGAAAATAAACCTCCGCAAAGTTGCGAGACAGTGTGGCCTTCAGTCCTTTCTTTTTCACAGGCTCATTCTTCTCCTCTGGTATTAAACAGGCATTAAATGCTCCAGGAAGGGACTGAAATCTCGACCTCAACATCCCCAAAGTTCTAATCTGGAAGTATGAGAGCAAAGTGTTACTACAAAGATGAGAAACAGCTCAATTACTTCATAAATGGTTATAGAAAAGTTTTTCTTATTATTTCTCCCATCCTTGCCCCACAATTGGAAACTAGTTTTGAAATTTCATTAACAAAAAAGGGTAGTAGGCTAAAACTCCACGGCCTATTTAGCTCAAATCACCTCCAACAAGTAATTGTTAAAATACATGGAAGTATAAAATTTAATGTCAAGTTCATCTGAAACCTTTAACGCATCCTAACAAGAAAATTAGATTGATTTTATTCTTTTCCATAATAGCAGCAAAACTTGATTTCCTCCCATAGAGAACTAAGGTTCAATCTGACATTTAACTCAGAACAATAGTCTTCTAAACTTAAACCAGAGACCCCCTCCTCCCCTCCCCCTCTTTCCCAGAAGCATTGCAAAGGAGAGGGCATCCACAAACCTCTCCCAAACGCCTGAATGCGCCATAAACGCCTCCAAATAATGTCGAGAAGATGGCATACCAGATTTGGGTATCCATGAAATATACCTACCAGAAACACATTATAAATGGAAACAAGAAAAAGTGAGCTAACATTTCATTTCGAAATGCAAGAGAGAGGGATCTCCTGGCCTCCAGAAATAATTGATACAGAACCAAATTAAAACTCTCTTACCAGAATAATTGGAGCCCAAAGTGCAATTACAACACCTATATTGCTACTTGCTGCAGACAAGAGGAGAAGGTCACAAAAATTATGTCATAAACCCAAAGATTGGATTAAATTCAGACAGCTATGACAAGTACCATTGGGAAAAAATTCGTGCCATTGATATGTGTGAATGTGAACGCTCATAATGGCCTGTGTAGGACCCACCAGAGGCTTGATCTGCAGAAAGAACCAGAAAACAAATGCATACTTTGTAAGAGAAGGGAAACACTATTACATTTATCCAGGTACTTTATAATTCTAATCTATGCTGATGCATGGTTAACTGAGTTCACTCATGGTTCTTGACTGGAGAATCTTTGAGTGAGAAAAAACCTCCTTTAGATGGGTAAAAGTAAAGTTTCGGCAGTTTCTTGGCAACATTGAGAACAAGATATGGAGTAGCCCCCAAGAAAAACCAGTTTACAAGAGAATAAATTAACAATGAGCACACGTGGATACCATAATAGCAATTTCCAAACAAAACAAATTTGCAACTGGATTGTACCTCTATACTATAAGATCTTATTTGCAACTAGATTGTACCTCTATAACATTAGATCAGAGCGACTCAAAAAAAAAATTCTGCAAGTCACAGACTGAATTTGGTAAAATTCTTGCAAAATCAGCAGCCACTGCCATTACGCTTTTGATAGCGCATATCACCAAGGAACTTTGTTGACTTGAGAGCAAAACCTTGCCAACTATTGTTGCTATTTGACAGCAAAAATTTACTAACTATTCATACTATAGTTGAGCTATTTCATGCACACTAACTGTAACATAAAATTTGGATTATATGCTTAACTGTATTCAGGGATTATTGACATTACACATCCCCTTTTTCATCTAGTATCTTCTGGGTTACATGGGGCAGGGAATGCAAGTGTAATTGCTGAAAGAAGCAATTTTATTGCTGGCTAGACCAAAGCAACAAAGAGTTCAAACAGCTATTACTTTTAAGATGAAAGAGTGCAGCTTTGTAATCATTTACATGCTTTTACAAAGAAAGGAACCCAACAAGTTCAGAAAGATGCAGCACACCATGGCGGTCCACAGAAGTTTACACATCAATTCTTCCACACACACACACAATTGACAGAAATTGAAAACCGGGGGGTGGGGGGGAGTCAAACGCAGGTGCCAGATAATGTTAAAAAGTAAAATAAGAAATAAATAAAATAAGTTCACCAAGGTAAACAGAACAAGTGACAAAAAAGTTTGGAACTTGAGAACGCACCTCAATGTAATAACTGAAAGCCAATTTAGTAGCTAGCAAAAGAACCCAGAACATGGTATACCTGAAAGTGCCCATACAATAAATCAGGTATCAACCCAAATATTGTACCACAGTTCAGACAAGCTTATTACTTCGAAAGTCTTACTTGAAAAGAGAAAATGCACTCTCATGCATTCCCCTACCAACATAAAGCCGAGGCTGCAAAAATCCATACTCACAGGTTATCATCATTTCACTACAAATAAAGAATAGACAACCTTAGGGAAATGAGTCAGGCGCACCTGCGACCACCACATCATGAGCATCACAATTCTGTAGTTTGATCTCTCAAGAAATCGACGTACAAAGGGGAAAAGAAACAGCAAGGCAGCAAGCATATTTGGCGACAAGTAAACAACAACCGCCAAGATAAAAAGTGTCGGTGAACTTGAGCTATTGCCGAACCATCGTTTAATGGTTTGGGCGAATCCAGGAGGATTCTCCCAAGTGTAAGCGTAAGTAACTGGCAGAATAATCACCCATGCAGCAGCAGATACAACCTTTAGAATATAACGTAGCTTGACATAGAGTGACATGCTATTCCTTGCTTTGAAACTTAGAATTACGTCAAGTGAAGCTGCAGAATTCAAAGAAAAAGTTACCATCAAACCAAAAAACTCTAGCGAGCATGGAGAATTAAGACATAAAACCTTTAACTATGGCAACGTGAAATTTATATTCAACAAATCCTTGTCTCTTGCAGCGAGAGCACAAATATTGGCTATGATTATTCATATCTAACAGAAAGTAACGAACTTGATAACCCCTAAATGCAGGAAGTGCAGCTAAGTAGGGGAAACCACCAAACTTAATATCAAATATTCCTCAAATGGAACACAGTCTTGGAACTCTTAAATGGAAGAAGTTCAGTTTGAAGCAGACAAAGAAGATTTTTGACATCAAGTTTAACTACTTCCAAGATGGATAGTTCATTTCGAGTTCCAAAGTAACTATGTCTGCAAACATTCTTTCCTTAAGTATGGAGATGAACAATATTTCTAGTTGTTCCATAAAGGAACAAACAAAAAGACATGAAATTTATAGAGGAAATCTGATCATGAAACATGCATAAAACCTTAATTTAGGAACATGAGAAGCTTCTATGCAGATGCCATTGGTAAAATCATTGGAAACTGCTGAAAATGATCTATCCCACGGGATACACAGGATGCATAAAGATATATAGAAAGACAAGATTAAAAAAAGACATATAGGTGTATAATACAAGACAAGATGCATAAAGAAAGGACGATATAAATTCCACACATAAGAATGGTAACAACATATAGGAGGATACACAAACTGATAACGCACGTTCTCAAAACAAGATAAAAAGGATTCAATACAATACATAGATCACATCAGATTGGAAACAATTTTAAAATACCTTGACCAAGCTTCAGTACCGCAGCAGTGATAAAGATACTCAGAACTTTTTTGAAGACTTGAGGATCAAAAATCTGACTAGGTTCCCCCGAACCATTCCAAGCAAGGATAATCATGGCCTTCACAGAATTTCAATTGTTGAAAATAGAGAAAACCATAGATGTTTACTAAAACCAAGAAAAAAAAAATTTAATAAACAAATGGCAATTTACCTGTAAGCACAAGATGAAGAAACTCCACATCCTGTCAAAACTTCTGAAAATGTGCCAAAATGATCGTATCTCGACAAAATTGACTTTCCCAACCCATCGATCTCTGGCGGGCTTGTCATTCTCCTATACGAAGCACGAGTGGAGTTAACCTGAAACATGTATTGACCCACAAAAAAACCATACTGGCACTAAAAAGATGGTAGACACAAAAAGGCATTATGATCATTTGTAGGGAGTTAATAGTTTTACGAGAGAGAATGAATGCTTAGAAAACAAGTTTTGCGGCGCGATGATACTACTAGCAGCTTGGAGCAGTAAGATCATATCAAGTTTGAATAGAAGCAAGAGATTAATCAGTTTAAAACCAACAAAAGGACACCAGTTTATCATCATTTTAAAATTCATCTTAGCTTCCGCTAGAAATATTTTCAGCTTAAGAATACAAAAAGCAATATCAGAATTACAAATTTGAGCGTCACTAAATAGAAGCGAACTGCTAACATTTAAGAGGTAGGGGTTAAAAACTCGAGGTCCTGGGTTCATATCCAGGAGCTTGAATCGAGAAAGTTAACGAAAAAGATAATGTAGCATAATTGGAAAAGAACGTAATAGTTATTATGTTTATAACCACTAAGCATAGAAGAAAGATCAGCGCAAATGAATAACATTCTTCATCATAATTCTCATAATCAACCATCGTAACTAACTTAGCAAAAGCTTGAGTCAGAAAAATGACTCTTCAGACAGAAAGTAATGACTAACACATACCTCATCTTTTTCAAACCGTCTCGGTTCCACAGGCTTGCAAAAAAAATCAGCGTCTGCACGCATAGGCCAGCCCAACCGAAAGCAATCCACTGACCTACAATGGAGGGAGCTCTATTAAGAAAGTACAAGATACACAAATATTGGCATCACAAAAACTCTAATAAAACAGTCCATTACCAGAAGTATTCATTCAGATCATCATAGTTCCTCCACTGGGAATGTTTGGATTTCCCCCTTTTGCTCCTTGCAGCCTCCTGTAATGGAAATGAACTTTAAGCGAAAGCAAAGGTTGGGCTTGAAAAGAAATCAATATAACAAAAACATGGAAAGATACCCGTGCTATCACTTCATAAATAGGAGTTACAACTTTTTGTAGGAAAGCTTCTTCCTCTCCTCCATAAGCTGGTTTTACATTTTCCCCTGTCGTGGGACTGACATTGCCCGCAAGCATACCATAAAGTTCAAAGGCCATCTACAATAGATGGAAACAAATCAAACTTTTAAGTATTGTTAAAAATAAGCCCAAGCACAGAACCTCAGACTCAAATTGAAACGAGATCAAACATGAAAGTACTCAGAATAAAGTTAACCAAATAAGCATAACAGCAGAAAAATAAAGTATTATAAATGAGTCTAGCAACATGAGAAATTTTTATTTAGCGTGAAGCTAATACAGACCGGCTAAGTGTGATAGAACAGTCACCAAATTGAAGATATGCATAACAGGAACAGCTGCTGACAGTAGAAATTGAAAGGCAACCAGGAATAGACTGGAGTATTAAACATTTCTTTTTTTATTTTTGAAAATAAGGAATATGGATGGTGCTAAAAAAATACAACTTATACCTTGCGTGAAGTAACCTTATCAAAAGAAAGGATACATTAAAATAAATAAATAGAACATAAACAACATTGGGTGAATTATTTCAGAGAATCTCTTTGTATCAGTGGTACAAATTCAATATGAAAGAAATCCAAGGTCCAGCAAAACAAAGATAAGAGTCAATCTTTTGAATAATTAGTAACATTATGTTTACGAAGACCTACATGGTGATAAATGTAGCAAAGACACTCTGGCATGAATCTTAAGTTTGCAGCTTCACCCCAAATAAGAAGATACAATCCCATATAGAGCAATTTACGCTGTTGAACTTCTTGTTGTATGGTCGGCAACCTAAAGAGGTCAAATATTTTGGCAATGGTGATCAAGGATCTGAAAGATACATATATTATGAATTGTACATCTGTAACATGCTTTACCAGAGACTGCTCTTGCGATCCAGATATTTGCACCACTTTTTGTAGTTCTTGAAAAGCTTTTTCATCACCTCATTAAGAGCACGCTCATCCAACTGCATGTGGGAAAATTAAAAAACAATAGATTATTTGCAGTTACATTAAACAGTAAATTAAAGAAAAGGACAACACCTAACAAAGATCAGCTCAGGGAAGTACTTAATAATTCAAAATTGGAAAATAATAAATAAATAAAATGAACAAGCATTTCTGCAGTGCCACTAGAAAGAATATCAATGACAATTGAAAAATTCAATGCAAGATTACAGATTGATATTAACAAGTTAGTTCAGACTTGCTTAACAAATTCCTAAAGTTCAAAAAAGGAGCATTCACACTAAAATGTAAGGCAGCATTGCCTTTCTTAAGGGTGTTTAGTATAATATTCCTCTCATTTCAGCAGTACTTTAAGGTTATAAATAATAGAGAAAGACCAAATCCATAAAGAGCAGTTTAAACATATAATAAATAGCGGGACAGGACAATTAGAACAGAAATTTAACAGGATTGTTGTGCAAACAAAAGGAGAACATGCTAAATTTGATAACTACTCTTGCTTTAACACAGGCACAGTCCATAACCATTTGTAACATAATAACATGTTCAGAAATAACCATGTCATAATCATCAGACTAGATCTTACTAAGCCATTAAGAAAGTTTCCCCACAGGGTCACACCTTGGGTTGTTGATCAGGTTTTGGAAACTGCCGTATATGGACATTAGCAAGTAACATGATGAGATGCTCCCTTTGATTGGCCACATTGTCCTTCTGCAAAATGAGAGCAATACGGAGTGTAAAAGCATTAAATAACTATCATCCGATAAAGAGCATCGGGGAGTGTTGAAACAATAAAATCTATTCTTGAATAATAGAGCAGAAACATTTAAGGTCTCCGAGAAACTTCAAAATACCAGATAAGTAGCTTAAAACCAGACAAAGTATGTAGCTCAAAGAAATTCGTTGACCTGAAATCCAAACATAGCTTGGAGCCAGTCAAGGATATCTTCCTCTTTCTTCTTCTTGTAATCTTTAGGCCATGGAAGGCCTCTTGTATTACGAAGTGCATGCACAGCAGCTTGAATCTAAGATAATTGACCAAGGCACCATTATGGCCGGAAGAGAGGAAAAGGGAACAAATATGCGATGTAGGAGAAGACAGGAAGCAGGCAAACCTCCGGATATTTCATAATAGCCTGGTTGGCACTATCAGGGTCAAGGGGAAGAATATTATAAGGGACATAAATTTCTGTCTTCTCTGCAACCTTATCATGTGCTTCCAGAATCTGAAATTACACACTCAAATCAGTCACCGCTGGATGAAAATCCCCATTTACTTGAACAAGCAACCACAAGAACATATCCAGGTAAGATCACGATATTGTTGCTCATTTACCTCTCGATCCACTTCCACAGCTTGTGTTTGATTAACAGCTCTCAAAACTTCAAAGAGTACATTAGCTGTTTGGTATGCCTTTGTGAGCTGTGCCCTGAAAGTTAAAAATGCTGAGAATCAAATACCACAAATTGCAACATAAATGATCAAAGCCCAAGAAGAACTTAAAATCTTGACAAATTCAGAGGAAAGATGGCTCACCGATCAGCTTTATCTGCAGCATTCTGCAATGCCTGAATATACTTTTTGTAATAATGTTGATAAAAACTCTGCATTTCCCTTGCATCACTCTTCTTAACCCTTCCCATTAGGGTGGGATCATTCTCCTGAAACACAAAAGGGCAAATAGCACAATGAACAAAGGAGAAAATAGGATATAGTGGCCAAAACAATCGGAAGCTCTAATAGGTAAGTATTAAACGGTGGTGGTGTAGCAGTCACAGCCAAGTAGTTAACACCATTAGGTCCATAATAATCAGTTGATAATGTTAGCAGACAGAGTGCTGAAAATCTACAGGAAACCAATTCTACTGATCAACTAGCCATTTATAAGATGAAATAAATAAAAAAAAAAAGTATATATTTAAGTAAGCTAGCACGAGCCACAAAGAAGGAGCCTAAGAATGTTAATCACAAAAAGAAAATAGAGGGAAGACTTCTATTACACATAATTTGCTCTCCTAAAATTGGAAGTAAAACCCACTTAGCGTGATCTATAACAATTATGTTGACATAAAATTGACTAAGTCATGTGTGGTTAAATCACTGATCTATATAAATCCCCACACATTTCAAGGAAAGCCATAATAGAGACATATTTCAGATGCAGTAATCAGTTTACAAACATATGCCGACATATCTACTCTACAAGTGCAAAAACCTAAAAAATGCTGAAGATGCAACAAGCCTAAGGGAATCCTTCAGAGAGACATTTTCTGGTAGGAAAAAAAGACAGCCCACTAATATGTATCTACAATAGCAACGAAGAAACATGAGCTGATTATTTACTCTACCCTAGTACCAAAACTACAGGAAATTTGAAAAGAAAGTAACTACAGTAAAACAGGACAAAGATGTTAAAATTCTAACATGTACTAACAAAATAAAGATTTTAAACACATGGTGAAGTCAATGAACTGCTGCAAGGGGTAAAGAAGTTCTTACTCTTTCAAGCCGTTGTAGAAGTGCAGTTTTGAATTGCCGAACACCACGTCCACTAGAAGTGGGATCCAATCTATGAGCTTTCTCAAAAGCATAAAACCGACCTACACCAATGAACAACCAAATAAATCTCTCAAACTGAAAGTATGCTTACAAGAGATGAACTCAAGGAGCAGACAGCAGAATCAGGCCATGGATATTTCAAATCAAATCAATTCTTGCCTCTACTTCTTATTTCTTGATCTACCAACTGTAACTTAAGAAAACGCTACAAAGTATGTCAATGTTTGAAACAGTATCACTTCACCTCAGATAAGAAGCTCCCATTTACACGTCCCCTGCATTTCTATTCCAAATAGCATAATGTCCCCTTCAATACTAGACTTTTATACTTTAGACTCATAGTGGTAGTATCAATGTTGGCTCTTTCTCTACTATGCATCATCACTTTTCTACCCAAAAAAAAACTATACATACAACCCTCAGCTACTAAACCTATCCATCAATGTTTATTTCAAAAAACTAGAAAGAAAAAGCAACAAAGAGCAAACAAATTTTCTTCAACAGAGAATGACCAGGATCTTACAAAATCAACAAAGACAAAAGTGTTTTTTCTTTTTTTGGAGGGGGGTGGGAGGGAGTCCATTCTACATATGCAGTAACTAAACCAAACCCAAAAGGCTACCAACAACATTGCATTTCCATTTACAACGTTGCATTTCCATTTACAACAACAAACTAATTTACCACAAAAAAATTACAATTTCAAGTCTCAAATATGTCACCATCTTTGTTTTCGCGATGAACAAAGATGGTGACAAATGGTTCCATTCAAGTCCAATTAATCATTAAAACTTTACCAAAGCCATTTCCTGTCGAAGCACAACAAAGCCAAAATCAAAATAATAATCTCTTCACATCAGGATTTTAAAATTTGACCATAGTTAATAAAAGTTTGCAATAACACCCATTCACTCAACATTTTAGCTTATTTTTCCTTTCCAGCAAAGAAACACTACACTGAAATGGTGTTAGCGTCAATCGCCAAAGAGAAAAAAAAAATAAAAATAAAAAATAAATAAAAAATAAATTTGGAAGAGAAAATGTACAATCAACCATTGAAGTCCTCAACAACACTTTCACGCATGATAAAAACTTGAACAAGATACGAGAAGAAACAGAAAGACAAAAAGAAATTTGGCATTAATTTTCCCAAGATGCTTACAAAGATAAGCTACACGGGGATTGCTAGGCTCCACTTCATTAGCAACACGGAGAATGGGAGCGATCTCCACCAAAGATGACGGCACCACCTCACTATCAAAGATAGATTCTCCCAGATTCCCCACCGTCTGCGTCCGCGTTATCCGCCGCTGCAACGGCGGTTGCGGGGTGGAAGGCCCACCTCGAGACGACATCGTCTTTTTCACTCACACCACCACCGCCACAACTCTCTGTTCTTTCTAAACCCAAATACCAAAATGCTCCAAAAATCAAAGCTTTTTTTTTTTGTTCTTTTCCCACTCCAAAAATCAAATTTACGAAACTTTTACTTCCATGAGCTCATCATCATCCCAACTTCCAAAATAAATTAGTACACTGCAGCAACAAATTACAAGCTGAATGACGTCAGTTCCAAAATTTCAAAAACAAAAAAAAAAATCAATCAAACTTTAAACATTACTTGAAGAAATGAAAATGAGATCAGCAATGAGGCTACACAAAAAATGAGTAAAAATTCTCTCTTTTTTTTTTCTTATTCCATGGGGATGTTACCTTTTTCACTAAAAGTAAGATGCACTTTTCGGCATTTGACGGTGGGAAAACAGAGCACAATGTGAGGCAGTGCGTGAGTGTGTGAGAGAGAATAAAGATGGAATACAGAAAAGAGAGTATAAACCCTAGGATAGTGAAGGGAGAGGGAGAGGATGGTGGGGTGCTGATACTTTAAGCTACTTAGCAGAAAAGGAAAAGAGAGGTGAGGAAGAAAGGGAAGAGGTGAGAGTATCGTACTGTGTGACTGTGTGTTTTGCAGTTTGTGGGGAGATGGTGCCAAAAGTTACAGTGTTTAATTTTCATTTGTTTTTTGTTTTTTTTTTGGAGTTTTGTTTGTTTGAGGTGGATGGATGGGTGGGGAGTGTGATGGAATTGTCGGAAAAAATGAGTCACTTTTGACCCTGAGGTTTCATGGTATTACGAGTCTGACATTCTGGGAAGAAGACCGTTTGTGAATTGTGATTTTCAAGGTTCTCATGCACGTAGGGACATAAATGCCCTCTATTTCAAATTGTGTAGGAGTACAAGAGAGAATAATTGTATAGGTAAATTTTATTTACAATGAATTTTTTCTGTTTATTTCGTTTTTTCAACACTTTCACCATGTATTCAGAATTTTTAAATGAAATATTCTTCATCCCAATATTTTTCCTTATGTTTCTAATATATAATTTTTTTATATTTTCAAATTAAAAACACTTTTTAATCTTCAAATGATACTATTAATCTTTCAATTTACTATCTTTATTATTTGAATTTTAATCAAATAATTTTTTATTTGAATCCCTCTTTGACTATTTCCTGATTACCACAACAGACCCATGACATAAGTAATTGAAAATTGTTGGTTTTTATAAATTCAAAATATGAACTTATTAAAGAGAGAATCTAAGTTAGAAAGAAATAAAAAGAAAGAATGAAAACTAATTTTGCTAAGTCGAATTTAAGTTAGATTAGTGAATTGAAGATTATACTTGTTTTAACTTTTGATCTGAATTATATTAGATGAGTCCATGATTTTATTACAAGTCGGTAATTCTTAAGCAAAAAGAAAATATCTCGTCAAAAGAATAGTGATAATTCTTGCAGGGGTAGCACGGTCAATTACCGAAGGTACCAGGTAGTGGCTATTTTGGTAAAAAGCAGCGAAGTCGTGGGCACATTTATTCATTCAGGTGTTCGAAATTCAAAAAAGTAGATTCCGTTAAAAAAATCAAAAGCCAACAAAAAAAAACGTAAAAATTAGCCGTTTCAAAAAATCTTAGAAAGACCATTTCACCCTCAAAAGTATCACAAAATTGCATCTCCTCTCGTGTTCTTTTTACGACATTCTCCACAACATAAGGGCTAAATTCCTGAATGCACGGATTTCGACGCGCCAGATTTTCTCCAATAACAATCCCCTCTGATGACGATAGGCCCTTTTCGGTGGCTCTTGTTTTCATCCTTTACTAATTACCAGCCCAGTAATTACTGCTAATTACTGCTCTAAGCCTCTTTTTCCCTTTTTTTTTTTTTTTTGTTGAGAGAACTTTTCCCCTTCTTGGATTGGGATGGCTATGTATGTTTTACTAGTACTTCCTTTTTGACCAATGTTTTTGAAAAAGGGAAAAAGTTTTGGAAAGAAACATTTGGAAAATTTCATATCGGAATAAGAGATCTTTTAATATAAAAGATTATTATTGTTTCCGTCTCAAAATAATTATCTGATTTATTTTATTTTCTGATTCGTTTTATATTCACTGCCTTAAAGTAAAATATTTTGAACCATTTCGGATTAACAAACAATTTAGTCAACATGTGAAATTACTACCAAAATATAAAAAGTACTCATAATGGCAAGGAATCATGTAAAAGTTACATTTAACTTGTCGTTTTGATATGGTTTTGCATTTGTATTGTTTAATTGAAAATTAAGATACTGTTAAACAACATTACTTATGTCGAACACTAAACATTAAACAACAATGATATTCACATTGTAATGCACTAAATATAAATGTACCGTATTAAATTTGTTATGACCTTTTTTTTCTTTTTTTTTGGGTTGGCTTGTCACCGTCTTTCTATTTCATTTTATTTTATTTTTACCTAAAGTTGTACCTTTTCAATGAGGTAGGGGAACACATTTTGAAAATTCTTGTCCACTTAATAAACTTTTGAGCTTTTGGAGTCTAAATTGGGTATGAAGCTCCATCTTTTGCTAGACTATGGTATTAATATAGTCTAATTAATGTTTATGAATTAGTATGACATTGATGTAAGATCAAACTGTGTGAACTGGTCATGCCTTTCACTCCTTTCTTTTTGGGGATTTCACTTGCATGTTACTATTTAATATAGTATTATTTTTTATTAATATATTATATAAAATAAAATACAAGTGAAATCCAACAAAATAGAAACTAAAATGCACTTTTTTGGCATTTTATTGTATTTAATATATCGATAAAAGAATTAATACTGTATTAAATATTAAAAAAATACAATGTTGCATTTTATCGTTTTTTCCCTTTGATTTCGAGATTTCAATTCTAGAAATTATTCAACATATGTACATTATTAGTTTTTTTTTTGGTTTAATAAATTATCTAAAACATTTTCATGTGACGCAAAAGTATATATGATTTATTTATTTCCTTTTTGTTGTTTTAAGTAGTTATCTAAAAATTTACATATTAAATGATAAGTATTTTTGTCTGTGTGAAAAATGTACATGACTAATTATCATCAAAATACTCCAATTTTGTAACCAAAATGTGGATGTTCATATCAAATTTGTACTGCTTTAAACAATATTAAAATTAACAAAAAATGATTTAAGATCTGACTTTTAACATTGGACCGGATATACTTTTCCTCCCCCAACTTTTGACGATAGCAAGATTGAGTCACTATAAATTTTCAATTAGAAAAACTAGTCCCCTAAAATATTTTTCTCATCAATTTTGGTTCATTTAACAAATTTTTTGAAAAATTAACGGGAGAAGTCAATTTTGCGCTAATAACAAAATATTTTATTAATTTTCCTGACTGCGGACCCCACATCCATTCGACTTTAAAAACAAACTCAAATAAAAAGAAAAAAAAAATTCTTTACTCCTTCTCTCTCAACATCCGGCCGCACCACCACAACCACCGACCGCCGCCACCACTTCCGCCCATCCGGAGCACCAAGCCCTCTGGTTTGTTTCTTCAGCAATAGCACCAAAGTAATCAACTGAGTTATCCGAAAAAATTTCAGAGAATTCCATAACCGCTTTATTAAGAACCCCGAAACCAAACTTTTGGATTGATAGGTTCTTCCACAGGGGTAAGGGTGGAGAGAAATTTATGCTCCCAGCTTTCAAGCAACCAAACAAGCCTGCAATATTTTTCTAAATTAAGTCCACGCATATTGTGAAAGATATACAATTCACCTAATCAATTCTAAGAAACCTATCAGTGTTGATTAAGTCTCAACCTAACCTAATGGTTTCAAATTCATGTTTTATCTTTACACTGTCACTTAAGTTTAGAATTTTCAGATTTTCAAACTAGTCCTGACCCCCCAATCATCCATTGCTCATCTTTGTACATAATCAATAATTAATAATAAAAATAATAATAATATTATCATCATTGCCATTAGTTCTGATTTCTCAAGTGATTCCAGAAATTGAACCAACAACAATAGCTACATAAACAACAGAGTCGATAGACTCAAGCAAGCATATAGCATCATCCTTTACACTCCGCTCTCTTTGTTTCTGTCCTTTTGCCATACACATTTCCTTCTATCTTAAACCAATCAATATGAGAAACTAAGTAACAAGCCACGTCAAGATAGTGGCTACTAGAATTTAATACCTATATTCTTACTTCAACTACTAATCTTGATTCAATTCCTTTATTAAAATCGAATGATAATTCGGTGGTAAAACTTACTTAATTGGGAGGTAGCTATAACTCGCTCTTAGCAATCGGTTAGCAAAGGCTAGCTCCAAATGATCAATTCGGCAGCGTTGATCCCTAAAGCCAGTTTCCTTCTTCCCTTTTCGCTCCTTTCTCTTTATCAATCCAATTATCACGACAGCTTCCCTCTCAGTCCACTGGTTTTGATTATAAATATTAAAAATATTTGGTGGTAGAAGGCTTGAGATTTGATGTAAAAACTTTGATAACAACGTATATTTGTATTGTTTCCTTTGTAGGATCCCAAGAATTCATAGCAGCATATATCTTTGGTATGACTCTGCCCAAGACTTTGACGAGATCCATGGAAATGGGTTTTCTTGAGAGCTTCGGATGGGTGGAAGTGGTGGTGGTGGTGGTGGTGGTCGGTGATTGTGGTGGTGCTACTGGATGTTGAGGGAGAAGGAGGAAATTTTTTTTTTCTTTTTATTTGATTTTATTAAAAAAAGTCAAATGGTTGTGGGGCTCACGGTCAGAAAAATTAATAAAATATTTTGTTATTAATGTAGAGCTGACTTCTCCCGTTAATTTTACAAAAAATATGTTAAATGAACCAATATTGATGAGCAAAACATTTTAGACAATTATTTTTGCCAATTGAAAATTCATGGTGACTTGATCTTGCTACGCTCAAAATTTGGAGGACGAAAAGTGCATTTTGTCCTTCAACATTTGTGAACTTTCAAGTTGTAATCCACAAGCCTTCTTTATCACTTTAAAGAGTTTTAACATGTAATCCATCATCCTTTTGTTTAGAGCATCTCCAACCAACACACCAAAACACTAAATTTGATGTTTTGGAGGTAAAGATTGCACTATAACGAAGACACCAAATTACTGTATTTTTTGGTGCAATTAATAATGTTACACCAGATTTGGTGTAAATTGTCAATTACACTATTTTTAGTGTACTATCTTTTTACTTCAATCTAAATATATCTTTGCTATATAATTGAACTTGTGAAACGAATTATGTTGTGAAAATTATATATTTTAAATATTTTGTTGAGATCTTTAAAACAAGACCCGTATTAAATATAAAATTTATTTTTTAAAAAATTAATCATTAGTTATTACTCCCTCCGTCCCATAATTATTGTCCAGTTTTACTAAAATGAAAGATTTTATTTTTGGTCAAACTTAACTATATTTTACCTTAAACAACCGGATATACCCCTACATAAGTAATTATTTAACCACTAAGATTTTATGGATAATATTTTTTACTAAGAACAAATGTGTAACTTGATCCATAAAAAGTCAAATTGGACAATAATTTTGGGACAAAATTTTTTGGGTAAAGTGGACAATAATTATGGGACGGAGGGAGTATTAAACTTGAGTATGAAACAAAAATTAAAAAAAATGATACTACTACAATCATATATAAAAAACGATTACATGAAACAAATTTCATAAAATTATCACCAAATTACAAGTTTTAATTAATCACCAAACAAAATTTAACCTAAAATATTAAATATTTAAATCATTTGGTGCATTAAGGTTGGAGAACAAAGGAATTTGGAGCAAAAAGATTCTTGAAATATTCCTTTTCTGCACTAATCTTGATACAAATTATAGTGGAATGATTGGAAATGCTCTTATATTTTCAGAAGATACACCATTACTGTAAGTGTAGAATACATAACTTCCTTTTTCCTTATTTCTAAATATACAAATTCTCTTTCCATGTAGCTCGGTAATTAGAAAACCTTGTAATTTTACCCCTCACAAAATGATTGTCTCTAGCTTGGATTTATGCTAGTAATACAACTTTGACAATCATCTTTTAGAAAGAACACTTCTTATCAAATTACTTTTTGCTATGCAAGTATAACCATATTAACACTGTATGTATCGTTTTTGGTATCTTGATGTCTTCAAATAGTTATTGATTTACAAGAGAACTTGTAGTTGATTTCTCGTAATGCTTGTGAAATTTATAAATTTGGCATATCTGTGTTAAGCTCAAACTAATGATTATTTAATTCTTGTCTTATTTGATATAGTTGGTAATTATATTTTCCGCGCCTTCATCCATTTTTTCACATGTACATTAACGATTTCATCATTTCTTATGATGTTACTTTTACATCTCAATGTCTTTGATAACATTTTCCATTTATTTTTTTTTTGATTAGGTGAAAATTCACATGTTTTACATAAATACGATAAATTATGTACCCAGTTAAAAATGTATAAAAAATAATGTAGATCTCTAGTCTACGGGAACATTTATTTGGAGTTAAATAATGGAACTCCTAGATAATATTAACATTGCCAAGAACAGAAGGCAATTGTGTGATTAGTTCGTTAAGATGTTTTAGCAATGATTACATTAAAAACTTTAAGAATTTTGGATGGTTTTATTTTCTCCTATACACCCTCAGTTCTTGTTTATGTACACACAAACGGGCTTGAGTGTTTTGAGAAAAAATTGGGGGTTTGAAACAAATTTATCACATACTTTCTCCGGAACATTGAATTTTGGGGTTTTTTTTTTTCTCAAAAATAATACAAATTTTAAAATTTCATCTGGATTTTTTTTTGGCACAAAAAATAATTTATTTTTTGGTAAAGTTTTATTATATTATTATCACTTAAAAATATCGCCAACCAATAATACTGATAACTAGACGTTTTTCATTTTTGAAAAACAATACTTTAGATCAAAAGTACAAAACATCTTTTGAGAGCATAACGTGACAATTTGATTTCAACAATCTTTTCAGAATTATCAAATTTTTTTTATACTATTAAAAACACAAGGAGTGTTGCAACCAAGAGAATTGTAAAAATCTAGACCTTAATTTTAAGATGAGAAATATTTATCAAAATTTAATTTTAAGTTGAGATAAAACCTTCTGAGCACTTTGTACATAAAAAAAAAAAAAGAGAATCCTTCAATTTTCCTTAAGAAGAAAGACCATAACAAAGAAAATTCTTCATTTCCCATTTTTTTTGCTTCCTGGTTCCTGCCTTCCTCCCATCACCAAAGCATATTCTTGTCCCTTCATTTATTTATTTATTTATTTATAGTAACATTCTAGTCATAATAAATACATTCTAGTCATTTTCTCCATTTTTTTTCTCTATTAATAGTGTGCTGCAAATCATAAAAGTCTTCCAGTTTCTCAAATAACCCTACATCTTGAAAAAACCCTAAAGTCGATCTTCGTGAAATTTTTCAATTTGATCCGATCCATCTGAAGCCATGGATGAAGAGTACGATGTGATTGTGCTCGGTACTGGTCTCAAGGAGTGCATCCTCAGTGGTCTTCTCTCCGTCGATGGCCTAAAGGTTCTCTGTTCTGTACTTCAGTTTGAATTTAGCTTTAGGACTTATTCAGTTTGATCGCGTAATTGAATTTTTTTTTTTTTTTTATAAGCGTGATTAAGTCTGATTTTATCGGCTTGATAGTCAATTGAGCAATGTTTGAATACTTCAGGCGGCGAATCAGAAGAGATTTGTGATTCAATTCGCAGTCAAATCACTTTATCTAATAATATCTAAGTTTGTGGTTCACTTATTGAGGGAGAAATGATGGAGTAAATGTTTGAATGTTTAAGATAATTAAACTGAGGTGGATACGTGGAGATTGCTAATTCTTTATTAAGCTGAAGTATACTTGTGTCGTTCAATGTGTGTCTGTATTTCTGTTTTTTGGGGGTGGGGTTTGGGAGGCGATAATGGTTGTGGAATATACAGTCTTCATGATCTCTCATTTTAGCAGAATATCTTGTTGATTCAGATAGAGCTGATACGATTTGAGCTTCCACAGTGGGTGATTTCATGCATGAGTTACTTGACAATGTGGTGGTCAGACAACTCTATGTTTCTATCACCAGAGTTCTTAAAAGTTGTGGATCTTTTGGAGAAACGGAAAGAATAATCGTGTTGATATTCTTGTAATGTTGAGAACTGGAGTGAAGATCTGGGATGGATTTGATTCCTGATATAAGTTGGGTTGCTTAATTTCCTGTGTGAAGTTAGATCAAATGAGTTCCTACGAGGAAATTTTCTTATTTCTCTTTCTTTTTTTCCCCCCTAAAAAGGAGCTATTCTTTCTGACTTCCCTCGTTCTCTGTGATACAAGTTCATTCCTTCTTTCTTTGATATTTTAATGTACACTTTCTGTCTGTTAAGAAGCTATTGCTTTAAGTGGTCACTTGTCCTTGCAAGGAAAATTTTTCATGGAAATCAAATTTCTTCTATTATGAAAGTTGATGAATTGAGGTTTTTATGTTACATATCATGATGGAAAATTCAGCTCCGTGTTTGATTGTTTAAAGTTGAAGTTTTCTCTAATCACTACTTTGCACTTATTGTACAAGCCCCCTTTTGGTTTCATTTCTAAAAATGGCGCCTACCTTTAAGGTTGCTAAGCTCTTGTTCTTATTGTGAGTGGTGTTCTGTCGACATTTTAGTGCCACGAGTGTGATTTCCCATCCCTTTGCTTGACCTAATAACTAAGAGATTTCACAATTGTGATCAAAGCAAATGTGATCCAGAGTTAGTATTACGTGCATAAGTCATCTTAGAACATACGAATGGGACAGTGCATGTACAAGACCCACCTTTACAGTCCTGGTATGGGGAACACTGGGCTAAGAAAGTGTTGGACCTCGTGGTATCGCAAGGACCTGAAAGGGGAAGACATGTAACACCCTGCATTGGATGGAGAGTAAGTGAGTTTATAGAAGTAACTTTGGAAATAGACAGGAATGAGCGGACAATAATATGTGCCTGGGGTCACTGTTGGTTTTGTATCAATTTAGTGCAGCTGATTCCGAGGGTTGGGTCACCTGGGAAGTTCCGTTTTGGAGTAACTTTGTATACATTTTTTAAAATGTTGAGGTGTATAATATACTTATGTTTTCCGGTTTGGATATATTCTATTGGTGCTTGGCCATTATGGTGCGTATGTATTTCGTTGAATAGCTCCTGTGTGTGCCTGTACGTATGAAGAATGAGCTAATTTTTCTTCTTTTGTGTCTTATGTGTGCTGTGAACTCTATGAACAATTGGTGTTAATATACTATTCTCTTTGCAATGGAGTTTCCCCCCCTAGTTTCTATTATCCTGAATTCGATGCTCAGAGAATGATATCCTTTTCTTCGTAAAATAGGTTCTGCATATGGATAGGAATGACTATTACGGAGGAGAATCAACTTCACTGAATCTTGTTCAGGTAACAACGCAACATTTTCTTTCCCATTAATTGGTGGGATCGCATTATCTTTGATATCCTTAATACATCTTTTAATCACAGCTGTGGAAGAAGTTCCGAGGAAGTGAGAATCCTCCGTCAAACCTGGGTTCCAGCCGGGACTACAATGTTGACATGATGCCCAAGGTTTGATCAATATTCAGAATTGCCTGATTTTATATCTGTTTCGCTGCTGCTGTAGATTTTATGCTAAGGGGTGTGGCTTTTGTTTTGGTTAGTTTATAATGGCAAATGGAGCTCTTGTACGTGTCCTCATTCATACGGATGTCACAAAATACTTGTACTTCAAGGCCGTCGATGGTAGCTTTGTTTATGTCAAAGGAAAGGTATAGCAATTCTAATTGCAAAATCATTCTCTTGGCGTAATGTTACTGTTTCTAATCATCAATTCTGAAATATGCACATCATTTTGAGACTTAGTTTTTTTTTTTTTTTCTTGCCATAGGTTCACAAGGTTCCTGCAAATGACATGGAAGCCCTTAAATCTCCTCTGATGGGTATTTTTGAGAAACGTCGAGCTCGCAAGTTCTTTGTTTATGTCCAAAATTATGATGAAAATGATCCCAAGACTCATGAAGGGATGGATCTGACAAGAGTGACCACTAGGGATTTTATTGCGTAAGCTACCATCCTTCTACAATTATATATAAGAGACTCTCTTAACCTGATTCTAAAGCACTATGTATCAGTTTTGTGTTTGGTTACTTTGGCATGCTACACATTCATTATGAAAAAATCATTCACACTTGGTACCAAAAAGATAAATGAAGCATATTATCTTGTAACGATAATTATGTGCAACTTTCATGCCTGCTTTGCTGAACAATCAGTTTTGCTACAGGTTATCACGTTGTAGTTTAAGAATTTTTATTAAACTGTCCTTTGTTCTTGGTGATAGGAAATTTGGTCTTGATGACAATACTGTGGATTTTATTGGTCACTCATTGGCTCTTCATCGAGATGATCGCTACTTGGATGAGCCTGCACTCGATACCGTGAAGAGAGTGAAGGTAAAGAGATCTCATTGTTTGCTTTCTGATATTGGCTGCCTGGAGCTTCATTTCTGATTAATCTGTTTGAATTATGTGATAGCTGTACGCTGAATCTTTGGCACGTTTTGGAGGAAGTTCACCATATATTTATCCTTTATATGGGTTAGGAGAGCTTCCACAGGTTTGCCTCTTTCGTTTTGTTTCTCCTGGTTCAATTTCCCTCGTGAAAATGATGTGGTTCACCTTTTCCTCTCCTCCTTTCTGTAGTTTGATTATTTGCTTTGATTGTTCTGCCATTGCAAGTTTATTTCTTACATCTTAATGTTAACTTCTAAATGACCTCTACTTTTTTGTATGCCTTTTGGAATATTTCTGTTTCATTCAGGCATTTGCTCGCTTAAGTGCTGTCTACGGTGGGACCTACATGTTGAATAAACCCGAGTGCAAGGTATCCCTTTTCCAAACTCTTAGGACATTAGGAGTAGATAAATTTTCCCACCCCTGGTGGCCGGGTCCCCCTTATTCTATACACGCATGCCACATGGTGTTGGATTAATAGGCCCTTTTATTTTTCAGAATGATGCTTGAAGTGGCTTTATGTTTTGCTCAATTCCAGGTAGAGTTTGACGAGGAAGGAAAGGTCATGGGTGTCACATCAGAAGGGGAAACGGCAAAGTGCAAGAAAGTTGTGTGTGACCCTTCCTACTTGTCCAACAAGGTAATTGACTTATTTCTATGAAAATAGTTGCAAATTGCATTTCATGAAACCCGTCGGTTTCTAAATCATGTCAGTTCGAATGTATTTTTTGTTATGTTCAAATTCATTTTCCTTTTGGGATATGTAATGTATGTATGTGTGTGTGGGTGTATATATATCTATATATATATATATACATACATATATATATATATTTACAGATCGGTTATCTAGATTTCATTTTCTTGTCAAGTATCAGAAGATGAGTCTTTTTACTTAAATTTTGCTGGGGAGTAGTATAGGAACCAGCGTAATGGTGACTGTTCAAATGTTGCTATTATGAGCTAACACAAGATTTGCTGTTGTTTAGGTCAGGAAAGTTGGGAAAGTTGCTAGAGCTATTGCAATCATGAGCCACCCCATTCCAAATACCAATGATTCTCATTCAGTGCAGATTATTCTTCCTCAGAAACAGTTGGGTCGGCGTTCAGACATGTAAGTCCTAGTAATTCCTCTTATGAATTACATTATCATACGAGTGGTAAACCACAAAAGAGTTGTAACAGCATGGAAATATATGATATTTCACAATATTCGGTTATTGAAATGTTGAGAAGTTATTTTGTCACGCTATTCAGATTTTAGTATTATTATCGTGGGTATGGAGTATTATTCAGGCTAGCGAGCTCTATCTTTGTTGACAGCAAGAGTAATAGTGGAAGAGAATCTTATTTTCCAAATTGCTGTCAATGTTTTGCTATGTGGTTTGTTCTTTGCAATTTCTGGTTTACATATGTTAAGGATATTGGTAAAAAAGTGCTCGAATGTTTGTTATGCTTTGTGATGGGGAGACACGTGTATCTAGCAGTTCATGCTGGATTCTTGATTTGCTTTGATGATTTTCCTTATTCTGGTTGAAATAAATATGATGTTTACCTGAGGGAGTGGATTTGTAAATGTTTTAAACTCTTTCTAAACCTTAACTCTGGGGAAATTTATGTCATGCAGGTATGTCTTCTGTTCTTCCTACTCTCATAATGTCGCTCCAAAGGGAAAATTTATTGCTTTTGTCTCAACGGAGGCTGAAACTGAACATCCTGAGACTGAATTGAAGCCTGGTATCGATCTACTTGGCCCAGTGGATGAGATTTTCTATGATATTTATGATAGATATGAACCAGTCAATGAGCCTTCTCTGGACAATTGTTTCATATCAACTGTAAGTTCCTCATTGCTGTCATCTTACCGAAGGCTTTGACATAGAACTTCTTTGACTTGCTGCATCTAATTTTTCTCGACAGAGTTATGATCCAACAACTCACTTTGAGTCGACTGTGGTTGATGTGCTCAATATGTATACCTTGATTACTGGAAAGGTAAAGATGAAACCTGTGCTAAATTTCTAACTTGTCTATAACTACTTCCCCATGCCTAAGTGCATCTTTAGCTTCTTTTTGACTACTTTTTGAACACTGTTGCATGTTGGCATTCCATATATTGAGAATACTAATGGTAAGGTGACCATTAGTGCTTTAGTTTATAATTCTAAATTTGACCTAGTTTCCTTGCAATTGTACTGTCAGGATTAATGTCTTTGATGTTAAATGGGTCTCACTTCCTGAGGACTTACTAGTGAAAATTAGGAAATGTGATGCATGCACCAAATTTTTCTCCCATGTATCTCGTATCTTCATTAAGTTCTCTGTATCGATAATTTTTGAATGGAATGATAAATTTCATGCAAGGGTTCAAGAGTACATTGGTTATAAAAGGTCATTCATAATGTTGTGATATACCTATGAAAGTATGAAATTTCTGAAGTACAAAAGTGGCAATGTAAAGGATGAGGGGTTTTTTTTTGACTTATTTTTTTTATGAGTATTTAAATCCCATATTACACGACTTTGCTATGTTCCTGGTGTCATGTCTTTTTCAATAATCACGATATGTTTCCTTGGTAGTTTCAGCTATCTTCATTTCAACATAATGAACGGCAGATACTAACGATTAGTTCTTGTCATTTATCGCAGGTTCTTGACCTCAATGTGGATCTGAGTGCTGCCAGTGCTGCTGAAGAATGAGGCCCAAGTTTGTTGCTGCACATGATCTCCTTGTTTTAGCCTGCCAAAGTCTATCCTTGTAAAAACTTTGGCATGTTTGCTTTGTAAAAGTGGACATAAAATTGAAGTTATCCTTTGGTTTGGTTACAGAATTGCTGATGTAATCTCTTAATCTTGTTCTTAGTTTTGCATTATAATCGCCTTTTTTGTTTTTTTCACTTGTTAGGCTATACATTTCGCATTTATCTTTGTGTCCTACATTTGAGGCTGGTGAATATCCCATATCTCCTAAGGTTTGCCTCATTGGGGCTCTGTGTGGTTCAACGGGGCCTTCTTGGGGACCGGGATGTGCTTTCTGGAAATGTGGTTTGAATAAATATCGCTCATAGAATCTAGCTCAAGTGGACAAGAGAATCTGAGTATTAATCTTCTTTTTGAATTTTAGATGTTTTTTACATAATCTGAATTCTGGTATACTGTACATATGTTTGGTTTGTTTTTTCGTGGCGGTTACGTCCTTCCTGAAAAATATTCTCTAATCTTTAATAATTGCTGGAAAACAAATTACTTTATTCTTTTTTAGTTACGGAGTTTCAACTAACGAAGTTTTTGTACCATTTTCAAAAAAAAAAAAAAAAAAACCAAGTTTTTGCACTTGCTTTGAAAGCAAGGGTGGAAAACGTTAATTTCAGAAGTTGTTTATTTTACAATACCTGCAGCATGCGTGGAATAGATTATAACATTTTTATATCATGAATAATTCTTAAAATATAAAAGATAGTACATATCACAAGAGTATGAATTACAATTTGCAAGGTAACATTGTACATGAAAAAACAATATGCTTTTCCATATCACGATAAAAAAATTATAATTTGGGGATAATTAGATAGTATTATAATAAAACAATCCAACCATGAATCATCATCCACCAAAAATAATCCATAATAGATAAAGTTAGAGAATAATTAGAAGATTTATTGTGAGATTATAAGTTAGATGGAGGCATATACTAAAGATTTGGTTATATTTTTTTTAGTAGCTTTTCTTTTTCAACCGTAATTAGGGCCTGTTTCTTTTCTTATTAAATTAGAGGACTTGTTTAAGAATTATGTAAAGTTTATTTTTTGAGAACTAATGAAAAAATGACGCATTGGATTTTGTTATAGATGACACTTTAAAAACAACTAGATGCTTGCCTCGGGTGTTCGGGGTGCCGCATGTATTTTTAAATAGATCAAATAAAAAATTAATAAATCATCCTTAAAAAAATAAAAAAATATAGAAATACAAAATCGATTGAAAGGACAAGAACTGAGTTACTACACATAAATTTATGCCCGGCTTTACAACATTTAATTTATAATAGTTAACTTATGCCTGAGATTACATAAATCATAAATCAATATTTACAACAGAAGAATTAAAAAGAAATAAATCATTCTTAAAAAAATTAAATTTCTTTCCATGACCGTTTCTTTTTCGTCTATTGTAGAAAAAGATGGATTGATAATTGATGTCAGATTTTTAGTACTCCCTCCGTTCCAAAATAAGTCTCGTTTTAGCAAAATAGAGAAATTTCAAAATAAGTGTCGTTCTCACATTTCAATGTACTTTTTGTCCAAATCTTCCAAAATTACCCTAAAAAAAATTAATACTATTGGTGGATATTTTTTTAATGGGGTTAGTTGAGGATATTCAAGTAATTTTATTACCCTATTTAAGAGTTTCTTAAACTATGTGCAAAGTGTAAGATGACACTTATTTTGGAATGGAGGGAGTAGTTGATTTGAAGGCCCGTGTCTGAGAGAGGAGCGGAATGAAAGAGATCCTTTGAGATTGGGAACTGGGGAAAGGTTAATGACTGTTTCACTTGATTTAATAAATTTTTTAATATTTGATTTTATCAACTCAATATTGATGTTTTAAGGGATTAGTATATACCTATAATTAAGAGATTTTTATGTAGCTATGATTAAGGGATTTATTTATTTATTATGTATTCCATCCTTTTTTCTGATTAGTTAGAGTGTCACGTGTCAAAAATGATTTTGTACTGAAAATGACTTTTCACGGGAAATTTTTATTGTAGTACTGACACATGTCCTTTTTGTTTGCTGCTTTAATTAAGTACTATAGATTTTTAGTTTCTCTCTTCGGTTTTTCTATCAGTTATATGCTATATAGATAGATTTAATATGAGATGTGGATAGGGTTTGAGAGAAGGTAAGAAAGATATGACTAAAAGCTCAGAGTTCCAATTAACTTTGATAACTACAATCAAAAGAGTTAAAAAAATCAAAATGGTTATAAATTTTGCAGACAAAATATGATCAAGATTATACATAACCAAAATGAATTTAATGGTCGACATTAGTTGATACTAATTTTCATTCATCATCCGCATAGTAGTCGTTTGTAATATTTGAATCATTTTAATGATTGAAATTATTCAGTGGACAGTGCGAAAGAATTTTTAATAAATTCCATCTATCAATTTTGTAGTTAGCTGCTTTCATAAACTAAAGGCAATTTAAAACGCCATGTAGTGCAAATTAGGCGGCAGGAGGAAGAAGTTAAAAAATGTGTTAAAAAATAGTAATTTCTTGGCACAGGCCGGCAACTGTCTAGTCTTAGGCCTCCGTTGCTGTGCCGTTTGTAATCATTCTCCTTGATTCATGGTTTTTTCTGCCCTTTTTTTTGTTTTTTGATTCAGTACTATTTCATAGAATTTGTTAACTACTTCAATCCAAATGGGTTGTTTCCGTCATGATCAGTAACTTCAACATTTGTTATGTTGTCAAGAAAGCTATCCACACACACAAATTAAATTACATTTTGCCTAAAAAAATTTCTTGTCCCATTTGCAAGTCTTTTCTTGTGAAGATCAAACCAATTTGAAAGAGCTTGGTTTTAGGCTGAAAAAAGGTAACATTCTTGTGGCACCCTTTTGAGTATTTTTGTTATATTGCATGGAATTCTTGTAAATTTGGTTTGTATTGTTTGCTGGAAGTTTGGCATTTGTTCATGCTTATGAAAACATCAACACATAATGTTTAAGGATGCATTTGTTATTGAGTGGGATTACTAGACAAACCCATCTGGATTTCATAGTTTTGATCGTCCACCAGGAAAATGAGCTCATAAATCTAAGTTAACGTTGTCATTTTTAGTGAGGTAATCGAAAGAAGTCTCTATTTGCAGCTGAAATTCTTGTACGAAAAGTGAGTTATTAGGACTATGACGTGACAGAAACATTTTAAAAGCTGATTCTGAAGAAATTAATTAGGAGCCAAAACACTGATGAAATTGCGATTCAGGATATAGATTCCTGTGTTTTGTCTACGTAGATCATTGTATGTTGTGTTGGTTTTTTTTTTTTTTTTTTTTTTTTCCCCCTATATATATGGATTTCAGGCCTTTTTTCCACCCTCTTTTTTAGCTTTCTCAATTTTAATGAAAGTATGATTTGTTATCATCTATTCATCTTCACTTGCCCTTTAAATGTGTTAGTAATCTGTTCTGAAACGTTTGGTTTTTGAAGTTTATCGCAATGTCGTTGGAGGAGCTTTTGGCCAGGGAAGGCTTTAAACGAAGCAAATCAAGGATGATGCATAGAGCTTCATTTGGAGGAGAGGCTAGAGTTATGCCACTTTCCTCATTCAATGGTGATCAGCGCAGACCTGCTTCTTTGGGCTTAAAGAAGACAGAGAGGACCAAATCCGATTTACCTCGGTATCATCAGGTTAGAGGTGAATTCCCATCCAGTGACAAGGTTAAGGGAATAATGCTACAGAATGAAAGAAGGCAATCTAATTCATTCAGCTCTGATTCACATGAAAGTTTAGTCAGCCGAGAAACAGTTTCTGCTGCGCCGAGTAATGAGATAGTTGAGGTTAAAATGCAAGAACCAAGAGTATACCAAGGTTTGCATTCAAATGAATTATACAGCCCTGAGGAAGAAACTGAGGCGAAGTATGACAGAAGAAATCAGAAAAGAGAAAACTACAGACAGTCCTCAGATAAGTACACTAGGACGGACAAGCCACCTAGGCGTCCATCCAGTAAGAGTGGCCCTTTGCAAAAGTACTACAATGAGACTGAGCAAGATCCATCTTCTAGCAGAACTAGTAACAAAAGTAAATTTAAAAAGAAAGCAGATATTGCATCAAGTTTTGATACTCCGGCACTTGATGAAGCCGCTATCCAGGCCATGATTTCTATATTGAGTGGATATGCAAAACGATTTATCAAGGATGAAAATTTTAGGGCTTCGCATCGGGAGAATAGTTTTGCATCCCTTCATGTAGTCGGAGATGAAGAGTGCACCAGCCGCAATGAAGGTAAAGTTTTGGAAAGTCTTGAAGAAGCTATAGAAACAGTGGAAAGAGCTACTGAGGAACGTGCAAGTGTCAAGGACTTGAAAAAAGCTTCATTGCAGCTCAGTGTTATTACAGGCTTGAATTCAAATGATCTGAAAGATGGCTATACATGTGGAATTCCTAACTTTAAACTATCTGCTTGTGCTCATTTCTACCTCAGTGTGATATATAAACTCCAGAAAAAAGATAGAGTTGCAGCAAAACATCTTCTTCAAGTGTTCTGCGATTCGCCTTTTCAGGCACGAACTGAATTATTACCTGATCTGTGGGAACAAATCTTTTTCCCTCATCTTTCAGATTTGATATTTTGGTATAAAAAAGAATCTGATTCTGTAGCGCATTCACCGGGTCAGATTAGGAAGCTTAAGCTTGTTGAGAAAGTTTACAATGAAATTATGGATTCAGGCACTTATCAGTTTGCAGCCTATTACAAGGATTGGCTAACCGAGGGAGTTGAAGCTCCTGTACTCCCTTCTATCCAGATTCCATCTGTGCCTGTTCAGTTGCTTGAGGAGGCAGACTTGGATGATCAGTCTCCACATCCAGAGAGCCCAATTAATTCTTCTTTACAAGTCCCAATGGTCAGTAAAACATTATATGAGGCGGTTTTTAGACATACAGTTAAACCAGAAACCGAACTAGCAGACTGCGAGGAAGAGAGTTTTGATGTCAGTATGAGAAGCTTACATGACACAGCTGTTGGAGAAAGTTCCTCCTCTGAAATGTACAAAGGGGCTGTCCCGGATACTGATGTTCGTGCTCCATCATTACTGGTTAGTCATTTATCTCACAACTAGTTTGTGTTGAGAAAACTTTGAGGAGTTTTTCTCTTTTCCTTTTCCATTTGTTGCTTTTGTGTTTTACAATCTCAGAAACAGATGTCATTCACCCTGATGTGGCACTCTTTACATGTATTACAGAATGCAACATCAAGACTTATGAGAGTACAGAGATCACATATAAAGAGTTCTCCAGAAAGCCTGGATGTAACTGAGAAGTTTGGCATGCCAGAAGTAACAGAAGAAACCTCGGGAGACGTACCTATGTGTAATGCATTACCAGCTCCAAACTCTAGTGAAGTGATACTGAGCACATTGGCAAGTGAAGTTTTCAAATTCCAACCACCTGAAGTTCCAACTATCGGTGCTCCTGCACTTTTGCTTAGTACCCAAGATGCTTTAAATTCAGATGGCTTGGTACTTCATCTTTCTTCCTTCATCTAACTGATCTGTAATTGAATTTAACGTTTTGACTTTATTCTATTGATCTCTTTCTCTTTGCAGCCCGAAGCATCTTGGTCACCTGTTGCAGGTAGGCGAAAACTGCACCCTGCAGTGATTTTCAATTTAACAGTCACATCTACATCTGATTCTTGAATTAATATGGTAGAGTTACAAGAAACTTTTCAATATTTTGCAGGTGGATCTTCTTGTATGAGCATCCCTCGGGACTTTATTTGCCCATTGACAGATGTAATATTTGATGATCCTGTCACTATAGAGACTGGCCAAACCTATGAGAGTTCAGCCATCAAAAGCTGGCTTGAAAAAGGAAATAGAACTTGTCCTGTAACAGGGAAAACACTTGAATATCGTGGCGTGCCACTTACAAACTTCATTCTGAAGAGGGTAATTGATGATTGGAAGGTAGGACATGCTAAACATCTCATGGACTTGGCATCTAAAGTATCAGAAAATGTGGAATCAAAGGATGAAATGGCAGTTTTCATACTAGAACAGCTTATAACCGCTTCCAGCCCAGAGGAAAGGATTAGAAGAGCAAAACAGCTTACTTCACTAGGAGGCCTGAAGTTTCTACTGCATAGGTTTCATTGTGGAAGCCCGGGGGAGAAAACACACATCTCAGAGTTGTTGTTAATATGTATTCAAGCAGACACTCATAACCGAAATCATATTACTAGGAACATTGACAAGCTTTCTCTGCTTGATCTACTTCACTCTAAACAGCTGAAGATAAAAAGAATTGCAGTTTTGCTGCTTACGGAACTGGTTTGCTTGAACAGGTAAGTGAAATTTGAAATAGGAATTGGCATTGTATTCTTTCAATTCACCTAATTGTTTTTTGTTTTTTTTGTTTTTTTTTTGCCTTGTACTAGAAAAATCTTCCCTGTTGCATGAGTACAAGATACAGAAGAGACCAGTGACCTTTTGCATTATTCTTCTCTCCAATTCATGAACTTAATATGGATTTTGCTAAAGTTCCTTTTCAGCACTCAATATTAGGGAAACAAAAAGTATGATCAATCTGCTGACTGGTGCAGTTATATGGCATTTTGCAACTTATCTGAACCCATGAAACATGTTTTTTATTGGAGAACTTTGATGCAAAGCCTATGTCACTGTGATCAGTTTTCTTGATCAGCAATTTTGAGTAATTTTCACTTCCATTTCAGGAGAAAAGAGGCAAAGTACTTTCTGGACGGCTTACAAAAGGAAGAAATATCAGGAGCCATGCATGTTTTGCTTACCTATCTGCAAAGCTGTCCACCAGAGCAAAGACCTACTCTTGCAGTGCTGCTTCTGCATTTAGATCTTCTTGTAAGTCCGTGTGGTCAAAAGTTTCTTGTAGATGAATAAATAGATTTTGAGAGCATTTTCATTTGTCAATATCAGATTCAAGTTGGACATTAAACTTCCAGATGACTTTGCTTTTGCTATCTGCCTGCAGGTAGAACCTGAAAATCATTGTGTTTACAGAGTGGAGGCTGTTGATGCCATTACCATGGCCCTTGAACACAGCTCATCGGATGAAAAGGTCTGCGAGAAGTGTTGCAGATCACTTCTTGTGCTAGGAGGGTACTTTTCATTTGCCGGAAAGATTATGACTGAGGATTGGATCCTGAAGCAGGCTGGATTTCTTGATGGTCCTGTGTTTGTTTCTCCTGACAATCAACACAAGGCAATTGTTGATGACAGTATTATGATGGTATGCTGATAACGACAGAATAAAGTTCTCCATTCTTGCATCATCTATCATCCAAGTGTCGGGTTGTATATATAGCTGTTTCAGTGCATTTTAGATATTAGTGGCATTGCCATTTTGAGTTGCACTTCTATGCAAAGCAGTTTTTGCATTACATATCTCTTGGCATGTTTTTGCAGTATGGAGTTAGTTTGTAGCCATATAATCTTCCCCAAACTATTCATTTATTGAAGTAGTGAAATATATAAGCTGATTTTTACCTCTGTGTTTGCTGAATGCAAAGATGGAAGATGTTGAAGAGACTGTAGCTCGGGAAAAGTGGTTGGTGAAGTTGTCAGCTTCACTTCTAGGAGACGGGAACAGATCTTTTCTGGAAGCGATGGCAAGGTGTTTATTTTCCGAAAAATCTCATCTAGTGAGAGTGTGTCTAACCACAGTAGCATGGTTGAGCTCTGCTCTTGTATCATTATCTGAAGCTGAGTATCAGCTAGGTGCCTTTTCAGCACTCATTTCCGGGCTGAAAGATTGTCTGCAGAATGGTGAGCTGGTAGAACTCAAGATTCTTGCTTCTATGTGCCTGCTCAATTTCAGCAAGTTTCCAGGTTAGTTTTTCCTTTTACTGTCAGTTTTAGTTTAGATGCATAAAATTTGATCAACGATAGCAAGAGTGATTGCAACGATACGGCGCTCATGAAAATATCACTTAACAATTCACTCTGCCTCAACATAGATGATCTTTCACATCCTTAATGTTTCCTCTGTTGTTTGCAGAATGCAGGCTCTTATTGATGACAATGGCGGATGAAATCGCGAGTACTCTCGAAAACCTGTCTGGAATGACATGGACAGCAAAAGAACTCTATTCCACAATCTGCACCTAATGATGCAAGAAGGATCTAATGTGAAGATAGCCTTAGGAAAGGGCTTACTGTCCAGAATGTAAAGAAGAAAGTGTTGTATGTTGTACAGTTACAATTATTTCTGCTGCTGGTAAAACTAGCTTGCAGAAAACAACTGTTTTGCACAGACATTTGGCTGTAGATTTTAAAACTGCAACATACTGCACCATTTTGCACCTTTGAAAAGATTATTGATATGCGAATAATGAACAGAACTTAGAACCCATCTTGAGAGTTCATTTCCTTTTGAAATTCAAATCTGAAAACTACTCACTCCGTCCCAGATTAATCTTTTTGAAGAAAAAATTAACCAACGAAGCAACTGAGAAGCATTTGAGAATTCAGGAAACCACAGTTAACAACAAACTACATATTAAGTCCAAATGTCATTATACATAACACTAATTTAAGGATGCATTTCAGCAGAGAAAACATGGGTAAACCTCAGATCATCCTTGTTTTCCACCAAAATGCACTACTGCAGATGCAGCCATAAGACTAGCATTACACAGAAACTACGAAATTCAGACCATAGCAAAAGGACCCAATCTCAAATCTCTCAAAACTTGTTCTGGTACCAGAAAACACCTGCTTTCTCTCCTTCTGGCTCAACATAAAGACACTCTTTTGCCTCCCTCCACATTGCCTTGACAAATGGAGTATCATCAAACTGATAATACTCTCCCAGCAATGGCTTTATCGCTTTGGTTGCCTCCATTGCGTGATAATGCGGCATTGTTGAGAAGAGATGATGAGCCACATGAGTATCAGTAATGTTATGGAAGACCTTATTGAGGATACCATAGTCTCTGTCAACTGTTGCCAATGCTCCTCTTAGCCAATCCCACTCAGATGAATCATAATGAGGCAATGCAGGATGAGTATGCTGCAGATAAGTGATCAAAACAAGGAATCCATTCACAATTAGCAATGGTACGCCATAAACACAAACTAACCAGGCCAACCCTTTAGCCAATGCCACTTTGTAGAGCAAGTAAGCCATGGAAATCACCCCCACATCTGAGATGTAGATCTGTAACCGCTCCCGATCGTTATATATCGGGCCATAAGGATCGTAATGGCACGCGAAACGATCATAGGGACGACCTGAAACATTGAACACCAAGTACAATGGCCATCCCAATGTAAGGGTGACAATGAGGGTGATCATCCTGCCAACAGGGTTGTTCAAATACTTCGAGTACCATGCCATTTCAGATTTCTTTTTCGGCACGAAAACCTCATCGCGCTCGAGTGATCCCGTGTTGGAGTGGTGGCGTCGGTGGCTGTACTTCCACGAGAAGTACGGGACCATCAGCGCAGAATGCAACACCAGGCCGACTATGTCATCCACCCACTGGTAGTCACTGAATGCGTGGTGACCGCATTCGTGAGCTATCACCCAAACACCAGTACAAACACAGCCTTGAACAATCCAATAAACTGGCCAGGCGAGGTACTTGTAGGGCGATGGCAGGAGATGGAAATAAGCAGTTGCAATGTAGTAGAACAATGAGACAAAGAAGAGGTCATACACAACATAGGAGAATGAACGAATGAGTGACCTCTTAAAGCAATGAGGTGGAATGGCCTTCTTGATTTCTCCAACTGTGAACGGAGGCTTTGAGTACGGCGCCTTCTTGATTGCACCGGCACCATTTTTCTTCTCATCAGTAACCGTCATCGTTGGAGCAGACACGCGACGGCCTCCGGCTCCCATCGTTGCAAAATAATGCTAGGTATTGAAACAACCTGGAGATGGCCAAACCAATGTCAATATATGTAGATAGCAAGTTGAATGTTAAAACTGAATATCATCAATACAGTGATTTTTTTTGACATTTTCTTTTTGTCTCTGTCCTAATTTTTCTTTTTTTACATTAATATCTAGGTTGGTTATCAGTGATGTAGGGAACCATCAATGTGTGGTGAATCCAAAAGAAGGAAGAAGGGTAATGCAATCCTTAGTAAGATAGGATTGGAAGTACCAGCCACTAAAAAATTTAGGTACATTTTCGCCTCTTTGTTTGGTGAAGAAAGAAACTTATAACATCCATGCAAAATATAAGACTTGATGAATAAACACAGTCCATCAGTAAAAAAAAAAAAAATTTTATATATTTATAAAAAGAAAAGCTGTATATCATCTGCAATCCACAAGTACTACTAAATGGGGACCATATTTATACATATACATAAATATATGTATCTAACACAACTGGATTCAGGGTCCATCATCAATTTGATCTGAAAACAACACCAATCAATCGTTTTCGTGAATCATGAAGCATGATCACGAGCATCATCTCACTCTCTCTCTTTCAGAAAGCCACAGGAAAAATTCAAAACTTGATAAGAAAGAACAGTCATGTGAGTAGGCACTCACTTGTGCCTAAAGTTGTTAGTTAGTTCCAGTTGGAAGCACATTGCATTAAGAGACAGTGACTCTATTATACATGTCGACCGCTCAATCAGACTCTGCAATATTTCCTAATGCAGAAACATGAAACAAAACTTATACTGTATAGAGTACCTACTACTCCCTCCGCCTGCAATCCGTCGATTTCAATGCGTAAATGGGAGATGTTCTTGGAATAATCTAAATGCATGCAAAGATTGCAAAAATTCAATTGGAAAACAGAACGGTGCTTTTGCAATTGTCAAGAATTGATACACATCATTCTGAAAAATATGTTTAGAAAGGATTTGGAAGAGAGAAAGAGCAAGTAGCAAACATGTGGGCTTCATTGATAACTAATTAAGCACCACCTACATTTATGTATTCTAGCAGGATTCTCTTACAATTTCAATTCACTCATATTCTTGCACCATAACTTGATCTACAATCAAAAAAAGAACACGCAAAAAAGAAAAAAGGCATTTCGAAACCATACTTGATAATGTGACACGGTTGTGACGCAACAATTCAGATTAAGCACCCATAATTAAATACTTGCACGTAATAAAAATGATGCCAAAAATTCACAAAAGATAATAACCAATACCACTGTCTCAAGATCAAAAGAGTTGAATGAATCGATACCTCCTCTAATTTATTTTAAAGCTGATGTTCAATCGATTGTTCCTTCCGTCCCAAAATAAGAATAAGAATATATATACGTAATTAACAAGATTGAATGATTCGTTTTCAGATGGTTACTTTAAACTACGCGTACCTGAGTAAAATTTGTCTTAGAAATTAGGTCATCACAGAAAGGCTGCTTTAAATGGTATTTATGATGCCACGTGAGTTTTTTTTTTTTTTTTTTCTAGAGGAGTTGTCACCGGAAGATTTTTTTTTAACATTTTTTTGCCCTTTAAAGTCACCCCAGAGGAAGACATCAAGAGTAGGAACTCCTGGAATTAATGTTTCTATTTCTGGTTTTCGCCATTAGAATTATATATACACAAAACAGAATTCTTTTTTATATAAAAATTGAAAGTAGAATTAAAAAAATGTAAAGAAAATGTATTTAATATTGTGCGAAAATAAATTCAGAACAACCAAAACACAGAGCAAATTAACGTGAAAAATTAAATCCCGGTTGGTTGTGTAAGAGTTGAAAATGCGTTTTATTCTTTGGTACTGTTTTTTAATTTTTTTTTTATAGAAACTTCTTTAGCTCTTAACTTTGTTTTATTGAAAAAATATAAAATAGTAGTATAAAATTATACTAACCCAGAAAATATAAAATGTTGTTAATTTTTGGAAATTATATAAAGACAACATCTTCAATTCATCTCTCTGTTTTTCCAACACATTGGGTTTTCCACAAATAGCCAAAGAGGGACATTTATCAAATCAGCTCTCCCTTTTTAAGGTTTCGTTTCTATACACAGTTGAGTTTGGAAAAGTAAAAGTGAATTTTTTTTTTTAAGTAGATTTTGTAAACAGCTTTGGTTAGTGATTAATAATAATTTTTTTTTAATAACCTTTTACCCGACAGAAACAAAAATCATAAATTCATAAGAGAAAAATATAACCTGTCCATAAAATGAGAGGAATTTTAGAAACTCTTCAATGTGAAGATCTCGGTGAAAACAAGGTGACCCAAAAAAAAAAAAAAAAACTCCATTAAAAGCAGAAAATCCGGCAACATTTAATGTTTCACAAAGACGTCTGTGACGCTCCAAGTGAAAACAAACAATTACAACAAGAAAACAATGCCACACCAAATATTTTACCTCCGCAAATTATATATTATATACTGTAATTGCTATGATGATAACTCAACACAGATTTTCACCATATAATCCGAAATTGACATCCTTTTAATTAAAAATCAGTAACAAATAAAATCACAAACACACACACACACTCTTTCAGAAGATGCATGCATGGAACAAAAAGAAATTAAGAAAGATTACAAACAATGCCGCCCCAATAATTAATACGACTTCTGTCCCAAAAAAATAGTCTTGATTTTTTTTCAATTTTTGAAACCGAAGGAGTAACACGTAAATTGTTTTCTACGCTACCTGTTTGTTACAAATGTCCACATAATATGCCATTTTCATGCACATGCACATTTTTTTCTTTAACAAAAAACAAAAAAATTATGTATCTGTATATCCACATTTTTTCTGAATACATTCATCAAATGCGTATCGCCCATGAATAATTAACCTGGGAATATCCCCTTGGTTGAAATGAAACACAATTTTTTTTGCCCAGAAAATGAATCCAAAGCTACCCTCATGCATACAATTGTTTTGAAATAAGAAATGTTTTTCTTTTCCCCCTTGTTTGAAAGGCATTGATATTGTCATCATAGGGGGGATGATAACAACAACAACAAAAACACACACACACACACACACACACTTGAAGAATGTACGTATGAATGAGTGATGATGAATCACATTTACATACCTTGTTCAAATTAAAAAAGGAGAGGAAGAAAAAACTCCGACTTAAGAAAAACACCGCTTTCTCCTCCAAACAAAAACGCTTTCTCCTCTCTTTGCGCCTTCTTCTTCTTTGATGATGAGAAGAAAGCGGGAGAGAGGGGAGTTAATATTTCTTTTTCTTTTTTCCTTTTTTTTCTGTAATGAGAAGAAGAAGAAGATTTTTTTTCCTTTTTCTCTCCCCAAATACAATACAAGGGAGGCTCTTTAAATATTTGCGATAGCTTATTAATTTTAAATTAAAATAATAGCAAGGTGGGCCCCCCCTACACTCCCTTATTTCATGCAGAAAAGCTTTTTATAAACGCAACGAACTTGTCCTCTTTCGTTAACACGCGGTGGATTTGGTCGGTCCGTTGACACCTCAGACTTGAGATGAACGGCTGAGATTTTGCATGCGAGTAACAGATCTTTTCTGGAGTTGAGTAACCATGATTGTCCGGTAGTACGAGACGTAGGAGATAAAAAAAAAAAATTATTTGGCGGGGTGGGAGTTTAGTAAAAGACGAAAATAGGCTCACGTGGTTACGACTTACGAACCGAACAAGCGAAACACTCGTCAAGAAGGAAGAGGGGGGAAAGGGCAAGTGGCGGAAGAAAGGTCCCACCTGCGTCAAAATGAACCTGATTTAGAAATTCGTGTGTAAATTGGTTTTTATGAATTTTCATTTTCTGCTTTCCAAAGAGATCATAATAGTATTTACTAGTACTTTGAAACTAATTTATCTCAATTATAGTAATTACTCTTTCTTCCTAATTTTAATAGCCCAACCAACGTGACTTATTACAATAAAAAAAACAAATTGAGTACACCAAAAAAAAAAAAAAACCCCCATTCGTAGTATCTATTAGTATCGATTTGGCCCTTACGTCGTTACATTGTACTCGTTAATTTATGTAACATTATTCTAGATATTTTGTATAGTAACTTTTTTTTTCCATTTATTCTTTAGTATGCTCCATACGTAGATAGACATTTTGCATTTTTATTTATGTTAAACTCGTAACGAAAATTGTACATATTTCTGCACGAAGAAAAATTATGTTTAATGAATGAATAAAGTTACTAATATGTGTTTTTTTTTTTTTTTTTTACATACGTATCCGGTATCCAGTTGCTATCGTTACACCTATGGGTGTCGACTGACCCCTGACTAATTCGGACTCGAGACGAGTAGGTCCCTTTCGGGAGGCAACCTCTACTAACCAGCCTTTTAACACGGTTGCCTACGCAGAGTTTCGAACCCGAGACCTCTGTTTAAGCTGGATCAGCACCCTACCAACTGATCCAAACGCTAGTTGGTGTGTACTTTATGCTTTAATTCTTCGTTTCCAAAAGTAACAAGCAAATTAAGGAACAACAATAATGAGAGCGATATAGTAGTAGAATATTCATTTACCACAAAGAATATCTGATTTGGTTTATCGTTTATTTACCACCTATTTTGATAGGATAAAAGCATGTTCTCTTTGGTTTTAACTCCTCAAAATAAACAGACAATATGGGCACTTTCAAGCGGGAATATGACTTACTTTTGGAAAACACTCCAATTTCTTTGTTTTGTTATTCTTTCGGCCAAAATAAGAATTATGTTTTTTTCTTATAGTTTAACAAAAAATGATTCGTGATTAAGGAATTATTATCTTGCTCTGGAAAAACAATTAATCATCATACCATTTTAATTAATATATACCAAAGTAATTATTTTTTCTCAGACAAAAAAAAAAAACTATTTATACTACATTCCTTGGTGAATACATTATGGTCGCTTGCACGTAATAATTAATTAAAAAAAGGTAATCATAAGTTAAGCTACCCATTGCTTAATTATCTCATTACTTCACGATATTGATGAGAGCATTTATTTTTAATTTGCGTGGATCTCAAATTCTGAAAGACTAGCTAGCCACTACCTCCCCAACCAAATTCTTTCTTTTTTCCTTTTTCTGGTCAATTTAATTTACCAAAAGTATATTCAGCACGAACTAGAAGGATCCATCATAATTAACATACACCAACAAATTTGAAATTCTACAAATTAACATTGAAAATTAAAATGGTACGAATTTATCAAAGTAATATCAAAGTCGACCCTTAAAATCAAAACAGCATTAATGATCACATGAAAAATACAACACCTTCATGATTGTAAACCACCATCTCCTCCCTGGTTCGCCAATTAGTCAGACACTTTTATTACGCTTACCTGCAAATTTCAACGCAATACAGAGATTTGCAGCATAATATTAAGGATTTGTTGTTAGACGGAGATAAGAATCCAAATGATGTTGGTCCATGTTTTCTAATCTTTCGTCCCGTCTACTACGAAAGAAATTAATCCATCCGGACTCTAGCGTATACTCACGCCGTTCCAATATGAATTTTTATTTTTAGTATAACTTAATATTAGTTATGAAGATCGAAACTGAACGATCACTTTAAAATATAAAAAATATAATATTTTACCTGTCTTCAAAATGTCTTATTATTCAGTTATTGTTTTGTTTGAACAAGCATAATCATTTCATATAACTACATCATGATACCTATGGGTTCACTATCGTAGCATTTCAAATTTGTCTCGACGACCCAACTCATTAGTCAAACAAAGCTTAAAATCATTGGGAAAGCAAGAACAAAAGCTGAATAACTTGAGCATGAGTTTGTTTGAGTTTGGCTCACCACGGTTACAATTCCTTGTAAATGTTCATGTGTTACTTTACAAGTCCATAAAGCTAGCAAAGTGTACCCATCGAATTCAAAGCACTTTCCTCATTAGTCCCCATTTTTAAGATGTCGACAAACTATTGTTGTTCAAGGTTAACTAGAGACGTTCTAAATTCAACTTTGGGATAATACTTCGTTTTACTATGTTGGAGACAATTATTTTAAAATAAAAGAAAAATAATTATTTTTACTCCGCTTTTATTTGTTTTGTGTTTTTAGTTACCTAGGTTGAACTTTTTTTCTTTTTTTCTTTTTAAAAATACAACTACATTTTATTTTGCCCATTAGATATCGACCCTTTTATAGATAATGCTTGTAGTTTGCTTGACTATTATTTTCTGCTGATATAGTTCGGGGATTTTTAAGTGAAGAACTTGCAATTTGATTGTCGTACCCATGAATATTAGAACTCTCAATTGCATGTAATTCGACTAGTATCACTATCTTTCAGTGGGGTGGAACTCTTTAGGGGCTCCGAGATATCGAGTTCCCAGTCGGCCGAAGAGTCCCGTAGGGGTAGTCACTATTAACCTTAGATCACATATGTTCGACTATCTATCTTGATTGTGATTACGTAATTAGCTCCTTCAAGTCTAAATAACTGGTTCCACCACATTCTTTTCTCCCTATTATTATAATCTTCTTTCTTAAAATATAAGTGATATAATAAGATGAACCATTTAAATAGGACGGAAAAAAATATTTAGTTTCACGTGATTAGGCCTGATGGATGACAACTCTTTTGCTGAATTTTCTTCCTCTAACAGCATGATTATAGAAAATGGTACCTATGGAAAATCATGCGATTTTTCTTTTTGTTGAACCAACTGCTAAAGTAAAAAACTCTTGAGAAAATTAAATGATAATGCGAACAAATTAAGAGTAGTAAACTGTTCTTTAAGCACTAAATAATGGTAGAACAATGAAATAATATTCTCACTATCCCGGATTATAGTACATATTTCTTGAACTCAAATTTAGTATTTCTACTGTGACTGTTATTACCACTGGAAAGGAGGGATTAAATTCATATAATGTTGATTTGGTTTTGAATTGTGTAGTAAAAGACAACAAATATAACAGCTCTTTTCAATATCAATTTCTTTGCCCCATACTGTCCAATACAAAATATCATGTATTTCTGGTTTTTTTTTTCTAATTTTTTTAATTAATTAATAATCTCCACTAATATGGCGGATCTAGGGTGCCGGATTTCCAGTGAAAAGAATTAAATTAAGTAAGTTATTTTACATCATAAATAATGGTGTTTTTTTTACAATTTTCCGAGATTTTAATTTCTCTTAGTTGCTTGTTGGTTCCATTAAAGGGCCTATATTTGAAGTGAATTTATAATAGTAGGTGATTTATTATTAAAAAATAAATAAAGTTACAAGGTATTTTAAATTATATTTATGTTGATGATGCATAATTTTTTGTAATAGAATTGTCAGAAAAATATATACTCCTCGTGATGAACATTTTTTATAAAATGATAATATACTTTTTTCCGATAATGTACTTATTTATGGCCCCCAGTATAAATTTGTTCTAAATTTGTTATTGTCAGTATCAACAAATTTTTTATATGCTGCTTTGATTCCTTAAGCAGAAAACTCTAAAGCAACTGTACTTTCTTTACATGTTCATAAAAGACCCAAAGTTCAAGAGCACCTAGATGGAAAGTCCTAGTATTTTATAATACTACTTAATTCTGTAACCTAAAACGTTCAAGCAAAATGTGTTTTCATACATCTTTTTTTCAATGATGATCAAAAGCATAGTTCAAAGTCCTTTCTATTTTAAACAAATAATTTGTCTTTTTGGCATAAAGATATTTAGCGTGCGTTTACCCCTCTGGCATCAATTGTGACGACTAATTGTCCACGATTGCATTGCCGGCTTTCGCAGGCCAAAACCGCGGCATTTTATGATATCACAATGACAGAAAAATATAATATTATGTCCGTCCCAAAAATTAATGAGATATTAATTTTCTGTATTAAAACAGTACACCAAATGTGATTTTTATTTCAGAACAAGTAATAAAATAGCTAGAGCTGTGCTTTCTTCTTCCTTTCGTTTACTTGATCAAACACATTTTTTGATTCCTAAAATCATATGGAGAAAAGGCTGAATGATGCAGCAATCCGAGGTGATATTGTGGCTCTATCACAATTAGTGGAAGAGGATCTTCACATTTTTGATAGAATTTATTTGAATTGTGATGATAAGAATGTTCTTCACATTAGTGCAATGTTGGGTCATGAAGAATTTGTGCGAGCTATTCTCCAAATGAATTCATCTTCTCATTATCAGATGTGTTTGGTTCGGGATCGAAATGGAAGAAATCCTTTACATCTTGCCGCTATCCATGGCAAGTTGAACATATTGAATTTGGTAAATGATCATGATGGGTTGATGCAAGCAGCTCAAGAAAAAGCAGACGAAGGAGGGACTATTTTACATTTGTGTGTTAAATATAACCAGTTGGAGGCCTTGAAATTCTTGTTGCGAGTTTTCGCCGATTCTGAGTTTGTATGTGCTAAGAACCAAGATGGTATGACTATTCTACAATCAAATGCAGGGGAGACGAGAAATCATTTTGCACTTGATAAACAACACGTCCCAGATTGTAAACATTAAGAACGTAAATAGAAAAACTGCATTGGACATTTACCGCGAGAAACAATTTGAAATACCACCAGTACAATTCCAGCAGATTGTAGATTCTATTTTGAAAGTTGGAGGAAAATCTGGTTATGTTGGTTCGAATGGAGAAACTGAACATGTTGATGATATTGATGATGAGGATGAATTCGTAACATTGAAATTGGTTGAAAAAGGTAAAGACGTAATAATGGTTGTGGCCTCAATTATCGCAACAATGGCTTCTCAAGCAATGGTAAATCTTCCTAGAGGTGTTAATTGCCAGGATGATTTGTCATCAGAAGTTCCTTACATAATAAACAAGGCAGGAAAATGTGTGAAGAAACAAACCGATCCAGAAAACTTCAAGGTTACTTTGAATCTTGTTTGGAATTCCATAGCATTTGTATCATCTGTGATAGTGATTCTTATGCTGTTGGTTCGCGTACGACGTCGTCAAAGGTGGAAGTGGAATTTTTCTATAACTACTATTTGCTTGTCATTGATGGCGATTTTTAACACTTATCCTGTCTTACTCAAGATAAGAATACCGGAATCAACAAGTTGGCATCTGGTAGTACCAAGCCTGTTGACCGTAATCGAACTCGTGGCTCTTGGAATTCCGGCAATCTGGATCCTCCGGAACGTTGTCCGGTTAGGAAATTTTGCTTTTCTTTCGTCGGACGTGAACTACACAAAGCTGTTTTTGTGGGCAACTAATCAGCTCACTAAGCCAATTAGTCATAGGATTGTTGTGTTCAATATAGTTATTTTGACAAGTTTTTGTCTTGGCTATCATTTTCTTGCTACGCATGTTTATGATTCTACTTTGTAAATAATTTGATCTTTCAAATGTTATGTAACTCTACAAATAGTTTCTTTTCTATATATACTCATGTACTTCTTCTGTCCTAAAATTATTGTCCAGTTTGATATTTCACTTTTAGTACAATTTGAACTAGAAATAAAAACTAAACTGGACAATAATTATAGGACAAATGGAGTATTATATATGCTGATAACATTAGCCTACAAATATATATCCTTGTTATTGTTTTGAGATTTATATATTGGGACAGGGAGAATAATTTTTAATTTTTAGAAAAATTTTGATGGTTAAGTAGCCACATATTTATCCTCAAATGGTTGATTTTTAGCTTTGGATGCACTTTTTCTTAGTTACCCTTCGGTAATTAGGGTTTGTGAGATTACACCTCCCCAATCTGAAATTTCGAATTAAGCCAATATAAAAGGGAAAAAAAAGTTCGATGTTTTTTCTATAGATGTACTAATGTAGATAAGATAAACTTTAAGGTGTAAAAAATTAAAATAAATCATCAATGCTTAACTACTTAGAAATTAGAATCATGAATTAAGTGACCTAACACTTTAAATACAGTAGAACGTCATTAAATTAATAATCTATATAATAATCTTGAGTGATTAATTTTTCTCCTCTTTTAATTAAATTGAGACTGTTTCAAAAAATTGATATAATAAGAAAACAATAATAGTTTAGAAAATCCTCTATATAGCTAAAGGTCCCATCAATACCTTAAGCTAATACTTGCTATAAAGCACAAAAAAAAAAAAAAAAAAAAGAAAAAAAATAACACTAGCTATAAATATTTAGTAAAATATGACCTATTGGTATACATTTTTTTAGTTATGCAGATGACACGAACTATATTGAGAAGAGTTTCACACTTGCTTGATTTGGATGGTAAATATATACAAAAATTAGATAATTTAGTAAGGTTTTTTCCTTAAAGAAACTCTTTAAATTAATTGATCAATTATTTTAAAAATTATCTAAATTAATAAATTTTTGTTTTCCCAAAATTATTAATTTATAATTTTTTTTTTAATTCAAATCCTTCTCACGCTATTAATCAAAATTTTCCTTACAAAAAACTTCATCTGCTTGGCTACAAAGTCACTGCACATTTCCCTCTCAGTGAGTTTGATACTTTTGTGGCTCTGGTAAACGGGCGGTTGGTAGAAATAATGTCTTTGAAGTCTCAATTCTAAAATGGAGAGTTTTTAAAGATAATTTTAAAACGGTTTGATATTTTGTGAGGAATGATCCTCTCGAATAGTATTGTTTATCCGATTACGGCTTCAAAATTAGTTACACTTACATATAATACGTATAAAGTATAAACTAACAGTGTAATGTAATTAAGATTTATTTTTAACTTTCTTTTCACTGTGATTTTTTTTTGGTGTAATGAATATAAAAATATGCCTTTAAATATTTTGTGAGAGTTTATAAATAAGAAGAAAAATACATTACGTTCAGCCATTTGTGGGCGCTTTAAAATAAATCCCAGCCCAATTATTTGATCCAAACTACAGAGTGCGACAAAAATAGGCCCAACGTCTGACATGAACTGAGAAACCCGACTCGAAGTCTCGAACTGTTGAAACACTGAAACTGACCTCAAAACCCCCCAAGTAGGGTTTAAGCGTCTCTACAGGAAAGCAACTGTCCGTTCTGGGTTTTTTTTTCCATCATAATTCAGCTTCACATCAAATTCAATGGCGGGGAAAAAGAAAGGTTTAGTTGATTTGGGTTTAATTCCTTGATGCTTAAGTTTTGTGGATTTTTCAAATTTTAACTTGATTCCCCCTTTTCTGGACCGATGAAAAGTTTGGGTTTCTTTTTTTAATTTTTGGATGCAGCCAAGAAAGCTGAAATGGAAATCCCCGACAGTGAAGAGGATAGGGGCATTGCAAAAAAGGGGAAGTCTGGGCCGAAGAAGAAGAAGAAGAAAGCTAAAGAGCATGTGGAGCAATTGCAAAGGCTTGCAGAAAAGGTCTCAATTTAGTGTTTCTTATATGAGCAGTGTAAATTGTGCATGTTACTTTTCTTGGAACGCTGGGTTGAACGTACAGTATTATTTAAGAAGCTCACTAAAGGTTTTTCAAAAACTACATATTCGCACAAAAGCATAGGAAGGCAGAGTTTGAAGGATTTCTATAATGAGAAGTCATTGAGCTGGAGGGATTGGTTTTTCTGCTATCTTTAATTACATGGAGTGTAGTTTGATAATATAGGTGAATGAGGTTGCAGGACTACGTGGTTTTTAACATGGAAAGCGATCGTCTGATAGAACCCTATTAACGGACGAATGAGCATGCCTCAGGTGATGATTGGATGTGTGGGATGGGAATGCGTGCTGCTTAGGGCATTGTAAGAATCTAATGCCTCTGTAGGGAGTTTCAAGGTTTTTGATGAACAAGAGGAATAAAATTTGAGAGTATTGGGGGAGACCTAAAAGAATAGGAAGGAAACCATTGAAATGCATGTATTTACAAATTTGATGGCTGCATATGATCCATGTAGCCAAAGGCATGTGTTTGTGTAAAGAAGGGTAGTTTGCTGATTTTCTTTTGGTGTAAGTTTGTTTTCCTCTGTGTTTTATGATTTTAGCTACTTACTTCCATACACATGTACTTTCCTGTTAATAGATTTCTTTGCTTGGTCAAGGGTGAACTTTGAGATCTTTCTAAACAGGGATAGAAATGCTTCCAATTTATCCTCAAATATCTGTTTTACCTAATGCTGAGCGATGATTGTTTGTAGGATCCAGAGTTCTACGAGTACCTGAAACAGACCAATGAAGACCTTTTGCACTTTGACGCTACAGAATTTGATGTGAGTATGACTGTGAGGCTTTTATTCACACATGAAGCTTTTATTCTCTGACTTAGATGAAATTGAAAATATCTTACATCTTCTCAGGATGATGCTGAAACTGATGTTGACAGTGAAGAAATAGAAGAAGATGATGCTGAAACTGATATTGATAGTGAAGAAATAGAAGAAGGTGATGCTGAAAGTGATGTTGATAGTGAAGAAATAGAAGAAGGTGATGCTGAAACGGAAGTTGGTAGTGAAGAAATAGAAGAAGATGATGCAGAAGATGAATCCCAAACTGGGGTTGGTGATTTTGAGTCTGAAGAAGATGGCTCTTTTAAAAATGTCATTACCACCGCCATGGTTAATTCTTGGTGCAAGTCCATCCAAGAAAAGACAAGTTTGGGTGCAGTTCGTTCTCTTATGAAGGCCTTTCGCATTGCTTGCCACTATGGAGATGAAGGAGGTGATGATTCTGTTCATAAGTTAGGTGTGATGTCTAGCAAAGTTTTCAACCAGGTAATGCTTTTTGTGTTAACTGAAATGGATGGAATTCTTCGAGGACTTTTGAAACTATCCCATTCTGGCACAAACAAGGAGACAGTCTTGAAGCTGATGAAAACAAAACTGTGGAAGAACCACAGCCACTTGGTGCAGTCATATCTTGGAAATTCTCTACATATTTTGAACCAAATGACGGACACAACGATGGTAACTTTTACTTTGCGAAGGCTCACATATTCATCTGTACTTCTAGCGGCATTTCCTGCTCTGCTGAGGAAGTATGTAAAGGTTCGTCATAATTTCACTCACTTGTGTTTTTTCACCTTAAAACAACTTTCTCGTTATGGCTTAGATGCTAGCATTTCTTCTGGCACGTAATTACAGAGATACTAATTCTCAGCTGCTAAAAAATAAAGGCCCTTTTTATGAAAATGTTTAATTGTCAGTTGGTTTCCTAGGAAAAGGAATATAATTCAAGAGTTTAAGAGCGAGTCTAAAAGAAAAAGGAAAATCACACCATGAAGGGTGCATTGTGAAAATCTTATCTGGATTTTTAAGATTCTGGATTTCGGAAAAAAAAAAAGCCTTTGTTGAGATCATTGCCAACTTTAAGCTCTTTTATCATATGTACTAAAGATGTAGTTAGGAGAATATCTGAGTGCTGCTATCTTGTATGTAGATTCTATGCTGGTACTTTAGCAGTGTGACTTTTTTTCCATGTCAAAATCTTATGAATTTCCATTTCTTTTCATGTTATGCAATGCATCGAGTCTAGAGGTTACATCACATGATTCCTTGCACACCTTCCGGAAATAAATTTGCTTAGCCACGGACAATATTTTCAAATACCCACAAATGAATTGGTTAGTTAGGGAACAAGAAGACTTTAAATGTAGAAGATCATAGCAGTCATTTTTTTTTATTTTTTATTTTTTTTTTCAAGTTTTGTAGTCAGTTTCAGAACAGTATGTGTGATGGTCATCTAACAAGAATATGAATGGATCCAGGTTGCTGTTCATTTTTGGGGTACTGGTGGAGGAAATCTATCTGCTGTGGCTCTTTTGTTTTTGATGAATTTGTGTGTCAATTTTGGTTCCGACTGCATTGATGACTGCTTCAAAGGATTGTACAAAGCATATGTCTTAAACTCCCAGTATGTCACAGAAACAAAGCTTCAGGACATTCAGTTTCTTCGTAATTGTTTCACTAAATTACTAAAAGTGGACCTTGGGGCTGCTTATCAGCATGCTTTCATTTTCATTCGTCAGTTAGCTATGATTTTGAATGAGAATTTCGCCAGGAGGAAGAAGGTATTTTTTCTCTTTCTTTTTTTTTTTCTATAAACTAGGTGGCTTCAGCCCTTTTATTGTGATATGTGCACCAACGAGAATATACGAGGTTCCATGAAGCATAAGAATAGAATGTACTCGTATGATGTAATACAATGATGTCTGTTAAATTAACGAACAAAATGCTCAGTGTTTTTGGAGATGGCATTTTGTCAAGTGAGGTAGATGTTTAGCCTGTACAAAGGTATTGTTTGATAGAATGTAGGGTCCTTTATCACTAACAGAAATCAATATATCCTTTTTTTGTGTATCAGAAATGTTAGAGCCGTTCACATAGTTTGTAGGCTTGTATGTACATATCATTAGAGAAAAAAACTATGTTGCTTTCCAAAATGTCAAAATAGGTGTGTTTTGCCATTCTTGGAAAGGTCTTCTAAGATTGCATAATTGCGGAGTCTAACAGTCTATTGAATTTTCCCTTCTGCTAATTAGCTGCTGCTGCTGCTGTTCTCTGTTTTATCAGAACAATTCCTTGAAGGAGATATTTAGAAAGGTTTACAGCTGGAAATTTATGAACTGTCTCGAGCTGTGGACAGGTGCAGTCTGTGCTTACAGTTCCGAAGGCCATCTTAAGCCTCTTGCTTATCCGCTTGCTCAGATTATTACCGGAACAGCTCGTTTAGTTCCTACTGCTCAGTATTTCCCCCTCAGATTGTGGTGCATCAGGATGCTAAATAGAATTGCCGCTTCCACTGATACATTCATACCTGTTGCTATCCTGCTTTTGGACATGTTAGATATTAAGGAATTGCATAGGCCACCTACTGGAGGAATTGGTGAAGCTGTTGACTTCCGTACCGTGTTGAAGGTTTTAAAAAAAATATTTTTGTAGTTATTCATGTTTAACTTCTAGTAGATTTACATGCCTTTGCATAGGTAGATGTTCATATGGAAGAAAAAGATTCATACTAATGCATGACTGGATTTAACTGTGACAGGTTAAAAAGTCTGCCCTAAAGACGAGGGCCTTCCAGGAGGCATGTGTTTCTTCTGTGATTGAAGAGCTTACTGAGCATTTAGCCAAATGGAGCTACTCTGCTGCTTTTTATGAGCTATCATTTGTTCCTGCTGTTCGGTTACAGAAGTTCAGTAAATCAACAAAAGTTGAGAGGTTTCGTAAAGAAATCAAACAACTGATCCATCAGGTAGAGTTCTGCCAAAGAGGCAACCTTTGATATACTGCGGTCAGTATTGCACTTTAGACATGTTTTTTGGACATGTGCCCAGGAAGGCTTTGGGTGCTTTAGTGAGTCATAGAAATGAAAAGTCATTTACTCAAAATAGATGGAGAAGGTGAAAATATAAAAAGATCAGGAAACAAATTACTCCCTATGTTGTAAGAAAAGGCTCCTATTTGGTTTTAGTTCAACAAACAAGACTCTCTTTCAGGACGTGGGGAATACTAAACAAAGATGTACTTCAAAAGTAAATAACAAATGTGAATATTGACAAGGGTGGGAATTTTTTTTATCATTTTTTTGGTTTTGTTTTGCTTTATGAAAACAATATATTATACTCGTAATATGTAGTATTTGAAAGGTTACTATTCATGAGAGCCATAAGCCATATTATGTGTCTCATGCATATTTGTTCTTGTTTAGTCACTATGCCAATTGCTTTGCCTACTGTTCTGACGTGCGCAAAAATGTTTGGTATGGGTTAATGCTCCTTTTTCTTTTTGTTTATTTATTTATTATTTTGGTTGCACAGATTGAAGCCAACTGTGAGTTTACAAATAAGAAACGTATGTCTGTCTCATATCTACCAAATGATCAAGAAGCGGCATCTTTTCTTGAGGTTGGAGATTTTTCCTTCACTCTTTGTTGGCTCATCTTGTTCTTTGTTCCTTTTAATCGTTGTGCAGTATACATTTGTCCAAAATGATACAGTTTTGTTTTTTAGCTTGCATCGGTTGAGATCATGAGGATGTCTTGATTGTCTAGCCCTAATATAACTTCTCAAAAATCTTTCTGCGTGATCCACCTTTTGACAATCTTAGTAATTTCCTGCAAAAAAACTTTTTGACTAAAGGAATTCAAGTTATCTTGTACTCTTTGATGTTCTTCAAAGTATTGATCATCATAATTATTTGATGATCAAATTTGACAATCTGTAGCTTATTAGCTTCTGGAAGGGATTGGTTTCCATGACAGAAGCATTTTTGAACTACTGTTGCTCAAAAGTTGGTAGCTTTATTGGTGCACTTTATATTTCTGAAGAATATGCTTGCCTGTTCTGTAATCCAGGTTGAGAAAAAGATGGGTTGTAGTCCGCTGTCTCAGTATGCTGCTGTTTTACGGCAGAAATCACAACAACTAAGTGATTCAATTACCAAATCCAGGTTCGAAACTAATTTATCATCTGTATGTGGTGCAAAGTTTCCGGAAATTGTTTAATAACTGATAATTTTAATTTTGTCTCAGTGTAATCGTGAGTGAAAAAACCTCAATGTTTTCGGATAAGATAGTAGATGAAGAAGAAAAAGAAGAAGATAAGATAGCCGCAAAAGAGGAAGGTGCATCTATCTTCAGTTCGTCTTGGCTGCCAGGAAGTGATTCCAAGTATGTATCACCATTTCTCTCTCTACAGAAGACATTACTCTGTGTTTACTTAATTTGTCGGAGTTTGTTTTTTTGCAGGGCATCGAATTCGAAAAGGGAGAAGGAAAAGGAAAAGAAGAACAATAACAAGAAGAGAAAGAGGACTCAAGAAGAAGAGGCAGCTGCCGATGAAGATGTGGTGGAAGACTTGATCCTTAGTTCCGATGAAGACGAAGAAGACGAAGGAGGGGACACGAGGGATTTCCTTCAAGACGAAGACGATGATGAAGAAAAGCCTGTAACTACAAAAAAGATGAGCAAGAAGCAGGATCCTTCAGCAGGGTTGTCAGGTCAACCAAATAAGAAAAGCAAGTTCCATGCAAGAAAATCTAAAAACAAAAAGAGAAGAAATTGATGACAAGTAGGCAAACGGATTCTTATTACTATCTTATTAATGATAATGATCAATTAAAAACTATATAAAATCCATTTGTTCTTTCCCTCAGCTGTTTCACCAAAGTAACTAATAATAGTTCATCAAAATTATTGCTAATTTGCTATTGCCCTTTAAATTTCTTGGTACAAGGTTTGAAACTAGTACTTCTTTATCACTTTAGAAGTTTGTATCAAATGGTACAAAAGTTATTTAGGCATTACCTCGTGTTATTATGAAAAGAGGGTCAGCCACAAAAGTCAGGATTCATCTATTTTTAATCAAAGTCATGTTTAAATTGTGTTTTAGTTACATAGTTATTTTAATATCTTTTTTGTTTTCACGGATTTATCAAGGTGCTCAAAACTTTTTTAACTATTCTTTCCGTCTTAAAAAAAGGTCTATATTAAATTTTGGGTTTTATATTGTTTTTAGTACGAATTTGTAAATTCAATGTTGATTATTTTTTTGGGATGGATGTAATAATATTTAGCAAAATTCACATATAATCATACAAGGAAAAAAAGAGCAAGAATCAGAATTTCAAACTATATACAAAATGCTGTAAACTCACTCGGTCACATGACATCATTCTTTGTCCTGAAACTGATATTAGTGGGTGGGTCAATGTAATTTTGGCGGGTTCTTCTTCCAAGACCACATCAGCCAACAGCCTCTAAAATAGATTTTCATATCTGTTACTATAATTCTAAGAAAATCTAGATTGTCATAATATGTCATGATAATCAGAATTAATTGCATTAAATTTGTTCAATGATATTTGGCTGACTTAAAAAGGAAAAAAAGAGAAAAGTAAAAGTTTCACTGAAGAGTAACCGCTGGCTTATTCACGAACTTTGCCCCCTCCCAAAAATCCAAATGCTTTTCATCTCTTCTTATATGTAAATTCATTCTCTGTTCAGCCCTTTACTTCAATTTCTTTTGCTGGTTGTTTTTGCCTCCCTCCCCTTCATTTGATCATACCCGTTTCAGTTTTTAGGCTGTTTTGTTTAAAGGTTTTGAAACAGGTTTAGTTCAATCAGGGGGGAAAGAAATCATCTTTATTTGGTTTTAGTCGATTTTTTTTGGAGGTTTGATTGAAGAACAGGGGGTTTTTTGGGAATGGCAAATGATGCTACTGAGGTTTCGGATTCACAGCTTTGCTCCCTGGCGATTGAAGCTGGAGTGAAGTTACTGTCTCCACCATCATCTGTTGCTGGAATTCTCTCAGTTCTGGATGTAAAGTTCTAACTTTGATGAAATGAATGATTTTATTTTTGAGCTTGGTATCAGCTTGTTGTTTTTTCATTTTCTGTTTGCATGCATGTGGGAAATTTTTTACACAGGAGCACGAGTTTGTACTGATTTGGGTTGGGTTTCAATTTTGGTGATTAGAAACTGATGATTGGATGATATCTGATGGTTTGATTATTATGACTGGAAAGATTACAGCTTTGTATGTTTCATTGATTTTGGTGGGTTTTTAACATTGGTGATTAGAGACTGTGATGATTGGATGATATCTGATGGTTTGATTATTGTGACTTGAAAAGATTGCTGCTTTTTTTGTGTTTCATTGATTTGGATGGGTTTTCAGTTTCGGTGCTGATATTGGATGATATTTGATTGTTTGATGATTGTGACTGTAAAGATTTCTGCTTTGTTTGTTTCATTTAGCATGATGACGATTGAAATTTAACAATTCAACTCGCAAAGAGCCCTAATTATGGTACTAAGTTCCAAAAGCAGGATTGAATGCAGAGTGCTCAAGGCATCAAAAAGCATAGAAAATATCTGTTATCTTTTTTGGTGTTTGTGCTCCTATCATGAATTTTCTATATGAATATATTCCTTTTCGATGTAGTGGCTTAAGATTTTTGAAGGCAATAGTTTGCAACTAGTAACTTAATATCATCTTTTGCCTGAATCAGAATCTTGTAAAGGTACTAGCTGCTAATTCATTTGTATCTATCCTCTGGTTATAGTGCAAGATGCTTCATTACATGCCTCGAAACGTATCAGAGACCTTCCGGCATTCATTTGTGTATTTAATCTTGTGCGGATTATCTTTGTGCCTGTCTTTTGATTGATTGTAATTTAGCTCACGGATTTGGTCTTGTCTCATGTTTATCAGAGTGCGGAAAGCCTTTTGAGCTCGCTGGGGCAAGGTCCTTCCCAAGAATTACGCGATGCTCTTCTACCTGCAATGAAGGGGCTTATCTCTGACAGGCTTTTCAAACATTGCAATGTGGATATTAAGGTTTCAGTGTTGTCTTGCATTCATGAGCTTGTTCGACTTGCAGCACCCGACACACCGTACAAAGATGAATGCATGAAGGTTCGCACACGACACTATATTTATTCCATTCTGTCTATCTGTGCTCGTTGTGCTAGATTTATTGTAAACATTTTTGAGTGTCATCATTTGAATATATACAGGTAATCTTCCAGCAGACTGTAAACATTGTGTTTGGGAAGTTGTCTTCCCTTTCTGGTCGCCCATATGAGAAGGCCGTACAAATTCTATACACAGTTGCCAAGGTCAGATCTGGCTTAATTCTATTGGACCTTGGATGTAATGCATTGATCAGTCGAATGTTCCAGATCTTCATTGATACCATACGGTAAGTGTTGAATCTTTATGTGTTGTGATTCCACTGGGCATTAACTTGGCAATTCCTGTGCTGTTGGAGTTCTTAAAATATGTTTCTCTTTTTTGAAATATTTGTATCATAAATTTATAGAATCGTCGCTTCGGTTATTATGTTTATGTTACAGGAGTTTAAATTTGGAAAAGGGTTCTTGATGCAGCCTTCTTTACTGATAATTCTTTGTTATATTTGATTAAGGCCAAACCATCCGGATGCTGTTTTCTCAAACATGGAGGAAATTATGACTTCGCTAATTCAGGAAAGTGATGACCTCTCGCTAGATCTTCTGAAGCCTTTGATAACTGTGGTAAATAAGGATAACCAGGTATTTTGCATTATATATGTCTCTCAACCTTTATTTTCTCCCATTTTATTATTTTATATTATGTTTTTTTTTTTTTTGGTGGGTTGACTCCAATTATGTTTGGACCTGTGTCATTTGCCTCAGATTATTTCACCACCTTCCCGGATATTAGCAGAGAAAGTACTGAAGAACTGCTCTGAGAAAGTTAAACCTTACCTCACGAAATTAGTGGAACAGCTGAGGAAAGATGCTTCGGCTTGTTCCTTTGTAATTGCTTCAATTTGGCATGACATGCCTGCTTTAGAAAATGTAATGTGATATTTTCTTTTCAGCCAAAGTCGAGGCTTTCCTCATTTTCTATTTGTTGATTCTTCTATTTATTTGCTTGCTTGTAAAAAAAGAATTAAGGTCATCTTTACTTTGGTTTTGTTGATGTATCAGGTGATGGAAGAAGCCGGAAAAGATGTGTCTGATTTTGTGCCAAAGCTGGTGGGTGGCAAATCCATCCAAGTGGACAGTTCTATAAGCTCATCAGAGGATGAGCAGGCTTCAAAGGTTTTAGTTAGCCATGAACAGAGTGAGAAGCTGCAAATTGTTGACATAGAATCTGCGCAAACTGACGCTGGAGGAAGTGAAGGAGGTCTAGGAACAAAAGCATGGGTAGAGATTCTACCTGATCGAAACAAGAACACTTCAATGGAATCACCAGTCCTCAAACAGGTTGAGCTGCTGCAAATTGTTGATGACAAATCTGTTCAACCTGACACTTTGCAAACTGAAGGAAAAATGGGAATAGAAGCAAGCAGAGAAGTACTTGCGGTTGGAAGAAAGAACAGTAGCAAGAGATTAATGGGACAAGAAGAGATTGAGCAATTACAAATGTTTGCTAAAGAATCTGTTCGGCCTGACGCTCTAGAAGCTGGAGGTGAAGTACTTCCTAGTGGAGGGGAGAAGAATTCAAAGGCATTAGCAGGCAATGAACAGATTGCGCAGCTGCAAAATATTCCTCCTAAAGAATACGCCAAACCTGATGATTTCAGAACTGAAGGACAGCGAATGAAAGCATGCCAATATGTACTTCCTGCTCGTGGGGAGGAAAAACCTGAGGAGGTTCATTCTCATTCTGTGGTCAGTGGTGGCAAGGGTTCTTCCGAAAAACCACGGAAGAGGAAGAACTATGAGAAACAGAAAAGCTCACCAGAGAATATACTCTTAAGTGAGTACCCTCAGCAATCCAACCCTGTCATCCTGGAACAAATTACCTCGAGCGGGAAGGATATAACCTTAAAGAAGAGGAAAACAAACCTTTCTGATTCTGGAATGAAAGGGAAAACCAGTGAATGCGATGCTGAAGTTCTTCCGAAGGTATCAAACCCTTGCATGCCATTGATTAATAATGCACTATGTTGTTGTGATGATTTTGAGATAATATTATAATTATCAGAATAAAGCTTTTCAGCAGCATTACCGGTTATTAACTTGCCTTGTTTTCATCTTTCCTCTTTTAGTAAAGAAAAGAAAAAACAATTGGTTGAACTTTTTTGTTTCTACTTATCCTATTAACGGACTCTCATTGCCTTTTTCCCTTTGTTTTCCCCAGGGTTATAGAAAACCTAGAGATGACCAAGAATATCGGGAGGAATTAATTGGTTCAAGGGTATTGGTCTGGTGGCCGGCTGACCAACAGTATGTACATTAAGTTGCTTCAGTATCATGCATACTATGCTTGGACCACTTTGTTTTGTTTTTCCGTGGTTCTGTTCCTTGTTGAAACTAATTTCTCATTGTTGGCGTGGGTGTTCAAAATCTGAAGTTATTTTCTTTCATTTTGCAATGGGGATTTATCATCCTTCACAGCAGCATACTTATCAATGCAGTTTAGAAAGTTTTGTATTATGTTTCTGATCCAAGTTTCTTCGCAATCAAATTTCTTTTGATATGGTTGATCAAGTGGGTGCATTTACTTTGGACTTCCAAAATTTCGTTTTTTAAAATGCTCTGTCCCAAAAGTTTTTGTAACTCTAGTGTCTTATGCTCAGAAACACACTATAACTTCTTGAAATTCTCTGACAGAAAACTTACGTGTAAAAAGGAGCGTGAACCTAACTTTAGTTATTGCACGGTGATATAGCCATATAACTATGAAATTTACACAATTGAATGATTTTCTGCAGGTTCTATGAGGGAGCTGTTGAGGCATACGATCCTGTAAAGAAAGAGCATAAGGTGAGAGAATAAGAATGACAACATTATATTCCTGTAAACATGGTTCTAGATATTCAATAACTTATCTTCTTGCCTTCAGCTATCTGAATGATTCTTAAATTTGTTTTTTGCATTTCCTGTGCCATGGTTTGTCTTTGAAGTGCAACAGTTGTTTTGAGAAATTCACAGGGGATAAATAATTGTAAATTTTCTTCCCACTTCTTTCATGCTCTGTTGGGAACTGCATCTTGAACCCTTGAAATTTTGGTGCCGACTATTTCATGGTTTTTTCTAAAATATCATCTTCTCATTAGCACTGATCTTCGCTTCAGGTGGCTTATCTTGATGGTGATGTAGAAATTTTGAGATTGCAACAGGAGCGCTGGTTACTGCATGATGAGATATCTACTGTCAGGGTATGAAACAATTAGGTGTTTTAACTGATGTACGTGGTGTTGAATTCTTCCATTAAATGTCGAAATTGCTAGAGTTGGAATTAAACCATCAGAAAAAGATATTCTTTGTTTAAGCCTAAAGGCTGTTGTTCTTGTATCTTTTCCAGTGGTATTATGAACTTCAATATAATATGAAAACGTCTTTACTGGAAGTTTTCAGTTGTTTACCTGCTGGGACATTACTTGTGTTTATCATTTTCGAATCAACCCTATGAGTCTTTGTTTACTGTTTCTGTTCATTTGATCACCTGAGGTTCCGGCAAATGTTTACTTCTATTCTTCTAACTTCAGCATTACGAAAAACCTAAAACTGTGAAAGAGTACCGCGAAGAGATCGTCGGTTCAAGGGTAAAGGTTTCATTGCCCCATGACCATGAGTAAGTCCTTTTGAGTGCTCTTTTGTTTTTTCAACTGCATCTTCGAGATTTGAAGTGAGGTTCCAGTTACAAACCCAGAATCTCAAGATTACAGTCTCTACCTTACTCTCCCGTCGAACCAAAATGTTGTGACTATTATTACAACCTGATTATCTCGACAATTTCAAATTGTTTAGTTTCCGGCATCGTCGTCTTGACTTTGGGCTGGTTATTTTGGGTTCTCCACACTTTTGTGCCCCTTTTATATTATTCAAAATTGTTGATGTAAGATCCATAGGTATTTCCTTTCTAGTTCCGTTCTGGTCCATTTTGAATTTTTCAATGTGCTCCATGGAATCATTTATTAATGGGCCTTGGCAAATTGTTGTCGTGTTTGTTATTGTTGTCATTGTTGACGCGAGTGTTAAAAATCTGAATCTATGTCCTTTTTCAGTTTCTTTCCTTGTATTGTGATGTCTTATCCTTCAATGGCAGCCTGCGTACTGATTTAAGACAGTTTTATTTTATTTTTCTTATCAAGGATTCTTACCAATGAACTCTCTTTTAAAATGGTTGATCAATTGACTGCATTTACTTTAAATGGACCTCCCAAACTTCGTTTCTTTTAATGCACCCTCGGATAAAGCTTTTGGAATCCTAGTGTGTTTTATACTCACAAATACACTCTAACTTCGTGAATTCTTTAATCTGAAAACTTACATTTGGAAAGAGTGTTGAACTTGTACGCTGTAACTTCGTGAATTCTTTAAGCTTTGAGATTTGCTCATGTACTGGCTGATTGATTTTTTGAAGGTTTTTTGAGGGAATTGTGGAGACATATGATCCTATAAAGAAAGAGAATAAGGTGAGAATAAGAATAACGGCTTCAAATATATTCCTCTAAACATGGGTTGCCGATTTTCAATAATTATCAATTGCCCTTGAGCTATCTGAATATTACTTTTCCTTGACTTAATTTATGGTTCTTAATATTTGTCCATTGCCTTCTACTTAGTTTTCTTAGAAACTTCAAATTTTTGGTGCTGCCTATTTCAGGAGTTCCTCTGAGGTATCACATTCTCTCCGTCACGGGTTTATTTATTTATTTATTTTTTCAGGTGGTCTATCTTGATGACGTAGCAATTTTGAGATTAGAAAATGACTGCTGGTTACTGCATGATGAAATATCTGCTGCAAGGGTATGGAATAATTAGGTGTCTAATTGATGTTTTTGGCATTAAATTCCTCCATTAAATGTCAAAATTGGAAACATGAGCTAAATGCATTTAAAATTTTTCAATCTCTGAAATCTGTCATCCAAGATAATTGAAAGAATTTATGAAGATACTAGATATAGAATTCAGGCTGATTGGACTAAATAAACAAGCGGAGCCTTTATGCTTTACTCTTTATGGCCACAAAGTACCATTGAAGTTTTTTTGGGAGTACCATTGAAGTTAATTGAATGTCGAGATGAATGGCAAGTGTTGTGCCACTAATTTCAAATTTATAAAAAAGAAAAACGAACAAAAAACACGAGAGGGTAGTAAATACTAGAATATCGAGATGGATGTGCAAGTGTTGTTTCAATAAGTATGAGTTCATAAATAACGAAAGGAAAAAAAAAGAAAAGAGGATAGTGAAAATGAGAATGCTGGGTTCGATGTGCCAGTGCGTAAAAGAAAGAAAGTGCCGGTGGGACCAGTAGACGAAAAAGTTCATGAAAAGCACGTAATATAGTTTGGATACATGCAGATGAAACTTAAATGCACTGGAACACTAGTAGTAAATAGAGTTGCTAACTCAACTTAAACGGGAAAGGTAAACAAAATTTGAATTGAAACTGTAGAGAGAATATTTTATTTATTTAAGCTTAGAGGGTGTGGTTGTATCTTTTTCCACGGATGTTCTACAATTTCAATATTATGTTAAACTGCCATAACTGGAAGTTTTCAGCTGTTTTATCTGGCATTGCGTTACGTTTTGTATGCAATTTTGAATGAACGCCACAAGATTTTGTTTTCTGTTTCTGTTCTCTGATTAATAAGGTTATATTAATACTTGTCTTTTCGTACTTCAGTGTTTCGAAGACTATAGATCTGTGAAAGAGTACTGTGAAGAGATTGTTGGTTCAAGGGTAAAGGTTTGGTGGCCGGCTGACCATGAGTAAGTCCTTTAAGTCCTGTTGTTTTTGACAACTGCATCTGTAAGATTCGATGTGAGGTTCCAGGTGCAAACCCAAAATCTTGAGATACGATCTCTCCCTTTCTTCCCGGTCGAACCCTACCTCCCAGTTGTCTATCTTGTTTGGCAATGATGATTACAAGCCGATTGTCTCCAAGTTTTAAATTGTGTAGTTTCGAACATCGTCATTTTGACTTTGGGCTGGTTATTTTGGGTGTTCCCCACTTTTGTGCCTCTTTGATGTTTATTTGTTATAGTTGATGTAATCCATAGCTATTTCCTTTCCAGTTCCTGTTCTGATCCATTTGAATTTGTCTAAGTGCTCAATGAAAGCATGTTTATTGGTGTACCTTGACAAATATTGTTATTATCTTTCTCATTGCCAACATGGGTGTTAAGGATCATCTATGTCTTTCAAGGACAGCCTACGTATTAGTTGGTTTTAGAAAGTTGTGTATTATGTTTCTTATCAAGGGATCCGCTTGTTTCTCTTAAAGGTTTCTTAGCAATCAAATGTCTTTCAAAATGGTTGATCGAGTAAGTGCATTGACTTTTAAGTGGACCTCCAAATCTTCATCTGTTTTAAATTTAATGGACTGTCCGCAAAAGTGTTTTGAATCCTAGTTTGTCTTATACAGCAATGTAACTTCTTGAAATTCTTTAAGCTGAAAACTTACATTTAGAAAGAGCATTAACCTAATTTTAGCCATATGGCTTTGGAAAATGTATGGGTACTGAGTACTGACAGATGGATTGAATTTCTGCAGATACTATGAGGGCATTGTTGAGACATATGATCCTATTAAGAAAGAGCATAAGGTGAGAATAAGTAAAACAACATTATCTTTGAATTTCTACGTAAAAGATTCACAAGGAAATTTTTGTGCTTACTATATTTCATTAATTTTTCTGCGGTTTCACTTTCTCACTGGCACTGACTTTGTTTCAGGTGGTTTATCTTGATGGTGATGTGGAGATTTTGAGGTTAGAAAATGAGCGCTGGTTACTACATGTTGAGATGTCTGTCGAGGGTATGAAAAAATTAGGTATCTAACTGATGTCTGTGGCTGTCAATGTCGAAATCGGCGAGCATGAACTAAATGCATTTAAAAGTTTTGAATGCCTGGAATCTCTCCTTCAAGATACTGGAAAGGGTTTATAGAGATACTGTATACATATAGAATTTAGGCTGGTTGAGGGTTTATAGAGATACTGTATATAGAATTTAGACTGGTTGAACTAAATGGAGAAGTTGAGCCTTTATGCGTTATTCTTTATGGCGCCAGAGTACCACTGAAGTTGACTGAGTTTCAACTTTAAAAGGGAAAAAGATAAAAGAAAAAATTTGGTAGCAAAGATGAGTATGTTGAGATAAATTTGCTACTGTTGTGCCACTAAATGCGCGTCTATGACAACAACGGAAGTCTTTAATCTCACCATGTGGGATGCGGCTAGATACGAGTTTATGGACCAAAAAAGATAGATGAAAAGCAAAATAGTTAATAGAAATGAGAATGTTGAGATGGAATTGCAAATGTGTGTAAGAAAGTGATGGTTTAATGAGAAAGTTTGCCAGAAAAACTTGATTTAGTTTGGTGGACTAACTTAAAATACCCGGGAATACTAATGCTAGATAGAGCTGCTTATTTGAATAAAACGGGAAAAGCAAGCAAGATTCAGAAGGAAATATCAGGAGGCTAATCTTCCAAATTCTTCAGCTGCTCCACTAAAGTAAGTTGTCTTCAAAACTACTTGGTTTTATTTACTGCATCTTTATTGCTATACTATTGCTAGGAAAGCTTTTTAAATCGAATTTAAAGAGTTATTGGAGCCACATTCATTCTGCACTCTCTTGGCACACTAGTTATCATCAAGGTTGCTTGGAGGGAGTGATGCCTTATATCACAACTTTCTTTTTCTCAAGTCTTTTAGCTTAGCGGCATCATGCTGCTGCTGATCCCTAGTGAAGTACTTTCTTGATCAATCCTGTTCAATTGAAATCATGGAAACCTTTTGTTGTTCAGGTTTCAAACTAAAGCTGACCGGATAAGTAGGGGGATGGAAGGTTGCTCCAACTTGACTTGCTGATTTTGTGATTCTGAACGGTAGGCTTTGCATAATCTGGGAAGAGGAAAGGAAGACTTGTATCCCCTTGGTCTTAATATGCGGCCGTTTTACTGCAGAAAGCACAACAATGATGCAATTCAATCAGCAAATCAAGGTTCTAAACATGTCATATGCACAGTTTTCAGAAATTGTTTTGATGGTTGAAACTAATTACTCGTGGGGGAAAATACCTCAATCTTCGGGAGAAAGATAACAGATTGATTACAAAGAAGGTAAGAAGGCTGAAATAGAGGAAGGTACAAAAATGTCCTCAATTCATCTTGGCTGCCAGGAAATCATTCTAAGTTAGTAACCATCATTTCTGTGTGCTTTCTTCTTGCAAGAGATCATTTGCTGTGTACCTTCCCGAGCTTCTTCTTTGCGGTACTTAAAATTACACAGCACTGAAGAAGAAGAGTACTGAATAAGGGGCAGCTTCTGACAGCCTTTCAACTAGGAATGATAGAATACACCGGGACAGATGGAATCAAGTTGGAGCAGGCGACAGGAATGGTATACCACAGAACTGAGCAAGTTTTTTAATAAGTCAAGCCAGGAGCGGGCGAGTGGCTGGCCGAATACTTAAGAGAGACGAAGCAGGTAAACTTCTGAATGCCTTCCGAACACATCATGAGGCAGTGCTCAACTGAATCAACCAAACGCACAGCTATCATTAGAGCCTAGAGGGTCTCGTGGAAATGACTTCACCGACAAGTGATCCGACTGATGCCGAAGCTCAGGAGAAAGACTTGCATCTGGAACCTGAACCAACCAGGAATCCAGAGGTTGTCTGATTGGGGGTTAGCAATTTTAGCACATGTTAAGGGAGAACAATATGTGCGCCAAATAATTAGCATTAAATCGTGAAGCTGTTTTTTATATGCCTTCCAACCGTTTTAATAGTTCACTTTGAACTAAAAAAATACTAGAAAGGATAATAACCGTTGATTACAAGTTAGGATGATTATAACTTCCATTTTGCTTATATGCACTACAAAAGAATAGTGACGAGAAATAACTTCATGAAAGAAGATGAAATCATAAATTGTGTTGTGCGCAGCAGTACATTACATTGCCTCTATTTATAAGCATACATCAACATTAGTTAAAATCTAGATATTATAAAATCTGAAATAATCTAAACAAATAGAATTTAAATAATCCTAATTAATGAGATCTTTGACTAATCTTATCACTCCCCTCGCAAGCTCATGGGCGGAACAACAATGAGCTTGTCCCGAAGTTGAAGAAAAGTCTTCGTAGGTAGAGCTTTGGTCATAATATCAGCAATTTGGGTAGCGGACGGAACATGCTGAATAGTAAGGGCTTTTTGACGAACCAAATCACGAACAAAGTGAATGTCAATCTCAATATGTTCGGTGCGTGCATGAGATATTGGATCAGCAGCAAGGTAAATAGCTCCTAAATTATCACACCAAAGAGTAGGAAGTAATAAAGACAAACCAAGCTCACAGAGGAGAGAAGAAAGCCAACATAATTCAGCTGCAGCAAGAGGAAGACTACGGTACTCAGCTTCGGTACTTGAACGAGCAACAGTCAGTCGGTTGTTTCTTAGTACTCCAAGAGATGAGATTAGAACCCAAAAAAATACAGTAGCCGGAAGTGGGCGGTCATCAGGGCAACCAGATCAATCAGCATCAGCAAAAGCAGTAATTGAAAGAGGGGAACTCTTTGTAAGATGTAGGCCATGAGTAGGGGTAGAACGTAGGTAACGAAGTATACGCTTAACAGCTGACCAATGAATATCAGTGGGACAATGGATGAATTGAGACACTTTATTAACAACAAATTAGATATCAGGACGAGTGACACAAAGATATTGAAGAACACCAACAGTACGCCGATACTCTTTTGGGTCAGATAAAGATACACCATGATTTTTAGAGAGAGGTAAGGTGGAGGTTATGGGGTTAGAGACGGGGTTAGATGTGTCGAAGTGAGTGCGAGTGAGGAGATCTTGAATATACTTAAATTGAGAAAGAAGAAGGCCGGTGGATGTAGATTGAGCTTCAATACCCAGAAAATAATGAAGAGAACCAAGATCTTTGATGGTGAAGGTAGAATGAAGCTCATCAATGAGAGATTGAATGAAGGAAAAAGAGGAACCAGTCACCAAGATGTCATCCACATAAACTAGGACAAAAGTAGTGTGTGAGGACTTAAGACAAGATAAAAAGAGAAGTGTCAGATTTAGAAGAAATAAAACCAAGAGTATGAAGTTTCTGACTAAGACGGTGAAACCAGGTTCTAGGAGTTTGTTTGAGACCATATAAATCTTTGTGAAGACGACAAACATGATATGGATATTTTGGATCAACAAAGCCTGAGGGTTGACTCATATATACGTACTCATGAAGATTACCATGGAGAAAGGCATTGTTCACATCAAGTTGACGGATTGGCCAATTTCGATTAAGAGCAATGGTGATGACAATGCGAATGGTAGTGGGTTTGATTACCGGACTGAAAGTATCTGTGTAATCTATGCCAGGAGATTGATGGTAACCTTTAGCTACTAAACGAGCTTTATAGCGCTCAAGAGTCCCATCGGATTTTCTTTTAGTTTGAAAAAACCACTTACAACCCACAATATTAGCATTAGGAGGAGGAGACACTAGAGTCCAGGTTTGATTACGTTGAAGAGCATTAAACTCTTCAAGTATAACTTGACGCTAGTTAGGAAATTTATTGGCCTGAGTAAAAGAGGTGGGGTCAGGTTTAGGAGGACAAGTAAGAGAGGAAGTATAGGTAACATAATCATTAAAATGGTTAGGCTTACGAGTTGTGGTACGAGTGGTCATGTGATGTCTTGGTGGTGGAAGTGGTCTAGGCGGGGAACTAGATGGTGGTGGAGGTGGTCTAGGCGGGGAATTAGATGGTGGTGGAGAAGAAAGCCTTGTTGAAGAAAGAGTTTGTGTCGTAGGATTGGAAAAAGGTACAAAAGGAGGAGGAATAGATATTGGTAAAGGAAGCAACACCCGTGATGATGGAGTTGGAGAGGACGTAGAAGTTTGAGACGTAGCATAAGGAAAATCAGTTTCAAGAAACCTTACATGTCTAGAGATGTAAAGTTTGGAACTTTTGGGATCAAAGCAACGATATCCCTTGTGTTGGGAAGAGTAGCCTAAAAAGACATAAGGAATTGATTTTGGGGATAATTTGTCAGAACGAGTAGACCCAAGAAATGGGAAGCAAGTGCAACCAAATACTCGAAGGTGAGAGAGGGAGGGAGGATTGGAAAAAAGAACCTCATGAGGAGATTTATTAGTAAGAACTTGAGAAGGAAGGAGATTGATTAAGATAGGTGGCAGTGGAAAAAGCTTCAACCCTAAAGGATTTAGGAAAAGAAGCATGAAGAAGAAGAGTAAGCCCGATTTCAGTGATATGACGAATTTTTCTTTCAGAAACTCCATTTTGTTGAGGAGTATGGGGACAAGAGATGCGATAAGAAATACCATGATTACGAAGATAATTAGCAAAAACACCTTTCACAAGTTCGGGAGCACCATCACGTTGAAAATATTTGATACTAGTAGAAAATAAATTTTCAGTAAATGACTTAAAATTTTGGAAAGCATGAAAAGCCTCAGATTTATTAGTAAGTGGATAAATCCATGTAAAACGACTAAAGTCATCAATAAAAATAATAAGGTACCAGTAACCTGAAAGAGAGAGACAAGGACTTGGACCCCAAATATCACAATGAATTAAATGTAACGACACTTTAGAAACACGAGAAGATGGAGTAAAAGGAATTCGAGTACTTTTGCATTGCAAACAGGAATTACAAGAATTTATTTTGGAAGATTTAAATGACAAAGATCAAGCTAAAGATGAAAGCATTGAGTGACACGAATGTCCGAGACGGTGATGCCAAAGATCAGAAGGAACAGCACGAGCAGCCAGAGCTACAGGATTGTGGAATGTCTTAGGAATCTTCATAGGATAGAGGTAATTGTGGATGTTACCCGCGAGAAGCGGAGTCTTGGTGACTAGATCCTTCACAACATAACCAAAAGGAGAAAATTTCATTAAACATGAATTATTAGTGACAAATTTTCCAACATATAAAATGTTTGTAGTAAGCTGGGGAACAATGTAAAAATTACGTAAATAAAGAGGTTTTGGGTGTTTGGTGAGTGCAGTGTGACCAATGGAAGTAATAGGAAGAGTAGTACCATGGCCAACAACCAGTTGCTGATTACCATGATATGGAGTGGTAGAATCCACTAAAAGAGGATCAGGTGCCATATGAGCCTGGGCGCCAGAATCAGGAAGCCATTCAGGGATATCACTAGATGTAAAGGATGAAAAATCTTGAGGTTGGGGTTCTTGGACAGTGGAGGTGTAAAAAGTAGTGGGCATATTTGTGGGAGCAGAAGAACGATGAGTTTGATTATTGCAAGATTCAGCGTAGCGGAAATGACAAACAACAGCGGAATGGTTGATTTTTTTTGCAGATTTGGCATTGGGTAGAATTGGGTTGTTGGGTAAAGTTGGGGTAAGGGCTAAAGGATGAGATATAAGGCTTATAGGGACTAGAAGGATGGGTGGGGAATTGGGCTTGGTTAGGCGATTTTGGATAGTGTTGAAGGGACGGTATGAACCGTATGAATTGGGGTTGGGATAAAATGAGTGCGGAGTTGAGTTATTAGGAAAGTAGGGAGAGGGCTGACTACGACCACGACCTGAATTGGGTTGTGACTGTTTACTACGAGACCGAGAACTATTGACTGGAAAGTTCACAGTAGTATGGAGTGCAGCTTCTGGTGAGTGAAAAAATGATTGCAAACATTGCTCATGGAGAAGCAGTTTTGCTCGAAGATCTGTGAATGGGGGAGGAGGGTTGAGATTCTCTATAGTGGTGATGAAGGAAGTATATTCAGATGAGAGACCATTAAGAGCGAGAATAACAAGATCATGATTAGGGATAGTATCCTCAACAGCAAAAATCTCTTCCG